GAGGCGGCAGGGCCAAACTCTTGCACATCCCAAAGTCCACAAGAAACCGCCTCATCAGCAGTTAGCATAAAGACATTGCTTGCTACACCAATGGCCACTGAAGATCTACCAGACAGTGCAGTACACGAGATCCACAACACCCAGCCCATCATTGTGAAGCGAGAGAGCAAAATGCAGCAACCCGAGCCCACAGGGATCCGAACCAACTTAGATTATCAGCAGTACGTCTTTGTCAATCAAATGTGTTACCATGTTGCCTTGCCCTGGTACTCAAAGTACTTCCCGTACCTCTCCCTCATCCACACCCTTGTGCTTATGGTCAGTAGTAACTTCTGGTTCAAATACCCCAAGACAAGCTCAAAGATTGAACACTTTGTGTCCATTCTCGGACGGTGCTTTGAGTCTCCGTGGACTACAAAGGCTTTGTCCGAGACAGCCTGTGAGGATTCTGAGGAGAACAAACAGAGACTGACTGGCACCACTTCAGCACAGAGAGAGTTATCACAGGAAACTAAAGATGAAAATGCTGCCAACTCATCTACCCCTATGCTTGGGAATACAGGAGTCAAGTTCTCAGCAGATAAGCCTGTTGCTGAGGCCCCAAGTATGACTATCCTGGACAAGAAAGATGGAGAGCAGGCGAAGGCTCTTTTTGAGAAGGTGAGGAAATTCCGCGCCCATGTGGAGGATAGCGATTTCATCTACAAGCTCTATGTAGCTCAGACTGTGGTCAAAACGGTCAAGTTCATTTTGATTCTGTCCTATACGTCAACATTTATTGCTGCCATCGAATTTCACCACACATGTGAGCCCAACATCAAAGACTTAACCGGATATAAGAAATTCTTTTGTACCCACAACATGGCTTTCATGCTGAGAAAGCTCCTCCTCAGCTACATGGCCCTCATATTGATCTATGGGATGGTGTGCTTGTATTCCCTCCACTGGCTGTTCAGGCGCCCCCTTAAAGAGTACTCATTTGAGAAAGTCAGAGAGGAGAGTAGCTTCAGTGACATTCCTGACGTGAAGAACGACTTTGCGTTCCTTCTGCACATGGTCGATCAGTACGACCAGCTGTATTCCAAACGGTTTGGTGTCTTCCTCTCAGAGGTCAGCGAGAACAAGCTGAGGGAGATCAGTCTGAACCACGAGTGGACATTCGAGAAGCTCAGACAGCTTGTGACCCGAAATGCCCAAGACCAGCAGGAGCTCCACCTCTTCATGCTCTCTGGTCTCCCCAATGCAGTGTTTGACCTCACCGACCTGGAAATACTTAAACTAGAGCTAATTCCTGAGGTCAGGTTTTCGGCAAAGGTATCCCAAATGACAAATCTGCAGGAGCTGCACCTCTGCCACTGCCCCGCCAAAGTTGAGCAGACTGCCTTTGTCTTTCTCCGTGACCACCTCCGGTGCCTTCACGTCAAGTTCACAGACGTCGCTGAGATCCCAGCATGGGTTTATTTGTTGAGGAGTTTGAGGGAGCTAAACTTGGTAGGGAATTTAAGCTCAGAAAACAACAAAATGATAGGACTAGAGTGCATGCGTGATTTGAAACATCTTAAGACATTGTATCTGAAGAGCAACCTCACCAAGATGCCCTCCAACCTCACTGAGCTGTCTCCACACCTGATCAAACTGGTGGTGCATAACGATGGTACTAAACTACTTGTACTGAACAGCTTAAAGAAGATGACAAACCTCGCTGATCTGGAGCTGCACAACTGTGAGCTGGAGAGGATCCCTCATGCTATTTTCAGCTTAACCAACCTCCAAGAGCTGGACCTCAAATCCAACAACATTCGCACCATCGAGGAGGTCATCAGCTTTCAGCACCTCAAGAGGTTGACCTGCCTCAAATTGTGGCACAACAAAATCATCACCATTCCAGCCTCCATAGGCCAGGTCAAGTCTTTGGAGTCACTTCACCTTTCGCACAACAAACTGGAGACGCTCCCGCCGGCGCTGTTCCACCTCCCCAAGCTGAGGCACTTGGATGTCAGTCACAACTCCATCACGGTGATCCCGCCGGACTTGGGTCTCCTGCAGAACCTCCAGCACTTCGCCATCAATGCAAACAAGGTGGAGGTGCTGCCCAAGCAGCTGTTCAGGTGCACCAAGCTGAAGTTCCTGTGTTTGAGCAACAATGGCCTCACCAACCTGCCTGAGACAGTGGGTCAGTTGGTGCATCTTGCTCAGCTGGAGCTGAAGGGGAACTGTCTGGACCGCCTTCCCTCACTGCTGGGGAACTGCCACCTTCTACGTAAAAACAGCCTCATTGTTGAGGACCACCTTTTTGACACTTTGCCTGTAGAGGTAAAGGAGAGCATTAGTCGGGAGACCAATGTGTCCTTTGCGAGTGGCTTATAGTTGATAATTTCTGATATCTTAAACCCTTATGGTACAGTGATTAACTGAAATTTATATTACTCACTGAAGCAAAATGCTACGAAAGTAACACGTTATTTACCAGAAACTAGCCTTGTAGTTTTAAAAACTTTTGTAGACTTTTTGAATCCTCTTCAATGGGCAAAAAAGGTAGCGCAATGGTCTTGAAGCCAAATACTTCATAAAGGCATATGGCAGAAGTAAATTCATCCACAAACACAAATATAATTTTATATACATGTATATCTTAAATGATCGCGTTTTCATGAATTTTATGATGTAACTTCAAGCACATTCAAAAGATTAGGGGACATGACCAGGAAGTAAAGCAGAAGGGGCAGTTGCTTTCACAGGGTATTGAACCACGTTTTATTGATTATCAATGCCCTATATGGGTAGTTCCTATATATTTTTTGCTTAATAAAGTGAGAGAGAATGCTTCTCCTCAACGCAGACTGTATAGCACTATAAATAATGTAACATCATTTCAAAGTATAATTTCATGAAGTATTTAAGAATGTTCAGGATAATAAAAATATTTTAGTTGCTTCATAGGGTATTATGACATAATATTGAAAGCGGGAATAGATTTTTAGGCTTATCAACAAATATTGTATTAGCTACTCAGGTATAATGTTAACCATGGGGAACATCATTTCGCCTTAACTGCTGCTATTTCTCAGTGAGGGCTTTCATAAGAAAAGACTAAACAGCTCTCATGTTTGTCGATACACTCCCTGTCATTATTCACAATACCATTCAGTAAAATAACAAATGCTCTTTTCAGTAGTAATTAACTTTTGGGGATTACGCTTGAAATTGGAAGTACTTTGCACAACCAATATTTGCTTAGCTTTTTTTAAAATATTGTTAAATGTTTTCTATGGATTACACTCCCCCATCACAGACCATGCTAAGCATTTTTTTGTGTGTATGATTGAAAATAGATTAGGGTTAACAAAAGGGAGACAATGTTTTACACCAAAAAAAAGTGTTTAAATTAGGCAACAATAGCATCAATTAAGTGTACACATGGGACAAATATTGTTATATTGCCTTTTTCCAATGTATTTCTGTACTGTACATAAACTGTTCACATTTGCAAGCATACCAAATTACTGATCATACGCTTAGTCCATACATTTCTGGCACAATAAAACTAGATTTTAGATACACTTTTCTAATTGTTGTTATTCTCTGTTTCAATATCTTTCTCAATGGTCATTGGTCATTACTGTAGATTACTGCATTTATATCTGTATAAAGAATAACATAATTGGTAAGCTGCTGTACAAAAGTATTTATTTGTTAAGGGTTTGTTATACGTAAAATGTATGCACGCATGACTAAATCGCTTTGCATAAAAGCGTCTGCTAAATGGTATATATTATTATATTATAAACTGGGTGGTTCGAGCCCTGAATGTTGATTGGCTGACAGCCGTGGTATATCAGACCGTATACCATGGGTATGGCAAAACATTTATTTTTACTGCTCTAATTACATTGGTAACCAGTTTATAATAGCAATAGCAATTGTGGTATATTGCCAATATACCACGGCTAAGGGCTGTATCCAGGCACTCCGTGTTGTGTCGTGCATAAGAACAGCCCTTAGCCATGCTATATTGGCCATATACCACACCCCCCGGGCCTTATTGCATAATTATATATTGTTATAACCTGTGCATTACATTAACTGAGGGGAATGATCAAGCAAGGTACAACTTATGCTACATCTTTAGGGAGAATGTCATGCCAAAACAATAGGGCAATTGAAGACAACTTTTGAAATACAATCTGGAAGTCAATGCCTGTAACTCTGACATTACATTTACATTTTAGTCATTTAGCAGACGCTCTTATCCAGAGCGACTTACAGTTAGTGAGTGCATACATACATTTTTCCTACTGGCCCCCCGTGGGAATCGAACCCACAACCCTGGCGTTGCAAACGCCATGCTCTACCAACTGAGCTACATCCCTGCCGGCCATTCCCTCCCCTACCCTGGACGACGCTGGGCCAATTGTGCACCGCCCCATGGGTCTCCCGGTCGCAGCCGGCTACGACAGAGCCTGGATTCGAACCAGGATCTCTAGTGACACATGCCTTAGACCACTGCGCCACTCGGGAGGTTGACATCCGGACAGATGAGAGACATTTGTCACAGACATTTCAGGCTTTGCAGAGAACACTATCTTGCCAGTACTTTAGTAATTCTATAACATATAGTCAAGTTGAGTTATGTGGGTGACTTTCTGTATTTCTCTTCCAGCACATGGGGCATGTTGGCACTTGCTTTATGCTCCTAGTTACACATTACAAGCAAGCCAGGAAAGCCACAAATATCTGCTTGGCATGTGGAGATCTCTTGTCATTTTAAACCCTATAGCTATACTTCATAATGTACATACCTTTTATTCAAAATTGCAACTTGCAAGTTGAATCATCAATAAAAAGCTGTTGTTTAGAAACTCATTACAGAGTAGTCTTTATACTCCAGCACGATAGGTGGCAGTAATCATACATTTTAGAGCCTAGAAGCAGCTTCTTCGTTGACTAATGTGACAGTAGGAAGATACTGCCCCCTGCAGGTAGAAATAGAAAATTGTGTTCCGTATCTTATTTGTAGCATGATGACCGCTTACTAGCCTTTTAGCTAGCTGCAGTCACGTAAACGAGACAGTCATTTAACAAAAATATGAACGTTCGTTAGGCATTAATAGTGAATTACCTGAGGACGAGAATGAGTCGACGAAATAATCACTCGTTTTATGATTCTGGACCGCCGAATACATACACTGCTCATGGAAGGTAGGCTAGCTAACGTCATAGCCATTGTAGCCAGCAAGCTAGCTAGTAGCTAACTGTTTACTAGCTGCTAGCTATTAGTTGAGAGTTGTTAGCTAGCTAATCTAAGAATGTAATGTAGTTGATGATAAACATACAGATAGTTTGCTGTTTTTTTGTTGAAAATACAAAAGTATGTCAAGAAAATAATTCATGCGATAAATTCACGTTAGCTTCTCAGTTAGCTATTAATGTGTTGTGTTTGAGTAGATCAGTCTTAATCTCTTTTCTTTATTCGAGTACAGCATCACACCAACCCAGCGAAGTACAGGTAGGTCATTTTACCTTTGGCCCAATATTTGTAAAACCTGTCTGATAGGGATAGGAAACCCATTCCTTACATTCTATTTTTGTTTTTCATTTCAATGAACAAAGCTTATTTTATTCCACATAGAAACAACCCATGTTTATACTCACCACACAAGGCACTCGACCGTAAGCCCAGCATCCTACAACTCTCAGCAAACAAGCAACTCAGAAAAGTAAGATATGCAGTTTTGCTTTTGATTTATCCATTCTAAATGTATCAAGCAGAGTATTTCCCATAAAATGTGATTTAGACTTGTTTGGAACATAGCTTTGTACGTTATATGGCTATTGAAGGGATGTAGCTCAGTTGGTAGAGCATGGCGTTGGCAATGCCAGGGTTGTGGGTTCAATTCCCACGGGGGGCCAGTATGAAAAATAAATAAATAATGTAAGTCGCTCTGGATAAGAGCGTCTGCTAAATTACTTAAATGTAAATGTAAATGTTGAAGACATGGCCAAGTCCTAGTGTAAGGTTTCCAATAGCCACAAAGTCAGTTTCCACAGCCACAAAAGTCAAAATTAGCTTTTTGGTCTTACTTTAAGGTTAGGGTTAGGCATAAGTTTAGCATTGTTGTTACGTTAGATTTAGGTTTAAAATCACATTTTAACAAGATCAATTGTAGAACTGGGCAGGGTTTATGACTTTGTGGCTATAGAAGCTAGTGATGTGGAAGGCCTGCTTAAAAATTACACCATAGAAATGTGGATTGCACAAGACCTGGCTGAAATGCTCTTGTTTTTTCCTCCAGAGCCGAGCTCTACGACCCGTATGATCCTGATCCTGGCTCATCATCAGACTCTGAAGTGGAGCCTTCCAAAGGCAGGGAAGACCATCACAGACACAGAGTTAGTGGAGGGAGCAGCCGCCTGAGTAGTGGATATCAAGGCTCCGCTTCAGGAGCTGGACATAGTGACGGCTTCAACTGGGATTTGTTATACTCTCGGCCTGGTACAAGACATGAAGAGTCGAGCCATGGCATCAGACATGAGCAGTCGAGCCATGGCTCCAGACCTGACCAGTCCAGCCATGGCTCCAGACCTGACCAGTCCAGCCATGACCACTCAGAACGGTCATTGCCCACGACAGAAACCCCACCATTCCCCCTCAATGCATATTGGGGGCAGGGGGAAAATGGGAGAGAAATGTCCACAACCGCAGTACTTGACAAAGAGGTAAGAGGTTCACCGAAGTCAGGTTATTATTTGGGGGGAAAGGTCAAAAGATGTTGCTGAGGCTTGCACTGGTGCAGCGTTGTAATGGTGATGTTTCTCTGTTCTTTGCAGACAAGAAATCCACCAGGGTTTACCCGGTCCCACTGGGATACCAACCCCAATCATCGCCAATCAGAATCTAGTGGAAGAGGTAGGATTGTAACTGTGTTGTTTTGCTAATGGTCTGGCAGAGTTGTGAAGAGAGAGAGAAAGTGTGTGATTGTTAAGTCCTATTCCAGTCTCCTGGAGGGGGGGGGGGGGGTTCTCTATTGCTCCTCTATTGTTCCTCAAGCAAGGGGAGGCCGATGACTTCACAAAGTCACCATCTGACCAACTCATTGAATGTCCTACTCCTTGAAGTTTGCAGGTGTCTAAAAAAAACACACAATTTTACTCAAATCACTGGAGGACGTCTTTAAATGTCCATTTTTAGGAGGGGACCAAACCAAGTCTCCCCCAGAGGTCACGAAGAAGAGAAGCAGAAGCCCAAATGAGGACATACCAAGGTAAAGACATTATTGGAGGAACCATCATCTGACTTATCATGTTTTTTTTGCAAGGACCTCTTTACTAAAATGCACAATAATATTGACACACACCATTATATGTGTGTATATATATATATATTTATATTCTGGTCTCTGACAGACTTTTCTGATATTTAAAATTTTTCTGGATTATGTGTATAATGCTTTTATAATTTTTTTTATTGCTAGGTATTACTGCACTGCTGGAGCTAGAAACACAAGCATTTCGCTGCACCTGCGATAACATCTGCAAAACTGTGTACGCGACCAATAAACGTTGATTTGAGTTGACACAGATTTAAGACCCCTTCTATTGTCTTTTCAGTGATTTTTTCACCTGTGACATGTGTAACTTGGATTTCCATAAAGCGAGTGTCCTTGAGGTGCATCTGAAGTGCAATAGTCACTGGGAGACCCTGGAGCACATCCAAAATCAAAACAACTACGACGACACGGCAATCGCATTTTTACATGTACGTCAAGCAAAAACATTCTCTCTCAGATGGAATGAAATGTGAGATTATCAATCTGTATGACGATTAAGGGAAATTTATTTTTCTTTACGTTTCAGGAGGCCATGTTAACCAAAGTCCGGCAAGGTGATAGACCGCAGATGAACAGACAAAGCCTTAGAGGTAGTTTAATGTGCAAAGCCTGTGGCCTATCGGTAACGCTCCTGGCTAGTCACATATACTGTTCCCCACCAGATTCATTCCCGCGTCCATCCCTCATACTATTCTCCCCCTCTGTGTCCAACTGTGAAAATAAAGTGAAGAATGTAATTAGAAGATATATATTTTTTAAAGGTGGCTAAATTTAAACTCCCCAATGTTTAGGTATTTTTTCTTTCCTCAATAGAAACGAAACCTATTGATTCTAAATGCACTTGTATGATTTGGAGAACATCACTACCAGGTGTCATTAAGCCTACATGTGATTTGACGTCTATATCTCACCCCTATCATTTGCAGCGTTGCAGGACAAGGATTACATGACAAAGGTAGATATTTTCCACTGTGCTCCTTGCCAAGTCTACGTCTCCGTACATCCATCGTCACTGCAGGATCACCTGAGCTCCAAAGACCACCTGAGGAACAAAATGGTAAGGCAGCCATTCTGCTGCTACAGCAGTTATCACACCTCAGATAATCAGTGAATAATGGAACACATGATACATCTTTAAAAAGCAATGGTCACTCACTGATATTGTTTTGGAAGTCATTGTAGTGTTAGCTGGGATGCAACATGAAGTTGGCCAAATTGGCCGATTGTGTTGTTTGATTTTGAATTTTGTCTCAATTCTTTAAAGAAACAAACATCAAAGCGATAGATGATACATTATTTTCTTGAAATCTGTTGTTCTTTCACTGCAACAGACAAGTGGGTGTGCTTACTATTTCATGTTTATATGACTTTTTACTGAAGGAATTTAGAACGAAACAATTGCGGGAAAGTGTGAACTTCGCGAAGGCCACCATGAAACGAATGAAGACTGAGTATGCAAGCTTCTGTGAGGTAAACAATCTGAACAGGCATTTTGCTATACATTAAACTAATGCTATGAATCTGTGAGGAATTACACCATAATCTGTAAAATACCAAAGTTTTGTATTACTTTTTAAAGTCTGTTAATTCTATAAAACTGTAGACAAAAACACATTTAAATTGAATGGAATTGACAAATAATTGGTTGTATTTCAGGGCAAGGATCCTTTTGAACAGTCATCATGAGGGCCATGAAGAATAGGCAAACAGTTGATGCTAACTGCTAGCTAGTGGCTATGGACAACTATGGACAGCCAACAACCACCTATTAAAACCAACTAGACAAAGACCAAATGGACATAGTCTGTGCCCTGAGCGTTGATGTTCAGTCTTATGTACCTCTAAACTAATACAGAATAATCTAAACTAATACAGAATAATCTTAACTAATACAGAATACCTGTTTTCCTTGAGTGTGGAGCATCCATTAGCTAGATATCACGTAGTTGAGAACTTGTAGTCATTTTGTGTTTGATGTAGACATTTCTTCACGTAAGAACATCCATCAGTAACTGTGGACCTTTTTATTTTTCAGTTGGAAATGGTTTTAATTTCAATAGATATTGAAGCACATTTGCAATGTTTTTCCCGCAATTATCATTTGTCCATAGAACTTCTGCTTCGATTCATTGTGAGATTTAAGGTTTGAAATACTGCTATGTTTTGTTTCCTGGAGAAATACGGTCTTTACAGGCTTTCCCCAACTTTGTAGTTTCTTACAATCATTAAAAAAGAATAATACCCAAAAATAAATGTTTAAAAAAATAATGAGTTGTTGGTGTGTGACTGATATTCACAGCCTTTTATAAACCGCAACATAGACGGTTGACCCTGTTTGAAACATTGTCAAGGTTACCATTGTGATATTAATCTGGTACAACATACAGTGGGGAGAACAAGTATTTGATACACTGCCGATTTTGCAGGTTTTCCTACTTACAAAGCATGTAGAGGTCTGTCATTTTTATCATAGGTACATTTCAACTGTGAGAGACAGAATCTAAAACAAAAATCCAGAAAATCACATTGTATGATTTTAAAGTAATTAATTTGCATTTTATTGCATGACATAAGTATTTGATCACCTACCAACCAGTAAGAATTCCGGCTCTCACAGACCTGTTAGTTTTTCTTTAAGAAGCCCTCCTGTTCTCCACTCATTACCTGTATTAACTGCACCTGTTTGAACTCGTTACCTGTATAAAAGACACCTGTCCACACACTCAATCAAACAGACTCCAACCTCTCCACAATGGCCAAGACCAGAGAGATGTGTAACGACATCAGGGATAAAATTGTAGACCTGCACATGGCTGGGATGGCCTACAGGACAATAGGCAAGCAGCTTGATGAGAAGGCAACAACTGTTGGCGCAATTATTAGAAAATGGAAGAAGTTCAAGATGACGGTCAATCACCCTTGGTCTGGGGCTCCATGCAAGATCTCACCTTGTGGGGCATCAATGATCATGAGGAAGGTGAGGGATCAGCCCAGAACTACACGGCAGGACCTGGTCAATGACCTGAAGAGAGCTGGAACCACAGTCTCAAAGAAAACCATTAGTAACACACTACGCCGTCATGGATTAAAATCCTGCAGCGCACGCAAGGTCCCCCTGCTCAAGCCAGCGCATGTCCAGGCCCGTCTGAAGTTTGCCAATGACCATCTGGATGATCCAGAGGAGGAATGGGAAAAGGTCATGTGGTCTGATGAGACAAAAATAGAGCTTTTTGGTCTAAACTCCACTCGCCGTGTTTGGAGGAAGAAGAAGGATGAGTACAACCCCAAGAACACCATCCCAACCGTGAAGCATGGAGGTGGAAACATCATTATTTGGGGAAGCTTTTCTGCAAAGTGGACAGGATGACTGCACCGTATTGAGGGGAGGATGGATGGGGCCATGTATCGCGAGATCTTGGCCAACAACCTCCTTCCCTCAGTAAGAGCATTGAAGATGGGTCGTGGATGGATCTTCCAGCATGACAACGACCCGAAACACACAGCCAGGGCAACTAAGGAGTGGCTCCGTAAGAAGCATCTCAAGGTCCTGGAGTGGCCTAGCCAGTCTCCAGACCTGAACCCAATAGAACATATTTGGAGGGAGCTGAAAGTCCGTATTGCCCAGCGACAGCCCCGAAACCTGAAGGATCTGGAGAAGGTCTGTATGGAGGAGTGGGCCAAAATCACTGCTGCAGTGTGTGCAAACCTGGTCAAGACCTACAGGAAACGTATGATCTCTGTAATTGCAAACAAAGGTTTCTGTACCAAATATTAAGTTCTGCTTTTCTGATGTATCAAATACTTACAGTGGGGGAAAAAAGTATTTAGTCAGCCACCAATTGTGCATGTTCTCCCACTTAAAAAGATGAGAGAGGCCTGTAATTTTCATAATAGGTACACGTGAACTATGACAGACAAATTGAGAAAAAAAAATCCAGAAAATCACAATGTAGGATTTTTTATGAATTTATTTGCAAATTATGGTGGAAAATAAGTATTTGGTCACCTACAAACAAGCAAGATTTCTGGCTCTCACAGACCTGTAACTTCTTCTTTAAGAGGCTCCTCTGTCCTCTACTCATTACCTGTATTAATGGCACCTGTTTGAACTTGTTATCAGTATAAAAGACACCTGTCCACAACCTCAAACAGTCACACTCCAAACTCCACTTTGGCCAAGACCAAAGAGCTGTCAAAGGACACCAGAAACAAAATTGTAGACCTGCACCAGGCTGGGAAGACTGAATCTGCAATAGGTAAGCAGCTTGGTTTGAAGAAATCAACTGTGGGAGCAATTATTAGGAAATGGAAGACATACAAGACCACTGATAATCTCCCTCGATCTGGGGCTCCACGCAAGATCTCACCCGTGGGGTCAAAATGATCACAAGAACGGTGAGCAAAAATCCCAGAACCACACGGGGGGACCTAGTGAATGACCTGCAGAGAGCTGGGACCAAAGTAACAAAGCCTACCATCAGTAACACACTACGCCGCCAGGGACTCAAATCCTGCAGTGCCAGACGTGTCCCCCTGCTTAAGCCAGTACATGTCCAGGCCCGTCTGAAGTTTGCTAGAGTGCATTTGGATGATCCAGAAGAGGATTGGGAGAATGTCATATGGTCAGATGAAACCAAAATAGAACTTTTTGGTAAAAACTCAACTCGTCGTGTTTGGAGGACAAAGAATGCGGAGTTGCATCCAAAGAACACCATACCTACTGTGAAGCATGGGGGTGGAAACATCATGCTTTGGGGCTGTTTTTCTGCAAAGGGACCAGGATGACTGATCCGTGTAAAGGAAAGAATGAATGGGGCCATGTATCGTGAGATTTTGAGTGAAAACCTCCTTCCATCAGCAAGGGCATTGAAGATGAAACGTGGCTGGGTCTTTCAGCATGACAATGATCCCAAACACACCGCCCGGGCAACGAAGGAGTGGCTTCGTAAGAAGCATTAAGGTCCTGGAGTGGCCTAGCCAGTCTCCAGATCTCAACCCCATAGAAAATCTTTGGAGGGAGTTGAAAGTCCGTGTTGCCCAGCGACAGCCCCAAAACATAGCTCTAGAGGAGATCTGCATGGAGGAATGGCCAAAATACCAGCAACAGTGTGTGAAAACCTTGTGAAGACTTACAGATAACGTTTGACCTGTGTCATTGCCAACAAAGGGTATATAACAAAGTATTGAGAAACTTTTGTTATTGACCAAATACTTATTTTCCACCATAATTTGCAAATAAATTCATTAACAATCCTACAATGTGATTTTCTGGAAAAAAAATTCTCATTTTGTCTGTCATAGTTGATGTGTACCTATGATGAAAATGACAGGCCTCTCTCATCTTTTTAAGTGGGAGAACTTGCACAATTGGTGGCTGACTAAATACTTTTTTCCCCCACTGTATGTCATGCAATAAAATGCAAATTAATTACTTAAAAATCATACAATGTGATTTTCTGGATTTTTGTTTTAGATTCCGTCTCTCACAGTTGAAGTGTACCTATGATAAAAAATGACAGACCTCTACATGCTTTGTAAGTAGGAAAACCTGCAAAATCGGCAGTGTATCAAATACTTGTTCTCCCCACTGTAGTTCATCTACAGTATATGCAAACCAGCCATTTGAAATACTAACTATTGCTTAAGGTTAAAATTGTGCAGTTTTGGAAAGGAACAATTTTCTGGTTCTATAGAATAACAGTGCCCTTTGATATCCTGTGAATACAGATTCCTCTTATTGAGTTGAAACTTCATGGAGTCTTCAGTGGTCCCACACATTTGTGGTATCCCACTGTAGATTGATGTATTCACCAGATTAAGTATCATAAAACTACTGAATGAGTTAAGTTTCAGGTATGATTTGATTGTTCATGGATGACAGCAATCTGTCCATCCTTGACAAACTAATAGTGGGACACTTAAAGAAAACACCACAGGTCAATCCAGTTGACTAAACAGTACGTTTTTTATTTTTTAGAACATCACAAAAATGGTTTCTGCATCATATCTGTATGATATACATTTAAACATAAATTATTTAAAAAGACAAACAGCAATTTTTTTTGAAACAGTTAAAAAACATTAAATATAGGCAACAGTTATTCATGAAAGGCAGCTACAATAAGCACTGTGACTGCATCATTGAACAGACTGACTGATAAACCCTATTCATTTAGGTGTTTCAGTTAATATGCAGATAACTGCAGCATGTGAAACCCACCACCCCAAACTGGCATCCATGTTTTGAACCTTTTGTTCTGTGATTAACTTGCAAGCCACACTTACCCATATTGATAGTCATCAACTAATCTTTAGGTAGATTTCCTATCAATTTATTTTCTTACCCAGAACCCCCTACCTGCAAACACAAATCGTAGCAATATGATCATGATTTCAATACATGTTAAAATACAGAAGAGAATTGTATTTGTCCCATTTTTGTTTTCATGTGTAGCATAAATGTAAATATCAACATACAGAGAAAAGGTGCTCCAAACTGGACCAAATGGACAGAGAATTTTTAGGAATCTGAGGTAAGAGTTGTCTCTATTGGAAATGGGTTCCACACTAATTACTGCATAAACACAAGAAAACAGTCAGCCCACATGGAATCATATTCATAACATGGGACATTTAAAATGTTGATAAAATGTAACAATAGCCAAAAAATGTAATGTGTTTTAAGAGATTAGGTAGTCATACTCCTCTGAAATTGTGTGTTGTAATAGTGGCAAGCATTTTTCAATTATAACTGTATAAAACTGAAGGAACATCCAATGTACAAACACATACACGCACAGGACCAAAATAGTGATTTTTTAAAACTAGGTCCCCTTGGCTTAGGAGGCAGTGTGAGTTATCAGTGATGGGTTCTGTCTTTCAGTGGTGGTGGAGAAGGAGGGGTCCCTGGGCAATGAAGTGACCTCCCTCATGCCTGCCCCTGTGTGGGGGACACTGGCATTCATAATGTGCCTTTGTAGATGCTTTATCCAGTCCTCCTGGACCGACAAGGGGCCCTGGAAGACTAGGTCACAGAATCTGCAAAGAGGATCCAAGCACAGTAAGACCCCCATTCAGACGTGGCCCTCAAAGACAGTATAAGCTACAACCTGGGTCTTAAATATCTTTGAATGCAAATATTTTTGGTCAACTTAATTCATTTGAAAGCGTCAATACAAATGCATTGAATAGAGCTTTGCCCCAACTTAAATCTTAGTGTTTATTAGCAGAAACATTTAAATGAATAATACAATAATTTACACCAACGGCATAGACAGTGTGGTATGTGGTCAACCTTTGTGGCATATAACAAGATGAGGTATAGAGTACCTGCAGGTTAGTCTATACATCTCCTCTGGTGCGTGTGGCGTAGTGGGGGACGTCTTCTTCTTGGAACCAGGCCTCGATCTCTGCCTCCTTTGTTTACAGTCATACGCTGAAACAGGGCAAGACAGAACAACATGCTCAGGTAAGTTTGGTATTGACTGGTGACCATGCGTGTACTGAAGCAGTGGGTTTGTGTGAGGCAGTGACATTGAAGAAAGCATTGTGTTCACTTTACAGTAGTGAGGCCGTGAGCAATGATATTACTTTGTGAACATGTGCCATTGATGATGACGCAAAGGCACTTACTTGTTCCCTCCAGCAAGGCAGTCCTCTTTCGTTTTGCGTATGCCCGCAAGTGATTGGACAGACTAACACCGCTGTGGAAGGTTGCGTTGCAATGGACACACACCTTCCTGTTGAATTCACCTTTCTCTGTGAAACAATATTTAACGAAAATCAATCACACTTTTGACCACATCAGCCATGGTTTTGCACGCATACAGACACTCGATTTGGCGTTCATATCTTTCATGCTAGCATTTTGTATTTCGTTAACATCCCTTCATACCTAACTTTAAATGGACTCTTGGTCTTACCTGATGTAGAGTTTGAGAGTGTTGAGTTGACTTGTGCTCCTCTACTGTGCTCGCTGGTGGGGGGAACTGCCAAGGCGTTTCTTGCCGTTAGAGAGGAAGTCCTCAACTTTGAGTCCACCTGACACTTCCTCCTCTTCAGAATTCCTATCAAGGCACTCGAGAGTGAACCTTTCACCTCCAACTTAGTCTCTGCCTGTTTCCTATCCAATGTTTCCCCTGGTAGAGAATACATGGGCACCAGTGATTTGGCATTGTTGTAGAGGTTCTGGATGGGATTCCGTTTAGGTGTCAGGTGATTAGATGTGGCCTGCTTTGAGGGGATTCTGGAATGGGAGGGGATCCGTTTTTTGCCCAGAATCTGCAGAGCTCTCTGGAACTCTCTCTTGTCACGCATCAGCTCCCGGAGCAACAACATTGGGGACTTGGACTTAGTGGCGATGGTTTTGCCGAGCCGTTTCAGATGGCCCCGAACATGGTTGGACAGCCCAGTCTTATTATCAAAAGAGTCCCCACATAATGGACAGGAGTGCCCTCGGACCGGAGAGTCCTCGGACCCCAACCTGGGTGCTGAAATAATAGCAACACAGCAGAAATAATTGGTCAAAACTTCTTTGTATGCCAAAGAAATTAGTTCCCATCCCATTCAAAATTTTAAAAGATTATTTATCGAGTACTTAGCAGTGTACCCAATCCCGCCGACTACGCCAAAATGTGTCATGGCAAAGCTAGTACTACAGTAATGAAAGATCACGGACGTATAACTTTAAGGTGTGGTATTTCACGTATTAGCATGATACATTAACACATCATGAATACATTGTAATGACATTAACAACCTACAAATTATTACCAAATTATTGATGAATTTGCCTATGTTGAATAATGTAAACTTCTCCAATCAAACCAGGTGTGTAATTTTTTTCTTACAATACAATATTTAGTTTCCTTTATTTACACCCCAACCGACCACTGTTCTGCCACCTCTGGTCTTTTGACCCTCCCACCCCTATGGGAGGGCAGCTCCCGCTCAGCCCAGTCCAAGCTCTTCTCTGTCCTGGCACACCAATGGTGGAACCAGCTTCCCCCTGAAGCTAGGACAGCAGAGTACCTGCCCATCTTCTGAAAACATCTGAAACCCCACCTCTTCAAAAGAGAATAATCCCACAGCACCCCCTCCCCAAAAAATGCCTTTCGTGAACTAACACTCACACTTGACTCCCCCCCACTAGCTCTGACTTTGCTGATATCTACTTTGAGGAAAAATCTACTTACTATGACTGTGATATGTGGTTGTCCAACCTAGCTATCTTAAGATGAATGCACTAACTGTAAGTCGCGCTAGATAAGAGCGTCTGCTAAATGACTAAAATGTAAATGTAGCTAATAAAAACCCTATGCGTCTCTATTTAGAGGAGGTTTCTGTGAAGCCAAATGGTTGACCGCTGGCTCATCTGTATAACAACATGAAGGTGACCAGCACTGTTGAACATTATATTGAAGGATCAGAACATAACCATCCATGCAACAAAATATAATATAAGATGGAAAGATAAAGGAAATTAGTACCTTTTTTCAGTCGTTGCATTGCTACCATCTTTCGACGGATGCGGGGCTTCCGGTCTTTAGAAGCCACTTGCTCTCTTGATACCACATGGCGTGCATTGTAACTCAGTCCAACCCTATGAAGATGCCCTCTCACGTGATTGGATAATCCCACACCTGACTCGAACACTGCAGTACAGTAAGGACAGGTCTTCCGCTCCCCACCACCTTCCGAATCTAAAAAGGATTCACTTAGTGGCACCGAGTTGGGCGCAAGGGTCTCTCCAAAAATCTGTGTTTCGATGCACTCTTCCTTGACAATTGGCTTCTGCTGCGACTGCCCGTCTTGACCTTTCTCAAACATGTCTTCAGAGGTTCCAAGGACTCCCCTCACAGACATTCTTCTGCTAAAGGAATTAACAATGTACGGTTTCTCTTGCTTGATTTCACTTTTATCAAGAAGTTTAGTGTTGGCATCTGTGGAATAGTCACTATACTGGAAGACATCCTCCTTATCATCACAGTCTTCCTCTTCCATATCCTCCACCATATTTAGCATCTTTGGACTTTGCAAATGTTTTGGTAAAATGAAGCAAGAGTCCTGGTCAACAGTATTGCGATAAGGGGTGGACATTTTTCTTTTGGAAGGTGACTTTTTCATAATGGGCTTTTCTACGACAAGTTTAAAGACATGTTTGCTGTTGAGGTCTGCACTAATACCTTCGCTTAAACCAGAATCACAGACAGAATTTAATATATTATTCTCCAACTTAGATGCCAATAAACATTTGTGGCCATTAGAGGGAGAATTTGGATTTTCTGAAATTCCTGACAATGTTCTTCCAAAATCATGATCATTGTTGTCCCCGTTTCTGTCCTCGACAAAAGAAAAACCTGTGGTGACATCAATTTTTTCATTGCTCTGCTTGTCACGTCTTTGTCGAGACAACAGATTATTTATTGACTTGTCAAGTTTTGACTCTGTGGGTTGAGACTTGAAGCCCCTTTGTGCTCTGTGAACAATCTTATCCTTTTTGAAAAGATCAGAAATGTCATTTGAATCACAAGGCGAATCTGTTATTTTTCTGAAAGCCTGTTTTTTTACAGATAATTTTGATGTCAGCTCTGAAGAAAAGGAATCTACTACTGGGGATTTTCTAATGGGAAAGTGCATCTCAGAAGGTGGTTGTGCATACTCATTTCTTTCTCTACACTGCAAAGCTTCATATTCCTCGTATGTCTGATTATGACGAATCTCAAGATGATTTTTAAATACGTTTTTACTTGAGGTGCCATAAGAACAACGGTTACAGGAGTAAGAATGATGCGTTTCATCATCTTCCTTTGACTTAAACACTCTGGGTTTCTCTGGAAGCTCTTCCTGGTTTTTACAGAGACTGTGCTCTTTGTTCACGTGTCTCTCAAGTTCTAACACTGTCACAGCCATGTAGTTACACTTCTTACAGTCGTAGTACCGCTTGTCCTTCTCATGAGTCTTAGCATGTTGAATAAAAGTATTTGGACAATTTGTTCCAAAAGCGCACTGGGGGCACTGTAGCCTTGCATCTGTGCCCTCATCCTTCAATTCATTCATGCCCTTGATCTCCTCAATGAGTCTCTCTCTTCTCTCCTGGTGTATGGTCATATGCCGAAGGAGGGAGTTGCGAAAGCGGAACGACTGTCCACACTCCCTGCATATAAAAGGCTTTGGCATGTTGATAGGACTGGGCGGATCTGTGTGAGTCCTCATGTGCCGGTGCAAATGGTTCTTCTCCTTGAAATTTATGTTGCACTTTGTGCAAGGAAAAAACAATGGCTCCTCCTCTGAACAAGGGTCTGTCTGTGGTTTCCCTTTCAGTGGCGTAAGCTTGTGAGCCACGCTTTGCTCACGTGGATATCTTGCTGGCGCACTGAAAATCAGTTGCTTGATAGCCTCTACAGTTCCATTGGGATACTGGGCTTTCTTCGCTGTCGGTGACTGATTTTTTGAGCTTTTTCTTAAGGATCGGACCTTGTTGATGGGAACAGGGTCTTCTTGATCCTCCTCATCAAATACGTCTTTTGTTGACTTGAGGCTCAAATCAGAGTAAAGTTCCTCTGAGGGATCTACCATGACCACCATGTCCATTTTGCGTTTCCTCCTCCTGTTTGGGGGAGGATCTGCCTTTGGTGGCTCCTCCACAGGAGAATCATCATGGTTGTCCCACAGAAACTGCATGAATTCTCTCTGAGGGTCCCAGCTTAGGGGACCCTCATAATTATCCATTGAGTTCTCTGAAGATTCCACATCGAAACCCCATATCCCTGCAGTGTCAATGTCCTGCACAGTCTTCAACTGAGTAATACTCTTTTCCTCCTCCTTTTCTGTTGACAAGCTGTTGAATTCATCTGATTCGAAGGCTTGGTGTGATGGTCCATTCACAGACAACACATTTGTGTTTGAGAGAACATCAAGGACACTGCTATTTTCTCTCAGAGGAGAAGTGTGAGGTCTGTCCAACATTTCCATAAACAAGGGCATCTGATTTATCATTGGATCCTGAAGTAGATCTAAGGGGTCCATCATAGGATCTGCATCTTTCTCCTCTTCATCAATACCGGTCAGATCAGACATTTCAGTACCTGAACCCTAGGAAAGAAAAAAACATCAGAAAGATGTTGCCTTTGCCCATCAATCATCCGAGCTGGCTACTCTTGCCAAATATGGTACCGCTCCTTTAAGAACTCTCTACCACCACCAGTGGTGCCTGCTATTGGTTCACAGCAACAACAGAAAAAGCACAGTCCAACATTACTTCTGAGAGCTGCTGCAAAATATGATCACAATTGTATTTATGTAATTCGAGCTGAATTTGTGTAGTTAAAGATCACTTTGTCATTTGTAAACACTCACAAACGGGGAAGAAATCTGCTGTTATTTAGCCTAGTAAAAAAAAAAAACGTTGCATAAATTTTTTACACTGCTAGATGCCATTTCATATACATAAAACAAGGATCTCGATGTAATAAAATGCTAGTCGATCAACCCTTACTCAAGACCGATGGGTAACGTTATGACTGTTGATGAGCAGTAGACAGACGGTCGTCACTAGCTGGCACAGCCACAAAGTCATAAACCCCGCCTATTTTTACAATGTATCTTCTTAAAATCTGATTTTAAACCTAACCTTAACCACACACTGCTAACCTTATGCCTAAATTTTAATTACATTTATGCCTAATCCTAATATTAAATTATGACCAAAAGCTAATTGTTGAATTTTTACGATATAGACAATTTTGAGTTTGTGGCTGTGCCAGCTAGTGGAAACCGCAGTAGACAGTTCTGCATTCGATGGTAGCTACAAACTTTCTAGCTATGTGTTGCAGCACTGCCCACCTATGCAAAAACAAAACAAAACGCAACCTTTGATTTCAAAAGCACAAACATAGCGAGCTAATTGTGGTCTTCCTCGAGCCCCATAAAGCTCCAAAGGTGCTTTACTTCTTGTTAAATCATCCTGTTGTTGGATGCTTTGCAATAGCCTACTACAGTCCATACTGTTCCATACCAAAACCCCCACCAAACCCCACACAAAAAAACGGATATGTTTGAACAATACCAAGATTTGACAATATTGTAAGATAAGATTTTAAACGTTACCGAAGAACGGTGCAAATGCAAACGATATGTACTTTAATCGTTGCATTGAATTATTGCTCACTTTCGTCTTCCATCCATTCCACAGTCGCCATTTTCCTTGATGGTCTAAGTAAGTTAAACCATTTTTTTGAGAGGGAATACAAGAACAAAACAACTGCATTAATGCAAATTAAAATTTGAATTGCTCAACATTTTTCCAGTTTAGGACTAGGAATATAATACATAATTCACAGTGTAATAAATTATTTTAATATACGTCCGTGATCTTTCATTGACTTTGTGTCATCGTGATAAACTTCCCCTGCAAGAAAAAGTGGTTTGTCCCAGATAGACAGCATGAAAAATCCCGAGGTGATGATCATCTACCTAGTTATCGGTAGAAGATTGGGTGACTGATACTGATAGTCGGTTTTAAATTGAATAAATTGACATGTTGGATGGTAATTTCCATTGGATGTAGATATGTCTTTATCTCTCTCTCTCTGTCTGAATCACCTTGGGGTTTGGGAACACCTTGGGGGGGGGGGGTCATACAGTTAGTTACTCCTCAACATAATAGCACAAGATTACTAGCAATCACGACGAATCTTTCCTCTCAATGTTTTATTTTTAGATGTAGCAACTTCACAATGCGTACATGCAGAATGTCATATTTGCCATTTAAGTAATAAAAGCTACAGTCTGCGAATGGTACGTCCATTTCTGGACATGATATAAAGGCTTATAACAATACCTTATGAGCTTAGTTCAACCGTCTTACACCACCAGAACCCAAAATAAAAGCTTGTTTTACTCCATTGTCTGTAAACAATGTAATTGTAAACAAATGCTGTATACCTCAAAACATGACAATTTTGATCATGATGGATGGCCCTTGAAGCCATCCAGCCCTGGTAGCCTATGAATTTGAAAGTGGTTACAATTCTCCACCCCTATCCCTCCCCTGTTTGACAAGACAAGTAGCGGGGCGTTATTTTGTTGTTTTTCGAATCCCAGACTGTGGCTTTAATGTTACAGTCAGTTGTGTCTGAGTGTGCTCTTACCTGTTCAACATGATGTTTTTTCCCCATAGATTGTTCACTCATAATCTTATAGGATATTGAAATACCATATAAAATCTTAATGTACCGAATTTGTTGGCTATATCTGACAGCATGTTGTTTTGAAACCTGTCAATCGTCTTTGCGTCGAGAGGCAGCCGCAGCGCGCGCACAACAATCAATAAGCTGACAATCAATCACCAGCTGGTTAGCTCTCAAGCCTAGTTTAGCTACCTAGTTGTCAGATACATATACGAACTGTCTAGCTAGCTAGCTAGCTAGCTAGCTAGCGATCGTACATTATTGAGCAGCTTGATTCTAAATCGATTCTTACGATATATGAATTATAATCACACTTATTTTGTTCAAACGAAAAAAAGTACTAGTTAGGCATATTTTGAGTTGCCCATCAATCATCTGAGCTGCCCTAACTCCCGGAGCGAAGATCGAGCATTGGGCGTCTAGGCTCGAGACTAGTTAGCTAGCTAGCTAGCCCACACCGAAACAGGTAGGCTAACATATACTTTACTTAGCTAACTACCGGAATTATCTATTCCCACGCCACTAGTCAGTTTGAAATAAAATACGAATTAACATGCTCTCATCCGTATGGTCATAGTAAACTGTTATTTTGTCAAATAAGTCGCTTACATGAAAGCGAGCGAACTAGCCTGCCTAGCTAGTTATCTACCGTTAGCTTGTTAGCTAGCTTGCTAGCAAGCTAACTTTTAGGTCCTTTACAAGACTGCCATCTTGCGTTCATCTATTTTAGTGTCTTCAACACCTTTTTGAAAACAACACCTGAGGCCTTAGCACAAAAACAATATGTGGTTTATAGTATGACGACAATTAAGATATTTTATGAGGTCTATTCAGGCTACAGTACTGACAAAATTATTACTTTTCATAAGAAGGCTACTGATTCAATCCCTCCCAGTTGCTGCAACCCTAGGCAGAACCAATAAAGACTCCAGTTGTGGCAACATCATGTATGTCTCCCTGAAATGGCTGTCAGGTGTCTGTTGCATATACCATGATTATGTCTAACTTTGTAATTCTACAGATGACTGTTACATAGCCTAAGCCTACATGAACTGGAGAGATGTTGGACTCAGAAGAGTGCACTTTGTACCTGGATAACCTGTTCTTTGAGAGGCCAGTTGTCCACAAAGTGTGAGTTGTCAGAAACAACCTGCATCCCACAGTCATGCCCTCCTAAATGTATATTTAGCTAGGAACTGGGCTCTTGCTATGGAGAATGCTTGCTCAACCCTTTTCCTGCCTTGGTCCTGTCTCCAGAAAGCCACTTTGTCAAGAGCAGAGTTCTTGGCAGTTGGAACCCCCTCCATCCCTATCCCAGATTCCAGCCACTCAGGACATCCAGAAAGAGGCAGAGGGTCTTTCATCATTCAGTAAGTTACATTTGATGTGATTCAATCATTTTAGTCAATTCAGTCAATACTGTAAGGGCCTGGGCCAGATTCCCGGAGCCAGATTAAGCATAGTCCTGGACTAAAATGCACTGTCAATGAAAATTCTCCAGTGAGAATGATTGTTTTGTTTAAGACTAGGCTTAATCTGGGTCTGAGAAACCGTCCCTAAGAGTCAGGATTTAGTTTGAAGTCATGTCCCTCCCTGTCAATCATTACATCATCATGTCTTCTATCATCTCCAATGCAGGTTTCTCTCAGAAGTCCAAGAAATTCATTCCCCCTTTGAAAAGAGCAGTCGGCAATGATGGTTTCACACCAAAGAACACAGATTTTCAGATTACCAGTGATGGAGAAAAAGAACCAGAGGGCCAGGGCGGGTGTGCCCTCTGGTCTCAGGAAGACTTCATGAATAATTCCCAGGATTCCACAATGGTCAGCAGAGGTCGAACTGAAACCCCACAGGAGTCTGGTCATGCGCTGGAGCAGAGACATTTCCCTCTGGACTTCAGCCAAAGCCCACCTGTACGGAGAGGGTAAGCCATTCAAATAAAGCTAATGAGTGTGTATACTGTGCATTCAGAATACATAGTAAATGTCAGTTGCTGTCTTTTTTCTCCAATCATGTGACTTATACAGATACTATTGTTTTGGAATGTAATGAGTGTAAAAAAAATCCCTTTATCGTATATTTGGCAAAGCCCCTCTAAAATGTGATCTTCTTTATCAAAGATATGGCTGTACTAGTTACATCATGATATGTGGGATATTACTGCAAGCACTTATGATCTATCTGCCCGTTAGTTAAATAATCTCTTTCTTGTTACAGTTTGTTCAAACCTCTCATTGGTCAGGTGCTGAACAGTGGCGCAGACTTGAACAGCCGCTGCAGCCAGGCAAGACCCAGAGCACAGCAAACTTTCAACCGGGTTTCCATGGCGACAGAGCCTCGGCTGGCGAGCCAGTCAGCAGCAGGCCCCAGCTCCCTCAGCGGTCTGGGTCCGGCTGCAGCCCGGGGACCCCCACCGCAGACACAGGACAAGGGCACCAAGAGGGCTAACATCCTCCCCATGACACCCCGGCCCCTTCACATACAAGGTAGTACCGCACAGACAGAACCCAACATGATGTCTGTATATATATATCTCATATACATATATAAATCATATACATATTGCTATGATGAGGTGTTGTAGCTGAAGAATGTACTCAGATTTAATGGTCATGGCAGCAGCTGTCACTGTTCGTTAGGGCTTGATGTGGTGAAACAAGGTGAGCACTACCCAATGCCCTCTTGGCTGTAATGCAGACAATTACCACTAGGGGGTGGCCAATATCTCCCATTTTGACTGGAATTGGTTTGGATATTGAAATATAAACACATTTATACAGATTTTTTTTTCTTCATATCAGGTACTTCTGGGCCTGGGATACTCCGACCAGTCTCTGAAATCCGTATCCTTTCTCACCCTTATCACAAGTAATTACTGCTGAAATACATTCAACTTTAATTTAACGAAGTTAACAAATCAATTTTAGTTAGAAAATGTTTGTATCCTTAATCAAAGTATCACAGATGCAAAATTCAGATCTGTCTTCAAAGAGTTCCCTTACTTCAACTACGTCCAGTCCAAAGCCCTGGATGATGTAAGTGTAGGCATCTAGACTTTATTAAATCTTCAACCTTATCATCAAAACAAAATCCGTGGCCGATTTCTTGGAACAAAATGCTTTTTTGCAGGTTCTTTACACGGGAAAGAACGTTGTGGCTTGTGCTCCTACTGGCTCTGGTAAGACAGTGCTCTTTGAGTTGGCCATCATCCGCCTACTGATGGAAACCACAGAGCCCTGGAGAAACGTCAAAGCTGTGTATAGTAAGTAATGTCACATCAAAACCACTAGTTTCTTAGTATCCCTTTAAAAAGCAATAGGTAAAATGTACTAAGACATCAACAGCCAATCTAAAACATCAAGAGCCAGTTAAAGCTACAGTATGGGTTAAGCTAGCTAACATAGTGTTCAAAATGTATATGTTGTATTTTTTATTAAATGAAAACTTTGCATTAATTTTCATTAATGTTGTTCTCTTCAGTGGCCCCCATCAAAGCTCTATGCAGCCAGCGCTTTGAGGACTGGAAGAAGAAATTTGAGCCTCTGGGCCTGAGCTGCAAGGAGCTGACCGGAGACACAGAGATCGACGACTTCTTTGAGATTCAGGACGCCCATATCATCATGACCACACCTGTACGTGAAAAATGTATCCCAGTGTACATGTCGCATTAAAGCACGTCACTAGCAGTCATTTTGTTTGTGTGTAATATGTAGCGGAATGAGGTGGCTGATCCTGTGACCATAGCAACCATCCATTGAAGAACAAGCAGTCAGGATTCCCATGTTTCTCATGCAAACAGGGCTTGGGTATACAAGAATAGATACATTTTTGTTTTTTAGGGCTCATGGATGGATGGATACATTGTGTTGTATCAAGATAATTCATTAGAAGATTCATTAAAAAAAAACTTAATTTAACACTTCATTAACCCGTTCTCGATAAAGCTCAGACACATTTCTTTGTTCCTCCCAGGAAAAATGGGACAGCATGACCAGGAAGTGGAGGGATAACTGCCTGCTGCAGTTGGTCCGGCTTTTCCTTATTGACGAGGTCAGTGGATATGCCTAAGTACTTAATGTTCTGTTAAAAATTCCCTCAGGTATCACTGCAACCATAGACTTGGCCAAATAACACTCTGAAACAGCTTGGACAGACTGAAACTTTCTTGCACAGATTGTAATCGATTGTTTCTTGATTTGTCATTGAACTTAGTAGTGCATATCTGTCTAGTATTATGTTATGTGTTTTATTGACAACTAAATATACTCCATCTTGGCTCTTTCTAGGTGCACGTGGTGAAGGACACTACGCGTGGAGCGACACTAGAGGTGGTGGTGAGCAGGATGAAGGCGGTCCATGCCTACCGTGCAGCAGAGAACCCCCAGGAGGACCTCTCCATGAGATTTGTGGCCGTCTCCGCCACCATTCCAAATGTCAAGGATGTAAGTGGCTGAGGGGCCAAGAGGGGTGATAGCACACTTTGGCCATATTCTAATACTCTAAAGAGGCTTCCTTCACTATAGTCCTTCTTTCCCTTTCTGATACATGCATCTCCATCAGTGGAGGCTGCTGAGGGGAGGACGGCTCATAGCAACGGCTGGAATGGAGTCAATGGAATGTTTTTTTTTTTTACAGCTGTTCTTTAATTATTTGCTATTTTTATTTTTTACTTATCTATTTTTTACTTTAACACTTTTTTTTTTTTTAATTCTTAAAACTGCATTGTTGGTTAAGGGCTTGTAAGTAAGCATTTCACTGTAATGTCTACACCTGTTGTATTCGGCACATGTGGCAAATAAAATTTGATTGATTGATCAACCACATGTTTGACACCATTCCATTCCAGCCATTATTATGAGCCGTCCTCTCCTCAGCCTCCACTGATCTCCATATCTTGTTATGTTGTTCTTATCTCCTTCAGAAAGAGTAGGGGAATAGGAAATAGGGAAGGAGAGGAGGAGGCTGCTTGGAAGTATTGATATTTACCGATTATCATTAAACAGAGCATTTATTTGAAGAAATTCCCTCTCCTCACTGTGTTCAATGGTTTGACATGGCAGATAGCAGACTGGCTGTGTGACAACAGAGGCCCTGCTACTTGTCTGGAGATGGATGAGAGTCACAGACCTGTGAAACTGAGGAAAGTAGTGCTGGGTTTCCCCTGCAGCAGCAACCAGACTGAGTTCAAGTTCGACCTGTCACTCAACTACAAGATGGCCAACATCATCCAGACCTACTCGGACCAGAAACCAACCCTTGTTGTGAGGAACTCTCTTTGTGTCTCTGAAATGTAGACATGACCAGCACCATATTTGTACGTTTCAGTAAGTATTGCCATTGTTAATAGCTCACACATGGGATTTCTTTCAAAACAGTTTTGCTCAACAAGGAAAGGAGTCCAGCAGTCAGCCACTGTTCTGGCCAAGGATGCCAGGTTCATCATGAGGCTTGAGCACAAACAAAGGTTTGAGCTACTTCCCTTTTCATTCTCTACAGATGTACAGGTACTCAATACAAATGTCTTCCTGTTTAGTTAGATCTGATTGAATCGTTGGAATCCTCTGTTTGCAGGTTGATGAAGTATGCAAACTCTCTTCTGGACTCAAAACTCAAAGGTCGGTGGATAATTTAGAATAATTTATATTCCTTCTCTTCTGTATCATGTAGGCAAACATTTCTCATTGATTTTAAATATAACTATTATTGCATTAGAATGTGGAATCACTAGCCCAGTGATTTCTCTATTCCAGACCTGGTGACGTTTGGGGTTGGTTTCCACCACGCCGGGGTTGACGTGTCAGACAGGAAGGTGATCGAGGAGGCCTTCACCATGGGAGACCTGCCTGTACTGTGTAAGCATTATGGCCTTCAGCATGGGAGACCTGCCTGTACTGTCTAAAGGCTCTCACACATCGCAACAAATGTGGATCTAGCGTTCGTCTGTCCATCGTTCAGCGCAATGTGTTTTAGGGACCACGCGCTGTAGACGTCTGACTGACGATTCTACATGTAAAATCGGTTTGTAAATTAAGTTCAGAGGTGCTAAGTACTCTCGGCCAGCAAATGCTATTGGGGTGTCTGAGCCCTAAAGGCGTCCGCATGCTTCCTAGCCGAAACAGTTCGTGCATATACAGTACCAGTCAAAAGTTTGGACAAACCTACTCAATCCAGGGTTTTTCTTTCTTTGTACTATTTTCTACATTGTAGAATAATAGTGAAGACATAAAAACTATGAAACAACACATATGGAATCATGTAGTAACCAAAAAAGTGTAAAACAAATCAAAATATATTTTATATTTGAGATTCTTCAAAGTAGCAACCCTTTGCCTTGATGACAGCTTTCCACACTCTTGGCATTCTCTCAACCAGCTTCATGAGGTAGTCACCTGGAATGCATTTCAATTAACAGGTGTGTCTTGTTAAAAGTTAATTTGTGGAATTTCTTTCCTGCATTTGAGCCAATCAGTTGTGTTGTGACAAGGTACGGGTGGTATACAGAAGATAGCCCTATTTGATAAAATACCAAGTCCATATTATGGTAAGAACTGCTCAAATAAGCAAAGAGAAACGACAGTCCATCATTACTTGAAGACATGAAGGTCAGTCAATCCAGAAAATGTCAAGAACTTTGAATGTTTCTTCAAGTGCAGTCACAAAAACCATCAAGTGCTATGATGAAACTGGCTCTCATGAGGACCGCCACAGAAAAGGAAGACCCAGAGTTACCACTGCTGTAGAGGATAAGTTCATTAGAGTTACCAGCCTCAGATTGCAGCCCAAATAAACTCTTCACAGAGTTCAAGTAACAGACACATCTCAACATCAACTGTTCAGAGGAGACTGCGTGAATCAGGCCTTCATGGTCGAATTGCTGCAAAGAAACCACTACTAAAGGACACCAATAAGAAGAAGAGACTTGCTTGGGCCAAGAAACACGAGCAATGGACATTAGACCGGTGGAAATCTGTCCTTTGGTCTGAGGAGTCCAAATTTGAGATTTTTGGTTCCAACCGCCGTGTCTTTGTGAGACGCAGACTAGGTGAACGGATGATCGCTGCATGTGTGGTTCCCATCGTGAAGCATGGAGGAGGTGGTGTGGAGGTGCTTTGCTGGTGACACTGTCTGTGATTTATTTAGAATTCAAGGCACACTTAACCAGCATGGCTACCACAGCATTCTGCAGCGATACGCCATCCCATCCGGTTTGCGCTTAGTGGGACTATCATTTGTTTTTCAACAGTACAATGACCCAACGCACCTCCAGGCTGTGTAAGGGCTATTTGACCAAGAAGGAGAGTGATGGAGTGCTGCATCAGATGACCTGGCCTCCAAAATCACCCGACCTCAACCCAATTGAGATGGTTTGGGATGAGTTGGACCGCAGAGTGAAGGAAAAGCAGCCAACAAGTGCTCAGCATATGTGGGAACTCCTTCAAGACTGTTGGTAAAGCATTCCTCATGAAGCTGATTGAGAGAATGCCAAGAGTGTGCAAAGCTGTCATCAAGGCAAAGGGTGGCTACTTTGAAGAATCTCAAATATAACATATATTTTGATTTGTTTTACACTTTTTTGGTTACTACATGATTCCATATGTGTTATTTCATCGTTTTGATGTCTTCACTATTATTCTACAATGTAGAAAATAGTAGAAATAAAGAAAAACCCTTGAATGAGTAGATGTGTCCAAACTTTTGACTGGTACTGTATTATGACGAAATTTTGTGACGATTTGTTCGTTTTGGACTTCGGCAAGGTTTTTTTCAGCTGTTCAGGCACACAAAAATGTTTCTCAAGGCAAGCCGAGGTCGGTAGCTGAAGTCTACGCCCCCTCGTCGGCAATTGGTCAACAATTAAATGTCTGTTGTCATTCAACAAGAGACGACTCGTCCTCATGCTAATTTTTTCACTTGAGCAATACTGCACCAAACATCCTAGATAGATGCAAAATTGCGTGACTATCTTAGGTTACCTTTTGAATATTTTTAGAAAATTAAAATTAAAAGATTAATGTTAACTGCTTCAATCCACCCTTTATCGATTCCCGCTATATAAATCTACTCATTGTTTTTTGTGTCTGTATACTGCAATTCAGATTTTAGCTGTGAATGTGTACAAGGTCAAATAAACCTTTAGCTTTTAGCTGTGAATGTGTGCAAGATCAAATAAATCTTACTATACTGTATATTGTATTATTTTACCCTTGGCTGTGGAACTTGGCTGTAGTCAATTCACCATTTAAAAAAAAGAAACACTAAATGTCTTTATACAGTGTTAAATTATCAATGTTGAACTTTGGGGAAATGTACAGTGCCTTCAGACAGTATTCATACCCCTTGACTTATTCCACATTTTGTTGTTACAGCCTGAATTCAAAATGGATGAAATCATTTTTTTTCTCTCACCAATCTACACACAATTCCCCATAATGACAAAGTGAAAACAAGTTTTTAGAAATGTTTGCAAATGTATTGAAAGTGAAATACATAAATATCTCATTTGCATAAGTATTCACACTAGTGGTGCACAGGTCAGCTGTTTGTACACCTGCACCGCCTGCAATTGCTAATGACCCATCCACAACCGCCCGACCCCTACATCACCAAAGGTATGTTGACACCTGCTCGTCGAACAACTAATTCCAAAATCATGGGCATTAATATGGAGTAGGTCCCCCCTTTGCTGCTATAAAAGCCTCTACTCTTCTGGGAAGGCGTTCCACTAGATGTTGGAACATTGCTGTGGGGACTTGCTTCCATTCAGCCACAAGCATTAGTGAGGTCGGGCACTGATGTTGGGCGATTAGGCCTGGCCCACTCCAACACTCAGACATCATTTACAAATTATGCATTTGTGTTTAGTGAGTCCGCCAGATCAGAGGCAGTAGGGATAACCACGTGTTCTCTTGATAAGTTAGTGAATTGGACCATTTTCCTGTCCTGCTAAGCATTCAAAATGTAACGAGTACTTTTGGGTGTCAGGGAAAAAGTAAAAAGTACATTATTTTCTGTAGGAATGTAGTAAAGTAAAAGTTGTCAAAAAAATGAATAGTAATGTACAGATACCCCAAAAAACTACTTAAGTAGTACTTTGAAGTATTTTTACTTAAGTACTTTACACCACTGCACATAACATAGCCGGCACTGCTATAATCCTCTTTTACCACTTCACCAAATCTTTTCCAAACATGACTTTTCTGGCCCTCCCTTCTCTTTATTTTCAACTCTCCTTTCGCAGCTTTTGTCTTATTGAATTCAACTTCGACAATGTCGTTTTTGCCTCTGTGGATTGATGTTAACTTTTTCTGTCCGTTCCCAAAAGCATTATTTGGCGCGTGTACAGTTAAGCTCTAAGGTTTAGGCTTATGCACTAATACCAGATAGCCTAAAATAATGAAAGACAAACCTCGGTGTTGCCTATATAAATTGCACAAGAATTATAGATTTTTCAAGGTATTGTTTATTTTTATTGAACCTGCCTGGCACCCACCCGCCCTTCAGCAATATTGAATGACCCTAAACCCATCCACACCTCAGGGACTGCAGGTTATGAGTCAACCCGCGCATCACTAAAAGGCACCCTTTTGCTATGATACTCCAAATTAACTCAGGAGATGTCACTACAACTTGATTGGAGTCCACCTGTGGCCAATTCAATTGTTTGGATATGGTTTAGAAAGAAACACACACCTGTCTATATTTTTACATTTTAGTCATTTAGCAGACGGTCTTATCCACAGCAACTTACAGTTAGTGAGTGCATACATTTTCATATTTTTCCTGTACTGGTCCACCATGGGAATCGAACCCACAACCCTGGCGTTGCAAGCACCATGCTCTACCAACTGAGCCACACGGGACCCATAGGTGATAGTGCATGTCAGAGAAGAAACTATACCATGAAGTCCAAGGAACTGTCCATAGATCTCAGCTATATAATTGTGATGAGGCATATATCTGTGGAAGGGTATACAGTGCCTTGCAAAAGTATTCCCCCTTGGCGTTTTTCCTATTTTGTTGCATTACAACCTGTAATTTAAATGGATTTTTATTTGGATTTCATGTAATGGACATACACAAAATAGTCCAAATTGGTGAAGTTAAATGAAAAAAATAACTTGTTTCAAAAAATTCTAAAAAATAAATAACGGTAAAGTGGGGCGTGCATATGTATTCACTTTGCTATGAAGCCCCTATATAAGATCTGTTGCAACCAATTACCTTCAGAAGTTACATAATTAGTTAAATAAAGTCCACCTGTGTGCAATCTAAGTGTCACATGATCTCAGTAAATATACACCTGTTCTGAAAGGCCCCAGAGTCTGCAACACCACTAAGCAAGGGGCACCACATTTTAGTCATTTAGCAGACGCTCTTATCCAGAGCAACTTAGTTAGTGAGTGCATACATTTTCATACTGGCCCCCCGTGGGAATCGAACCCACAACCCTGGCGTTGCATTCGCCATGCTCTACCAACTGAGCTACACGGCACCATGAAGACCAAGGAGCTCTCCAAACAGGTCAGAGACAAAGTTGTGGAGAAGTACAGATCAGGGTTGGGTTATAAAAAAATATCAAAAACTTTGAACATCCCACGGAGCACCATTTAAATCCATTATTAAAAAATGTAAAGAATATGGCACCACAACAAACCTGCCAAGAGAGGGCCGCCCACCAAAACTCACGGACCAGGCAAGGAGGGCATTAATCAGAGAGGCAACAAAGAGACCACAGATAACCCTGAAGGAGCTGCAAAGCTCCACAGCGGAGATTGGAGTATCTGTCCATAGGACCACTTTAAGCCGTACACTCCACAGAGCTGGGCTTTATGGAAGAGTGGCCAGAAAAAAGACATTGCTTAAAGAAAAAAATAAGCAAACACGTTTGGTGTTCACCAAAAGGCATGTGGGAGACTCCCCAAACATATGGAAGAAGGTAGTCTGGTCAGATGAGACTAAAATTTAGCTTTTTGGCCATCAAGGAAAACGTTATGTCTGACGCAAACCCAACACCTCTCATCACCCCGAGAACACCATCCACACAGTGAAGCATGGTGGTGGCAGCATCATGCTATGGGGATGCTTTTCAGCAGCAGGGACTGGGAGACTGGTAAGGATCGAGGGAACAATGAATGGAGCCAAATACAGGGAACTCCTTGATGAGAACCTGCTTCAGAGTGCAAACGACCTTGGACTGGGGCGAAGATTTACGTTCCAACAGGACAATGACCCCAAGCCAAAGCAACCCTGGAATGGCTTCAGAACAAGAATGTGAAAGTCCTTGAGTGGCCCAGACTTGAATCCCATTGAAAATCTGTGCAAAGACTTGAAGATTGCTGTTCACTGCCAATCCCCATCTAATTTAACAGAGCTTGAGAAAATCTGGAAGAATGTGCAAAGCTGACACAGACATACCCAAAGGTATCGCCGGCAAAGGTGCTTCTACAAAGTATTGACTCGGGGGTGTGAATACTTATGTAAATTAGATATTTATGTATTTCATTTTAAATACATTTGCCAAAAAAATCAATAAATAATGTTTTCACTTGTCATTATGGGGTATTGTGTATAGATGGGTGAGTGGGAAAAATATCAATTTAATTCATTTTGAATTCAGGCTGTCAAGGGGTATGAATACTTTCTGAAGGCACTGTATGTGGTTTTCTTAGTTACAACCAGTACTCTGGCGATGGGGGTGAACCTGCCAGCCCACCTGGTGGTGATCAAGTCCACCATGCACTACATCGGGGGCGCCTGCAAGGAGTACAGCGACGCCGACATGCTGCAGATGATTGGCCGAGCAGGCCGGCCACAGGTACGGATTACAGACATGCCCTCTAGTCCCAGCATGCTTAGCACCACAGGGTACAAATCCTAGTCCAAAACCAGCTCCTATCCAGCGGGCAAAACTAGTTGAAATGAGATAATTACAACCAGTGTTCTATTCATTATGACATCATTTCTACTAGTTTTGCCTGATTTGTAGCCAGTGCCCATTCTGTATTTTCATATCTGAATGCATTGGATAAGAAAATGAGCCATAGTTTTTGCAAAAGTATTCAGACCCCTTTCTTCACATTTTGTGTTACAAAGTGGGATTAAAATCGATTTAATTGTCATTTTCTGTCAACAATCTACACAAAATACACTAATGTCAAAGTGGAATAAACATTTGAACATTTTTGAAATATTAATAAAAAATGTATAACTACAATATAGCCGTTGCATAAGTATTCAGCTTCCTGAGTCAATACACGTTAGAAACACCTTTGGCATCGATTACAGCTGTGAGTCTTCTTGGGTAAGTCTATAAGAGCTTTGCACACCTGGATTGTGCAATATTTGCCCATTATTCTTTTCAAAATCCTTCAAGCTCTGTCAAAACTAACTTGGCCACTCAGGAACATTCACTGTCTTCTTGGTAAGCAACTCCAGTGTAGATTTGGCCTTATGTTGTAAGTTATTGTCCTGCTGAAAGGTGAATTCCTCTCCCAGTTTCTGGTGTAAAGCAGACTGAAGCAGGTTTTCCTAGAGGATTTTGCCTGTGCATAGCTCCATCCTGTTTATTTTTATTCTGAAAAACTCCCCAGTATTTGCCGATGTCAAGTATACCCATACCATGATGCAGCCACTACCATGCTCGAAAATAAGGGGGCAGTTACTCAGTGATGTGTTGTGTTGGATTTGCCCCAAACATAAGGCTCTGCATTTAGACCAAAAAGTGTATTGCTTTGCAGATTTTTTGCAGGATTACTTTAGTGACTTGTTGCATACAAGATGCAGGTTTTGGAATATTCTGTATATTTGTATTCTTCTTTTCACTCTGTCATTTAGGTCATTATTGTGGAGTCACTACAATGTTGTTGATCCATCATCATTTGAACTCACTAGATGTTTTAAAATCACTAATGGCCTCATTGTAACATCCCTGAGCAGTTTCATTCCTGTCCTGCAGCTCAGTTCAGAAAGACGACTGTATCTTTGATGTGTCTTGGTGGTTTAATATATAATCCACAGCATAATTATTAACTTGACCATGCTTAAACAGATATTCAATGTCTGATTTGTTATTGTTACCCATCTACCAATCACTGCCCTTCTTTATAAGGCTTTCGAAAAGCTCCCTGGTCTTTGTATATTTAATCTGTGCTTGAAATTCAATACTTGACTGAGGGACCTTACAGATGTATGTATGGGGAACAGAGGAAGGGGTGGTCATTAAAAAATCATGTCAACCCCTATTATTTCACACAGAGTGAGTCCATGTAACTTATTATGTGATTTGTTGAGCCAAATGTTACTCCTGAACTAATTTAGGCTTGCCTAACCAAAGGGGCTGAACACTTAAGCAGCGACTATATTTTAGTTATGAATTTTTTATTTATAAAAATATATATACAGTACCAGTCAAAAGTATGGACACACCTACTCATTCAAGGGTTTTTCTTTATTTTTACTATTTTCTACATTGTAGAATAATAGTGAAGACATCACAACTATGAAATAACACATATGGAATCATGTAGTTACCAATAAAGTGTTAAACAAATCAAAATATATTTTATATTTGAGATTCTTCAAAGTAGCCACCCTTTGCCTTGATGACAGCTTTGCACACTCTTGGCATTATCTCAACCAGCTTCACCTGGAATGCTTTTCCAACAGTCTTGAAGGAGTTCCCACATATGCTGAGCACTTGTTGGCTGCTTTTCCTTCACTCTGCGGTCCAACTCATCCCAAACCATCTCAATTAGGTTGAGGTCGGGTGATTGTGGAGGCCAGGTCATCTGATCCATCACTCTCCTTCTTGGTAAAATAGCCCATACACAGCCTGGAGGTGCGTTGGGTCATTGTCCTGTTAAAAAACAAATGATAGTCCCACTAAGCGCAAACCAGATGGGATGGCGTATCGCTACAGAATGCTGAGGTAATGCTGGTTAAGTGTGCCTTGAATTCTAAATAAATCACAGACAGTGTCACCAGCAAAGCACCATCACACCTCCTCCTCCATGCTTCACGGTGGGAACCACACATACGGCGATTATCCGTTTACCTACTCTGCGTCTCACAAAGACACGGTGGTTGGACTCATCAGACCAAAGGACAGATTCCCTCTGGTCTAATGTCCATTGCTCGTGTTTCTTGGCCCAAGCAAGTCTCTTCTTCTTATTGGTGTATTTAGTAGTGGTTTCTTTGCAGCAATTCGACCATGAAGGCCTGATTCACGCAGTCTCCTCTGAACAGTTGATGTTGAGATGTGTCTGTTACTTGAACTCTGTGAAGCATTTATTTGGGCTGCAATTTCTGAGGCTGGTAACTCTAATTAACTTATCCTCTGCAGCAGAGGTCTTCCTGTCCTGTGGCGGTCCTCATGAGAGCCAGTTTCATCATAGCGCTTGATGGTTTTTGCAACTGCACTTGAAGAAACTTTCAAAGTTCTTTAAATTTTCCGGATTGACTGACCTTCATGTCTTCAAGTAATGATGGACTGTCGTTTCTCTTTGCTTATTTGAGCTGTTCTTGCCATAATATGGACTTGGTATTTTACCAAATAGGGGTATCTTCTCTATACCACCCCTACCTTGTCACAACACAACTGATTGGCTCAAACTTTTAACAAGGCACACCGGTTAATTGAAATGCATTCCAGGTGACTACCTCATGAAGCTGGTTGAGAGACTGCCAAGAGTGTGCAAAGCAGTCATCAAGGCAAAGGGTGGCTACTTTGAAGAATCTCAAATATAACATTTTTTGATTTGTTTAACACTTTTTTGGTTACTACATGATTCCATATGTATTATTTAATCGTTTTGATGTCTTCACTATTATTCTACAATGTAGAAAATTGTAACAAAATAAAGAAAAACCCTTGAATGAGTAGGTGTGTCCAAACTTTTGACTAGTACTGTATATAAATGTTTTCTTCCACATTGACATTAGAGTATTTTGTGTAGATTGTTGACAAAAATTACAATGAAATTGATTTTAATCCCACTTTGTAACACAATAAAATGTGAAGAAATCCAAGGGGTCTGAATACTTTTGCAAGGCACTGTATCCATGGCAGCAGTGTCACTGAAAGTGGACGGTCCATTTATTTGATGTAAGGCTTTGACTTTTATTTTTTTTCCTCTCCAGTTTGATACATCAGCGACCGCAGTGATCATGACCAAGACTCACACCAAAGACAAGTACATGCAGTTCATGAATGGGGCAGAAATCATTGAGAGCAGGTATGGTGATGGGTTACTTCTACAGTGTCAAAGTTCCCCAACACTTGTTTCAGAGTGTAGCTTATATGATTTGATTTGGTTTTACATTCATTTGTATGATACAGTACATTGTGATGATGATTGTTTGACCACATAGACCGGTACCTTTCTTTAAATCTCTGTTTGATTTCATACACTTTATGTGATTCACATTGAGGTTGAAGTATTTTTGTCCTCCTCCTCAGCTTGCACACCCACCTTGTGGAGCACCTGAACGCTGAGATCGTCCTCCACACCATCTCAGACGTCAACATGGCCCTGGACTGGATCCGCTCCACCTTCCTCTACATCAGAGCCCTGAAGAACCCCAAACACTACGGTAAGTACACACAGACTGGACATCACCCAGTCATTATTAGCATTAGCCAGCATTGTTAGCATGGATGCTAGTCTATTTCAGCGCAAGTCAACTTCATCGTTAGCATGGATACTAGTCTATTTCAGCACAAGTCAGCTATATCGTTAGCATGGATGCTAGGCTATTTCAGTATTAACCATTTAGATTGTTAGTATGGGTGTTTGGCTATTTCAGCACTAGTCAACTACATAGTTAGCATGGATGCTAGGCTATTTCAATATTAACCAGTTAGATTGTTAGCATGGATGATAGGCTATTTCAATATTAACCATTTAGATTGTTAGCATGGATGCTAAGCTTTTTCAGTGTTAACAGTTAGATTGTTAGCATGGATGCTAGCTTATTACAGTACAGTTAATAGCATGTACAGTGGCTTGCGAAAATATTCACCCCCATTGGCATTTTTCCTATTTTAGTTGCCTGACAACCTGGAATTAAAATGGATTTTGGGGGGGTTTGTATCATTTGATTTACACAACATGCCTACCACTTTGAAGATGCAAAATATTTTTTGGGGTGAAACAAACAAGAAATAAGACCAAAAAAACTGAACTTGAGCGTGCATAACTATTCACCCCCCCCCAAAGTCAATACTTTGTAGAGCCACCTTTTGCAGCAATTACAGCTGCAAGTCTCTTGGGGTATCTCTACAAGCTTGGCACATCTAGCCACTGGGATTTTTGCCCATTCTTCAAGGCAAAACTGCTCCAACTCCTTCAAGTTGGATGGGTTCCGCTTGTGTACAGCAATCTTTAAGTCATACCACAGATTCTCAATTGGATTGAGGTCTGGGCTTTGACTAGGCCATTCCAAGACATTTAAATGTTTCCCCTTAAACCACTTGAGTGTTGCTTTAGCAGTATGCTTAGGCTCATTGTCCTGCTGGAAGGTGAACCTCCGTCCCAGTCTGAAATCTCTGGAAGACTGAAACAGGTTTCCCTCAAGAATTTCCCTGTATTTAGCGCCATCCATCATTCCTTCAATTCTGACCAGTCTCCTAGTCCCTGCTGCTGAAAAGCATCCCCATAGCATGATGCTGCCACCACCATGCTTCACTGTGGGGATGGTGTTCTCGGGGTGATGAGAGGTGTTGGGTTTGCGCCAGACATAGCGTTTTCTTTGATGTCCAAAAAGCTCAATTTTAGTCTCATCTGACCAGAGTACCTTCTTCCATATGTTTGGGGAGTCGCCTTTTGGCAAACACCATACATGTTTGCTTATTTTTTTCTTTAAGCAATGGCTTTTTTCTGGCAACTCTTCCGTAAAGCCCAGTTCTGTGGAGTGTACGGTTTAAAGTGGTCCTATAGACAGATACTCTAATCTCCGCTGTGGAGCTTTGCAGCTCCTTCAGGGTTATCTTTGGTCTCTTTGTTGCCTCTCTGATTAATGCCCTCCTTGCCTGGTCTGTGAGTTTTGGTGGGCGGCCCTCTCTTGGCAGGTTTGTTGTGGTGCCATATTCTTTCCATTTTTTAATAGTGGATTTAATGGTGCTCCGTGGGGTGTTCAAAGTTTCTGATATTTTTTTATAACCCAACCCTGATCTGTACTTCTCCACAACTTTGTCCCTGACCTGTTTGGAGAGCTCCTTGGTCTTCATGGTGCCGCTTGCTTGGTGGTGCCCCTTGCTTAGTGGTGTTGCAAACTCTGGGGCCTTTCAGAACAGGTGTATATATACTGAGATCATGTGACAGATCATGTGACACTTAGATTTCACACAGGTGGACATTATTTAACTAATTATGTGACTTCTGAAGGTAATTGGTTGCACCAGATCTTATTTAGGGGCTTCATAGCAAAAGGGGTGAATACATATGCACGCACCACTTTTCCGTTATTTATTTTTTAGAATTATTTGAAACAAGTTATTTTTTTCATTTCACTTCACCAATTTGGACTATTTTGTGTATATCCATTACATTAAATCCAAATAAAAATCCATTTAAATTACAGGTTGGAATGCAACAAAATAGGAAAAACGCCAAGGGGGATGAATACTTTTGCAAGGCACTGTACTTAGAATATCTCACAACATTCTTACAACAGTTTCTCAAACGACATAGAGACATAAATGTTATAGACATACATTGGCACATCATACATGAGTAAACAACTGTCCATACTTTTTATTGCAGGTTTTTCCACTGACTTGGACCAATGTGGGATCGAAGCCAAATTGCAAGGTGTGGCATTCCTGTGTTTTCTTTGTTAATATGGACTTCATATCTGAAAACACAGAATATCTCTATCATGATAGCGTTTGTGTAGTAACTAACTGTATTATGTCTCTCCATACTCTCTGCTCCAGAGCTCTGTCTGAAGAACCTGAACTCCCTGGCCTCCATTGGTCTGGTCTCCATGGATGAGGACGTCAACATCAAAGCTACAGGTTGAGAGAGGCAACCCATTTTGGGTTTTGCGTGGCTACTATGGCCTTTTACTGTTTGTTTCATTAGTAATCATCAGAAGTGTACAACAACTAACTAACAAACCCCCGTACATGTTTGGTGTTATTCAATACAGATGGATATCTCCTACATTTGCTTTCCAGCATCCCAAAGCCATTCAACTCAAGTCTGTTCTCTTCTTGACATGTGTAATTGTGGACATCCCCTACAGAGGCAGGCAGGTTGATGGCCAGGTACTGTGTGGCATTTGACACAATGAAGCAGTTCAGCAAGGTGGCTGGCACTGAGACCTTACCTGAGCTGGTAGGTGTACAGTAACACTGTAGCATCTCTCATATGCACTTACACAGTTTTTTATTGAGTTTCTGTATTGTGTTGTTTGTGGCGTTTGTGTTGTTTGTTACATAGGAAATTAAAATAGATGAGTTGAGTAGATTTTGTATTGAGAATCCCACTGAAATGGAAGCTGTCTCTTCTTCACACAGATAGAATTGATGGCGAAGGGCAGAGAGTTCACTGACGTGCAGCTGAGAGTGAACGAGAAGAGAACCCTGAACACATTGAACAAGGACAAGAACAGGATTACCATCAGGTTAAAGTACAATCCATTGATACATTGTAAGAAGAGGTGAAGTGACATGCAAAAAACTGTAAATGGTCATATCTGGGCTTTTTATCTCCAGGTATCCCATGGAGGGAAAGATCAAAAACAATGAGATGAAGGTGAACTGGTAAGTCAAGCAGAGGCCCGTACAGTGTACCAGCATGAGAAGATGGAGGATGACATTGATGCCACCATGTATTCTCTTTGAGTGAATCTCAAATGTCTTTCCTTGAACTTCGGCACTTTTCCTCTATACTCGTCTTCCACCTCAGCTTGATTCAGGCCCAGTTTGGCTCCATTCCAGTCCAAGAGTTTGGACTCACACAAGACACCGGTAGAATCTTCCGGAATGGAGTCCGAATCAGCAGATGTAAGTCATCAATCACTTCACATTTTGATAGTAGAAGATGGTTCGCAGTGAGCCTTGTCTGATAAGCAAGCTTCCTTTGAAAAAAACACTCTTTGATCCAAGATGTGTTTTGATTCCAAACCAGGTTTGGCAGAGTTTCTAAACCAGCGCTCCAAGACAGGCTTCTCTGCTCTGCTCAACTCCCTGATACTGGCCAAGTGCTTCAGGGCAAAGCTGTGGGAGAACTCTCCTTACGTCTCAAAGCAGCTGGAGAAAATAGGTAGAAAACGGTCAATGAATACAGAATGTGTACGCAAAACATACTGTCAACGCATGTAGAAAGTTAGTAGTTAATGGTTGTCCTGCTGTTACTATGTTCAGAGACCCTTTTTAAGAAATCCATTGACCAACTGATTTATTCCTAGACAAATTAAAGTAGTACAGTAGCTGTAACCATAGAAATATAATGACTCTATAATGGTCCCGTGTGGCTCAGTTGGTAAAGCACGGTGCTTGCAATGCTAGGGTCGTGGGTTTGATTCCCGCGGGGGACCAGTACGAAAATGTATGCACTCACTACCGTAAGTCGCTCTGGATAAGAGCGTCTTCTAAATGACATTTCTTTATTTCATTTTTTTGTTTTCACCTTTATTTAACCAGGTAAACCAGTTGAGAACAAGTTCTCATTTACAACTGCGACCTGGTCAAGATATAGCAAAGCAGTGCGATAAAAACAACAACACAGAGTTACATATGGGGTAAACAAAACATATAGTCAAAAATACAACAGAAAATGTATATACAGTGTGTGCGAATGTAGTAAGTTATGGAGGTAAGGCAATAAATAAATAGGCCATAGTGCAAAAATAGTTACCATTTCGTAATTAACACTGGAATGATAGATGTGCAAAAGATGAGCAGTTCGTTCCAGTCATTGGCAGCAGAGAACTGGAAGGAATGGCGGCCAAAGGAGATGTTGGCTTTGGGGATGACCAGTGAGATATACCTGCTGGAGCGCAGACTACGGGTGGGTGTTGCTATGGTGACCAGTGAGCTAAGATAAGACGGGGATTTGCCTAGCAGTGATTTATAGATGACCTGGAGCCAGTGGGTTTGACAACGAATATATGTAGTGAGGGCCAGCCAACAAGAGCGTACAGGTCACAACGGTGGGTAGTATATGGGGCTTTGGTGACAAAACGGATGGCACTGTGATAGACTATATCCAATTTGCTGAGTAGAGTGTTGGAGGCTATTTTGTAAATGACATCGCCGAAGTCAAGGATCGGTAGGATAGTCAGTTTTACGAGGGCATGTTTAGCAGCATGAGTGAAGGAGGCTTTGTTGCGAAATAGGAAGCCGATTCTAGAGCCGATTTTAATGTAATAATGAGGCTGATTTAAAATGATAAATGAGACTCTATTCATAATATAATGATATATGTCTGTAACGGCACAGATAATCTGTTCCAGGGTTGACTCTGTCAGCAGCCATGGTGAACGCTGGGCTCACCACCTTCAATAAGATAGAGCAGACCAACGCCAGGGAGCTGGAGCTGGTGAGCATACAGCATCTGTAGATGACTATAACAAACAAAGTCATTCATTTAAACACCACGTTGTTTCAAAAATCTCCATGGTTTATTGACATACCCGCTGAAACAAACATGCACTTCCATGGCTTTCAATCAAATCAGTCTTTCAAATGTTATTCATAAAGCCCCTTTCTACGTCAACAGTCATCACAATGTGCTTTCACATACAATAAAATCAAATATTTGTTGTCTAGATCGTCAACAGACATCCTCCATTTGGAAACCAAATCAGAGAGGCTATCATCAATCTGCCTAAGTATGAAGTTCGTTTGGAGCAGGTAAAAACCATTGCTTTGGTAGAATTTTTGTTAGAACGGAAAAAAGGTGATCAAGATTAATCATTGTAGCAATATTTGGTATCGGGATGTAACAGAATATTTTCCCACACATATATCATTTAATATCACGGCTGCGTATATTTCCATTTCTAACCAATTAATACATCTCCCCAACAACCTTTAATTTCATTTTTATTTATCACGTTTTAGCTTCCAAGATACAACGTCGCCACCGCAGAGATTGTCGTGACTGTGAACGTGAAGAACCATGAACAGCTGCTGTCAAAGAGAACTGCTCCTGACCACCACTATGTCACCATGATCATCGGGGACTGTGACAACAACGTGGTCTTCCTGCAAAAACTCACGTAAGACAAGGAGGACTGACATTTTGAGTAACACACCGACACACGCACAGCCTGATACATGCATAGAGACACACTTTATCTAAAGCTTGCAGGTAGAGACACCTTGTTAAAAGCGTATTATAAGATGTTTTAAAGGCTCATACATGGTTATAACAAGTTATAAAGCATTATACCTGCAGGCAGGGTTCTCCAACTGGAGGCCCGCGGGTGGTTTTATTTGGCCCCCCAAGTTTTCGGAGCAAAGAAATTCTCTAAAAATAAAAAAATAAATATATATATATATATATATATATATATATATATATATATATATATATATATATATATATTGCTCAAAAAAAATTAAGAGAACCCTAAAATAACACATCCTAGATCTGAATGAATGAAATAATCTTATTAAATACTTTTTTCTTTACATAGTTGAATGTGCTGACAACAAAATCACACAAAAATTATCAATGGAAATCAAATGTATCAACCCATGGAGGTCTGGATTTGGAGTCACCCTCAAAATTAAAGTGGAAAACCACACTACAGGCTGATCCAACTTTGATGTAATGTCCTTAAAACAAGTCAAAATGAGGCTCAGTAGTGTGTGTGGCCTCCACGTGCCTGTATGACCTCCCTACAACGCCTGGGCATGCTCCTGATGAGGTGGTGGATGGTCTCCTGAGGGATCTCCTCCCAGACCTGGACTAAAGCATCCGCCAACTCCTGGACAGTCTGTGGTGCAACGTGGCGTTGGTGGATGGAGCGAGACATGATGTCCCAGATGTGCTCAATTGGATTCAGGTCTGGGGAACGGGCGGCCCAGTCCATAGCATCAATGCCTTCCTCTTGCAGGAACTGCTGATACACTCCAGCCACATGAGGTCAAGCATTGTCTTGCATTAGGAGGAACCCAGGGCCAACCGCACCAGCATATGGTCTCACAAGGGGTCTGAGGATCTCATCTCGGGACCTAATGGCAGTCAGGCTACCTCTGGCGAGCACATGGAGGGCTGTGCGGACCCCCAAAGAAATGCCACCCCACACCATGACTGACCCACCGCAAAACCGGTCATGCTGGAGGATGTTGCAGGCAGCAGAACGGCGTCTCCAGACTCTGTCACATCTGTCACATGTGCTCAGTGTGAACCTGCTTTCATCTGTGAAGAGCACAGGGCGCCAGTGGCAAATTTGCCAATTTTGGTGTTCTCTGGCAAATGCCAAACGTCCTGCACGGTGTTGGGCTGTAAGCACAACCCCCACCTGTGGACGTCGGGCCCTCATACCACCCTCATGGAGTCTGTTTCTGACCGTTTGAGCAGACACATGCACATTTGTGGCCTGCTGGAGGTCATTTTGCAGGGCTCTGGCAGTGCTCCTCCTGCTCCTCCTTGCACAAAGGCGGAGGTAGCAGTCCTGCTGCTGGGTTGTTGCACTCCTACGGCCTCCTCCACGTCTCCTGATGTACTGGCCTGTCTCCTGGTAGCGCCTCCATGCTCTGGACACTACGCTGACAGACACAGCAAACCTTCTTGCCACAGCTCGCATTGATGTGCCATCCTGGATGAGCTGCACTACCTGAGCCGCTTGTGTGGGTTGTAGACTCCGTCTCATGCTACCACTAGAGTGAAAGCACCGCCAGCATTCAAAAGTGACCAAAACATCAGCCAGGAAGCATAGGAACTGAGAAGTGGTCTGTGGTCACCACCTGCAAAACCAGTCCTTTATTGGGGGGTGTCTTGCTAATTGCCTATAATTTCCACCTGTTGTCTATTCCATTTGCACAACAGCATGTGAAATTTATTGTCAATCAGTGTTGCTTCCTAAGTGGACAGTTTGATTTCACAGAAGTGTGATTGACTTGGAGTTACATTGTGTTGTTTAAGTGTTCCCTTTATTTTTTTGAGCAGTATATATATATATATATATATATATATATATATATATACACACACTCACATCTGCTCTCAATGATTTCTGCCCCATTCATGAACTGCATGTACTTGTCTTTGGTGTGAGTTTCAGTCATGATCACTGCGGTCGCTGACGTATCAAGCTGGAGAGGAAAACAATTCTGAGTCAAAGCCTTACATCAAATCAATGGACCGTCCACTTTCAGTGACACTGCTGCCATGGATACAGTGCCTTGTAAAAGTATTCAGACCCCTTGGATTTCTTCACATTTTATTGTGTTACAAAGTGGGATTAAAATCGATTTCATTGTAATTTTTGTCAACAATTAATGTCAAAGTGGAAGAAAACATTTATATACAGTACCAGTCAAAAGTTTGGACACACCTACTCAATAAAGGGTTTTTCTTTATTTTTACTATTTTCTACATTGTAGAATAATAGTGAAGACATCAAAAACTATGAAATAACACACGGAATCATGTAGTAACCAAAAAAGTGTTAAACAAATAAAAATATATTTTATATTTTAGATTCTTCAAATAGCCACCCTTTGCCTTGATGACAGCTTTGCACACTCTTGGCATTCTCTCAACCAGCTTCATCTGGAATGCTTTTCCAACAGTCTTGAAGGAGTTCCCACATATGCTGAGCACTTGTTGACTGCTTTTCCTTCACTCTGCGGTCCAACTCATCCCAAACCATCTCAATTTGGTTGAGGTCGAAGGATTGTGGAGGCCAGGTCATCTGATGCAGCATTCCATCACTCAAGAAAAACCCTTGAATGAGTAGGTGTTCTAAAACTTTTGACCGGTAGTGTGTATATATATATATATATATATAATTTATTTTTTATTTTTTAATTAATTTTCATTGTTGGACATAAGACTGTAAAAACACCAGGAAATGAGCTGCAAGTGATTTTAATTTAAGAAATCTGGTCAGAGTATTCCCACCCATAATAGAGACGTGATCATATACAAATGTAAGCAAGGTTTGAAATGATTATGTTTTAGTCAAACATTATATCTGTTTGGGATTCATGAGTCAATTTGCGGTCTACAAATTATTTGTAATTATAAACTGGGTCGTTCGAGCCCTGAATGCTGATTGGCTGACAGCCGTGGTATATCAGACTGTATACCACGGGTATGACAAAACATTTGTTTTTACTGCTCTAATTACGTTGGTAACCAGTTTATAATAGCAATAAGGCACCTCCGAGGTTTGTGGTATATGGCCAATATCCCACAGCTAAGGGCTGTATCCAGGCACTCCGCGTTGCGTCGTGCAAAAGAACAGCCCTTAGCCGTGGTATATTGGCCATATACCACACCCCCTCTGGCCTTATTGCTTAATTATGTTCCGGACCCCCGACCATCCGCTCAAGAAAACAAATCGACCCACGGCTGAATCTAGTTGATGATCCCTGCCTGCAGGCTTTAGGTAAAGTGTTACCATCATACACTCATACAGGGAAAACAGTGAAAGAAAGAGAGCAAAAGAGAGGGAGAGAATGATGAAAGGGGGGACTGTGTTGTGTGTTCGTCCAGAGACTTGATGCTGTTGAAGTCAGGAAGCTGGTCAAAGAAGATCGAAGTGGCGAAAGCCTCCAAAGGAGAGGAGATAAACGTGAATCTGGTCAGCTCAGAATACGGTCAGGCGGCTAACTATCATGACATTTTTCTCTCACTTTTAGTATAGATTTGTGTTAAAATATATTTGTACAAACTACTTCAAACTTGTAAAAGGCAGTTTAAGTCGAGTGGAATTGTTTGAGTGAGATTTATGAAAAGTAAGAATATATTCTATTAACTACATTGAGATCTTCCTCTCTTCAGTGGGGTTGGACATTCAACAGAAGTTTAGTGCCTTCTTCTCTGGACCGAAGAGGTACGGAGCTGAATCACTCACACCTGAGCAACATAACACCGTGCAGCGAGCACAGGCTAACACTCAGAGATCACAGGGTGCAACACAGAGAACACAGCCAACAGATCAGCAAACACAGAAGAGAAACTCATCATCCACATGTGCCACAGAAAAGGGTAGGCTGATTTAATACCTTACATTAGTATGCTTTGAGCTATTGCTAAGTTGTACTTGCAGACTCACAGGACTGTTGTTGTTTTTTAACCCAACTTCCATAATCTTTTTTTCCTCACTGAAATACAGGTTCCTCACAACCAGATCCAGGCAAAAAACAATGTAACCACTTCTGCAAAAACAAGGATCAATGTGGCCACGACTGCTGTGAGTCGAGTTTTTGTCTCCATTCCATTGCTCAATTGACACTTAGAATCATTGAAATTGTTGATTCACAAATGATTACATTGTATTTTCAATGTCCTCCTATCTATGTTTCCCAGGTAAAAATGGAGTGCCGGGGGTTCTGAAAAGGCAGATGAATCAGCATTCGAGTTTCTCCTCCTACCTCCAAGACCTGAAGACCAGGAGTGACTCACTGACGGAGACACCAGTCAAACGCCTCAAGGTGGGGAGAACAACTGACAACAGCTGCAGAAGTCCTTTAAAATATAACCCCTTTGGGCTAAATTCTAATTTGAGAGAGAGAGTGAGAGGCTGAGACAAAATACTTATTCATACTTTCACATAAATCAGGCATTGAAGTCAAAGATGAGTGACACGTGTTTCAGGATCATTTGCTGATTTATCATCAACTAACTGAACAAGGAACTTTGACCTGAATTAGTGTTTCATCTGCCTGTTGCTGGTTCCTTTAGATGAGAATGAGTGGTGGGATGGGAGCTGCGAACATGCAGCAGTTCTCTTATTCACCTAAGCCGATCCTACCTGCTTCTTCCAGGTATGTACACTCCTTTACCCAAAACATAGATGCAGTTAATCAGCTTGGAGTTAATTGATTACTAATCCAAACTGTATCCAACACATTCCTCATCTTTTCTTAACTTTCTTTGAAGGTATGAAGGTAATGGCGCTTCAGCAGGACCACAGAGTGTGGATTCAGCTGAGGACTTTGCAACACCCCAAGAGATGGCTTATGTTGTGACCTATGGCCATGGTATGTTTAGTATCGGAATGCTTCTAGAGGTTTCTAACTTCATTCACCTTCAATACAGCAGTGTTGTAGAGAAATGGTAGTTAATGGACACTTGAGAAGAGTAACTGAACATATGTGTCTCTCGACAGAGTATAATGACTACCTGGAAGACATGTATCAGACAATGGGAGAAGTGGAACCACCACCTGTTCAACTTCAAACCCTTACGGAGTCACAAAGTAGGACATCTCAGTTACAAAAAAAAACTATGTCAAACTGTTTTTTTTTTGGTTGTTGTAACAATTCTACGAAATAGACCTATTGTAGATTCAATACAATTTACACACAAATGTACTGCAAACAGACAATAACGTGTTCTCATAATCTCACCATAACCAATCCATATTTCTGTTTTAAGGCACTTCAATGTGGAGGAAGCCCAATGCCTATGATGGAAGATCCCTCAGCCACAGTACCCCCCAAAGCCAGAGCAGGAGTTACCCTCAGAGTCACAGCATCCCCCAAAGCCAGAGCAGGAGTTACCCTCAGAGTCACAGCACCCCCCAAAGCCAGAGCAGGAGTTACTCTCAGAGTCACAGCACCCCCCAGAGCAGGAGTTACCCTCAGAGTCACAGCACCCCCCAGAGCAGGATTTACCCTCAGAGTTACAGCACCCCCCAGAGCAGGAGTTACCCTCAGAGTCACAGCACCCCCCAGAGCAGGAGTTACCCTCAGAGTCACAGCACCCCCCAGAGCATGGGTTACCCTCAGAGTTACAGCACCCCCCAAAGTCAGAGCAGGTCTTTCCCTCCGAGTCCCATTGTAGACTTGACCGACGACAGTGGTTTCTTCTCATCGTCACTCACCCCCAGCGTGACCTTTGACCTGGGAGACGAGTGGGACGATTTTGACGACAACTTGGTGCACTCCAACGAGAAGTCATGCACCACTGTAGCTAAAACTAAAGGGTTGGACCTGGACATTGATAGGCCAAAAGGTATTCTAACAGGGAGCAGTTTTTGAACATATCAATGTTAAAAATTTCATTTTGGTCATGTAAATTATTGAATAGTTAAATGTATTGATGTTTACAGGCCACTCCACACCACTACCATCCACTTGCTTACAGCCCAAACCCCGCTTCACTATGTCCAGTACCCCACTCAGGTGAGCTCAGCTCGTAACAAACTAGGAATTCACAGTTCCACACGGTATCAAACCCCTGTCATTTCACTGAATGAAATATCTATGATCTATTCCAGCGGGCAAAACTGGTTTCTGGTTGAAGAGACGTCAGTAGGAAGGAACTTGGTACTGTTGCAAAAATACGTGACAAATGTGACCCTGAGCAATTGATTATCAATGTTATGTAATGATTTGTGTGTCTCAGGTCGACCTCCCCAGATGTTTCTCAGATACCAGTTACTACTTTCCCAGTCAGACCACACAACCGCCAGGCTTCTGATAGCTGGAGCCACCCTGACAACAAGACCACAGTGAGTTATTATCTAAACATAGTATCAGTTGACTTTATCTCAATGCTGGATCTGAGGTCAAAATGAAATTGACAACAGACAAAGCCAAGGCTTCTGTTATGATATATGATACAGTTTATTAGGTACACCACCCCGTTCACGAAAATGGTTTGCTCCTACAGACAGTGAATCACGTGGCCATGGCTTGCTATATAAAGCAGGCAGACAGGCATCAAGGCATTCAGTTACTGTTCGATTGAACGTTAGAGTGGGCAAAACGAGTGACCTAAGCGACTTTGAGCGTGGTAGGATTGTCCGTGCCAGGCGTGCTGGTTACAGTATCTCAGAAACGGCCAGCCACCTGGGCTTTTCACACACGACTGTGTCTAGGGTTTACCGATAATGGTGCGACAAACATAAAACATCCAGTCAGCGGCAGTCCTGTAGGTGAAAACAGCTTGTTGATGAGAGAGGTCAAAGTAGAATGGCAAGAATCAGGCAAATAACGGCGCAGTACAACAGTGGTGTGCAGAACGGCATCTCGGAACTCACAACTCAGCGGTCCTTGTCACGGATGGGCTATTGCAGCAGACGACCACACCGGGTTCCACTCCTATCAGCTAAAAACAAGAAGAAGCGGCTCCAGTGGGCACATGATCACCAACACTGGACAATTGAAGAGTGGAAAAACATTGCCTGGTCCGACGTATCCCGGTTCTTGTTGCGTCGTGCTGATGCCAGAGTCAGGATTTGGTGTAAGCAGCATGAGTCCATGGCCCCATCCTGCCTGGTGTCAACGGTACAGGCTGGTTGTGGTGGTGTAATAGTGTGGGGAATGTTTTCCTGGCACACCTTCGGTCCCTTGATACCAATTGAGCAACGTTTGAACGCCACACCTTGTAGAATCCAAGCCCCAAAGAATTCAGGCTCTTCTGGAAGCAAAGGGGGTCCGACCCAGTACTAGATGGGTGTACCTAATAAACTGGCCACTGAGTGTAGAATGAAAAGTTACCTTTTATCACGCAATTCACATGCTTTGAAATCAAGGGGATAGCAATGTTCGGTTTTGGGTTTAGCAGCCCATTTGTTTCAGTACACGTTTGAAAAGTAATCTGAAACACACATCTTTCCCCTCTGCAGAGGACATTCAGTGAACCCCCCGTGAATGCACCACCCTCCTTCCCAAAACAGACTGACACAAGCTTGCCCCCCCTGGGAGAACGGTTTGATTTATTCTCAAAGACGACTACCCCAAACAATGACAATGTGACTGGCAAAAGGTAAGGAGGGACTATAGAGAAATTATACTTTGTTTTCTTAACTTTGTTCATCCATACTAATTGAAATCATGATTATGAATTAACTTGATATCATTGCAGGCTCCATGGAGAGGATTACAGCAAGGAAGTGGAGGCATTCATGGGGATATTTGATGGACTATTTTAGTAGTGTTTATAGTTGTATGGACCATGATAATGTTTCATGGTGATTTGTCATGTTACTGTGTATGTTATTTTTTTATACTGTGATTTGTACTGTTTGTTGTTTGAGATTTACTGTTAGATTTACTGTTGGCCCTATTTGAAAATGTTGATATCATAGGAGTATGAACTTTCAATCATCATTAGCATGATTCCAAAAATGTAATATTTCTATGTACTTAATTTAATTAATTTAATAAACACCATATTTATTCAGAGGAAGTCTGAGGGTGTAGAGAGCAATAGTAATGGTGTCATGGACCACATAATGATGTTTTAAACCCTCTAGTGGACTGTCTTTAAATTGCAGCTTGTGGCTGCACTTCCTGTGCTCACTATGGGAGAAGACAGTCGGGGATGTAACTCTGAGCTGGATGTAACATCCAGTATAGCATCCAGCTTAGAGTTACATCCAGCTCAGAGTTACATCCAGCATACAGTATCCGGCTCAGAGTTACACCCAGCATCCAGCTCAGAGTTACATCCAGCATACAGTATCCGGCTCAGAGTTACACCCAGCATCCAGCTCTGAGTTACACCCAGCATCCAGCTCAGAGTTACATCCAGCATCTAGCTCAGAGTTACATCCATCTTAGAGTTACATCCAGCATCCAGTATCCAGCTCGGCGTTACATCCAGCATCCGGCTCAGAGTTACATCCAGCATCCGGCTCAGAGTTACATCCAGCATCCGGCTCAGAGTTACATCCAGCATCCGGCTCAGAGTTACATCCAGCATCCGGCTCAGAGTTACATCCAGCTTAGAGTAAGCTTATGCTGGCACCATCTGTAAGTATTTATGTTCCTGTATGGTTTTTATATGCTTACATGTTATTATTTGTATGCAAATGTATCTTTATATCAGAATACTTATAATACTACTATTCTACAAACCTGTAATTGACCCACACTATTTGTTGTCACTGTCACAGCTTATTCAGCTATTCATTATGTACCGTATGTGTTAAGATACAGTATAGGACTCTACTTACCGTTTGTATCCTGTGCTCTTGTGGTGTTGCAGTTTTACACTTCTGAATTAAATCAACTAAATGTATCTCCAGACTGATTCTTCAACGATTTAGTGATGAAGAGTTTAGCTGGATTTATAGCAAAAAAAAGGCACTCAATAGGAGCAAAGCTTTAGTGAAGACAGACCAGTAAAAAGATGAACCAAGCTATGGAGCCATGAAGATAGATGCTGAACTCTGACTGCCACATCATCCGGCTGAAAGAGTGCCAAGCAACAACAACGGTAGGCACAGACAACGCACTCAAACTTGCCGGTCATCACGCAGAGAGTTGGTGACGCAGGAAGCAAACCTCACACCTTCTGGTCATCATGGAAGCTGGTGACGCCGACAGCAAGCCTAACATCTCCATCAAGTCAAGCTCATCAAAAGCCTCAAAATCTAGTATGTCAGCAGCTAGAGCACATGCTAGAGCCACAACATACCAGGCAAGAGAAGCTTATTCTCAGAGAGAAATGGAGCTGAAGTTACACTTAGCTCACCTCCTCCTAGAACCCCCCCCCCCCCCCACATCACAAACCTAGAGTTCCTCCAAAACCTAGAGTTCCTCCAACCCCCTGAGCGCAAACAGCAACGTACCAGGGAATATGTGACACAGCTCTCCCGTGTCGGCTCCAGCGAACCTACAGAGAAAGAGCGGTATGGGGACACGTGCCACACATCACAAGCAGATCACACACCACAGGCAAGCAAACCACAGCCATCCAGGGCTCAACAGTATCCGCCCGACGACACTCCATCCCACTAGAGGTAACCCACAGCAGCAGAGGACTTCGCTCTCAGACAACAGCTAACGGACAACTCTCCAGGTGATACCATCACTAGCAATGTCACATCCGACCTCGATTTTCCTCCCCTTCATCAGAGTACGGTGGGGTGGAAGAACACATGTCTGATCGGTGGCAGCAGATAGCCTAGTGGTTAAGAGTGTTGGGCCAGTAACTGAAAGCTCGCTAGTTCGAATCCCCGAGCTGACTAGGTGAAAAATCTGTCGGTGCCCTTGAGCAAGGCACTTAACCCTAATAGCTCCTGTAAGTCGCTCCGGATAAGAGCGTCTATTAATGTAAAATGATCCAGACTCAGCAATCAAATGGGTCACCATACGCAACGTGTGCCTCAGCAGCGCTCAAACCTACAGCGATTCCCACGCTCAGCTCAACAGTGACACCCACTGAGCCAAACCTGGGGCAGGCAGTGACAACTACTCCACAGCCATCCTACAAACCTGAAAGAGAACCCCCAAGCCACAGCGTGTCATGCAGTCGACACAACCAGAGAAGAGCGGGTATGTTCCCATCGTTCTCAACTCAGCAAACCAGGGTACACAGGCCGTCCCAGCAGCAAGCGCAGCAAGCACCACAGGGCTATCCGGACCAGCCAACCTGTGTGATCCAGAGAAGCCTGTCACAAACGACAGCAACAAGAAAGGCCTCCCCAAGTCGGCCCTCATCGTCAGCCCACCAACGCTACCAGCTCAGAGAGGTGTTCGCAACCGACCACCAGCAAAGCTGCCTAAACTGGCTATCCTAGAAACTTTCTCTGTGCAAATTCAAAGGTTAAGTTTGTTTTAGAGTGGCATCTTTAAATATTGCAGGCGGGAGTGTCATGGACCACATAATGACGTTTTGGTGGACTTTCTTTAAATTGCAGCTCGTGGCTGCACTTTCTGTGCTTGCAATTGGAGAAGATTTAATCCAGAAAGCAGTTGGTTGTTGTTAGCTATAAGCAGGGGCGGACTGGGACCAGAAATCGGCCCTGGCATTTCTAACACATCGGCCCATTTTTTTCCTTGAGGCCCCGACAACTGCCCATTTTTTCCTTGAGGCCCCCATTATTAGTCAAATAATTATAAGTTTGTGCTAAAAACCCAAGTTAGACAGGCCCACTGGGCTAAATATGGACTGCCAGATGGCCAGTCCGCCCCTGGCTATAAGTTCGCCATTCCTCTATGTAAAATAGTCTTACCTTCTTCATCCTGTCTCTGTAAGTATTTACGTTCCTGTATGTTTTTATATGCTTACATGTTGTTAATTAGTCATTTCCTCTACTTTTTGCCTCATCAAATAAATCGCTAGCCAAACAGTCCTAACAGTTAGCCGTCAGCCATTAGCAGTTGCCACAGAGATGTTTGCTTTGAGAGGCTGGTTATGGCACACATTAACTCCACCATCCCAACCACCCTAGACCCACTCCAATTTGCGTATTTCCCCAACAGATCCATAGATGACGCCACCTCAATGGCTCTCCACACTGCCCTCACCTACCTAGATAAGAGGTATACCTATGTGAGAATGCTGTTCATTGACTACAGCTCAGCGTTCAACACCATTCTCCCCTCCAAGCTCATCACCAAGCTTAGGACTCTGGGTCTGAACACCTCCCTCTGCAACTGGATCCTGGACTTTCTGATGGGCCAACCCCAGGTGGTGAGGGTAGGCAACAACACCTCCACCACGCTGACTCTTAACACAGGGGCCCCACAGGGGTGTGTGCTTAGTCCCCTCCTATACTCCCTGGTCACCCATGACTGTGTGGCCACGCACGACTCCAACACCATTATCAAGCTCGCTGACGACACGACGGTGGTAGGCCTGATCACCGGCGACGTTGAGTCAGCCTACAGGGAGGTCAGTGACCTGACAGTGTGGTGCCGGAGCAAAAAGCTCTTCCTCAACGTCCGCAAGATCAAGGAGCTGATCGTGGACTACAGGAAACGGGGGGGCAAGCACGCCCCCGTCCACATCGACGGGGCAGCAGTGGAGCAGGTAGACAGCTTCAAGTTCCTCGGTGTCCAAATCACTAAATACTTTAAATGGTCCAAACACACAGGCACAGTCGTGAAGAAGGCACGACAGTACCTCTTCCCCCTCAGGATGTTGAAAACGTTTGGCATGGGCCCTCAAATCCTGAAAAGGGTCTACAACTGCATCACTGCTTGGTATGGCAATAGTACCGCCCTCGATCGCATGGCGCGGACAGCCCAGTACATCACTGGGGCCGAGCTCCTTGACATCCAGGACCTCTATATCAGGCGGTGTGAAAAGAAGGCCCGGAAAATCGTCAAAGACCCCAACCACCCAAGCCATAGACTATTTTCTCTGCTGCCGCACGGCAAGAGGTACCGGTGCATCAAGTCTGACACCAACAGGTTCTTGAACAGCTTCTATCCCCAAGCAATACGTCTGATAAATAGCTAACAAAATAGCTACACGGACAGAGTTTACCTTGTATCTTTATTGACCTTTTCTTTCAGTGCACACTCACAGGGCCCTATACACTCACACACACTGTCGCTCCAACACACACGCAAATACTCACTCCATCATTTTCTCACTCACACATAATATGCACATACAGTACCAGTCAAAAGTCTGGACACACCTACTCATTCAAGGGTTTTTCTTTATTTTTACTATTTTTTACATTGTAGAATAATAGTGAAGACATCAAAACGATGAACTATAACAGATATGGAATCATGTAGTAACCAAAAAAAGTGTTAAATCAAAATATATTTGAGATTCTTCAAATAGCCACCCTTTGCCTTGATGACAGCTTTGCACACTCTTGGCATTCTCTCAACCAGCTTCACCTGGAATGCTTTTCCAACAGTCTTGAAGGAGTTCCCACATATGCTGAGCTCTTGGTGGCTGCTTTTCCTTCACTCTGCCGTCCGACTCATCCCAAACCATCTCAATTGGGTTGAGGTTGGGGGATTGTGAAGTCCAGGTCATCTGATGCAGCACTTCATCACTCTCCTTCTTGGTAAAATAGCCCTTACACAGCCTGGAGGTGTGTAGGGTCATTGTCCTGTTGAAAAACAAATGATAGTTCCACTAAGCGCAAACCAGATGGGATGGTGTATCGCTGCAGAATGCTGTGGTAGCCATGCTGGTTAAGTGTGCCTTGAATTCTAAATAAATCACAGACAGTGTCACCAGCAAAGCACCCCCACACCATGACACCTCCTCCTCTATGCTTTATGGTGGGAACTACACATGCAGAGATAGTCCGTTCACCCACACCGTGTCTCACAAAGACACGGCGGTTGGAACCAAAAATGTCAAATTTGGACTCCAGACCAGAGGACAAATTTCCACTGGTCTAATGTCCATTGCTCGTGTTTCTTGGCCCAAGCAGGTCTCTTCTTCTTATTGGTGTCCTTTAGTAGTGGTTTCTTTGCAGCAATTCGACCATGAAAGCCTGATTCACACAGTCCCCTCTGAACAGTTGATGTTGAGATGTGTCTGTTACTTGAACACTGTGAAGCATTTATTTGGGCTGCAATTTCTGAGGCTGGTAACTCTAATGAACTTATCCTCTGCAGCAGAGGTAACTCTGGGTCTTCCATTCCTGTGGCGGTCCTCATGAGAGCCAGTTTCATCATAGCGCTTGATGGTTTTTGCGACTGCACTTGAAGAAACTTTCAAAGTTCTTGAAATGTTCCGTATTGACTGACCTTCACGTCTTAAAGTAATGATGGACTGTTGTTTCTCTTTGCTTATTTGAGCTGTTCTTGCCATAATATGGACTTGGTCTTTTACCAAATAAGGCTATCTACATGATTCCATATCTGTTATAGTTCATAGTTTTGATGTCTTCACTATTGTTCTACAATCCAAAAAAAAAAAAAAAAACCTGAATGAGTAGGTGTCCAAACTTTTGACTGGTAGTGTACACTCATACTGACTCTACACACCCGCACACCCACTCACATGCAAGCTGCTGCTACTCTGTTTATCTCATATCCTGTTGCCTATTCACCTTACCCCTATACATATCTACATCCATCACTCCAGTATCCCTGCACATGTAAATATGGTATTGGAACTGACTTTTTAAATATTTCCTGTATATATTATGCTTACTTTATTGTGTATTTCATATTTCTTATTTCTCTAGTTTTTTTCTTTTTTTTTTCTTTCTAGTAATACATTTATTGATTATTGCATTGTTAGGCTTTGAATTTGCAAGAAAGGCATTTCACTGTACGTGTGCATGTGACAGCTGTAGCTCAGCTGGTAGAGCACGGCGCTTGTAACGCCAAGGTAGTGGGTTCGATCCCCGGGACCACCCATACACAAAAAAAAAAGTATACACGCATGACTGTAAGTCGCTTTGGATAAAAGCGTCTGCTAAATGGCATAGTATTATTATTATTAAAACTTGAAACAGATTGTTTATCCCAGCTGTTCGCGAGCCCCCCGTATTTAGCTACTATTTTCCTAATCCTAGCTACTTTGTATGCAAATGTCGGTTTATTTCAGAACACTTAATTATTCTTCAAACCTGTAATTGACCCACACAATGTTGTTTTGTCACTGTCACAGCTTATTCAGATATTCATGTACCCTATGTGTTAAGATATCGTAGTCTACTTACCTTTTGTATCTATCCTGTGTGCTCGTGTTGCAGTTTTACACTTCTGAATTAATCTCCAGCCTGATTCTTCGAAGATTTTGTGATGAAGATGACTGTGTAGCTAAAAAAGCGCTCAATGGGAGTGAAGCTTTAGTGGGGACAGCACAATTAATGTATTTTTGTAGGCACTAACTCCGGCATGGTTCGTTGGACAAAGCCTATTAGAAAATTAATTGAGTTTTTGTAGGGTTTTTGGATAAACTCCAAAAATAAGGTCTGTGGTAAACACAGGTTTAGGAGATATTATACGTTTTGTTCTATGAGATAACATTCATCAGTTCTCATCACTTTTTGTGAATTTTGAAGAAATTTATGTAATCAAAAAAAGCACAAAGGCTTCATAATTCATAAAGGTGACTCATTTCCGGGTTTAGAACTACAAACTGGCGAGCTCTAGAGAGCAGCTGCCGAGCTCGCCAGCTTGTAGTCCTAAAGACCGGAAATGATTTACATCTGGTTAGTTAATGAAAAGGGTTTTGGAATAAATGTCCAAAATAAGGTCTGAGGTTAACACAGGCTTATGAGATCCAATACGTTTTGTTCTGTGAGATAATATCAGTCAGTTAGCATGACCTTTATGAATTATGAAGCCTTTATGTGCGTTGTTTGTTTGTTTTATTACGTAAATGCTTAAAAATTCACAAAAAGTGACGTTTGCTGATTAAGATTATCTCATAGAACAAAAGGTATAGGATCTCCTAAGCCTGTGTTTACCACATACATTTTTTTCGGCGTTTATCCAAAAACCCTACTAAAATTATATTAATTTCCATAAGCCTTGTTCAACGAAGCATAGCGGAGTTTGTGCCTACAAAAAAGACGCCTTTACTAGAAAAGGCGTCTTTTGTGCGTATCACGTTCAACGTCATTTGACGTACATTTTTAGCGCGGAGTTTGTTGTTGGCGGAAAAGGAGAGGGGAAGAACACTTCTGGATTTGTTTGTCTTTTATAAAGTTCTGCTTTGTATCTTATCTTTTTTTAAGTATTTGTCTCAGAGAGGATTAGATTAGTCTCATCGGCTATCCTTTACAAGCGATTTGTACGATAAAGGTAAGTTAAAGTTTGCTAACATCAAGTCGATTTGCCAAAGAACTTTGCTGACTAGCTCAGCTAGCTAACTTTAGCTAAGGTTAGCCTAGGTTGAAGATGGGATATATTTTGAACCTAGACGTTAACTAAGTTAGCTAAACAATAAGTAGCTAGGTAGTTCAAAGTTATCTTCTAATATATATATATATACTGAACAAAAATATAAACGCAACGATTTCAAAGACTGCTGAGTTACAGTTTATATAAGGAAATCGGTCAATTTAAGTAAATAAATTAGGCCCTAATCTATTTACATTTACATCATTTAGCAGACGCTCTTATCCAGAGCGACTTACAAATTAGTGCATTCAACCTATGATAGCCAGTGGGACAACCACTTTTTTTCCTTTCTTTTTTTATGGGGGGGGGGGTAGAAGGATTACTTTTATACTATTCCAGGTATTCCTTAAAGAGGTAGGGTTTCAAGTTCCACCATTGGGGTGCCAGAGCAGCGAATAGCTTTGACTGGGCTGAGCGGGAACTGTGCTTCCGTAGAGGTAGTGGGGCAGGTAGTGGGGCTAGCAGGCCAGAGGTGGATGAACGTAGTGCCCTCGTTTGGGTGTAGCGTCTGATCAGAGCCTGAAGGTAAGGGGGTGCCGTTCCCCTCACAACTCCGTAAGCAAGCACCATGGTCTTGTAGTAGATGCAAGCCTCTACTGGAAGCCAGTGGAGCGTGCAGAGGAGCGGGGTGACATGAGAGAACTTGGGAAGGTTGAACACCAGACGGGCTGCAGCGTTCTGGATAAGTTGTAGGGGTTTAATGGCACAGGCAGGGAGCCCAGCCAACAGCGAGTTGCAGTAATCCAGACGGGAGATGACAAGTGCCTGGATTAGGACCTGTGCCGCTTTCTGTGTAAGGTAGGGTCGTACTCTGCGAATGTTGTAGAGCATGAACCTGCAGGTTCGAGTCACCGCTTTGATGTTAGCGGAGAATGACAGGGTGTTGTCCAGGGTCACACCAAGGTTCTTTGCACTCTGGGAGGAGGACACAATGGAGTTGTCAACCGTGATGGCGAGATCATGGAGCCGGCAGTCCTTCCCCGGGAGGAAGAGCAGCTCCTCTGGAAGGGTACCAAAAACTGTCTGCAGCATTGAAGGTCCCCAACAACACAGTGGCCTCCATCATTCTTAAATGTAAGAAGTTTGGAACCACCAAGACTCTTCCTAGAACTTGCCGCCCGCACAAACAGAGCAATCGGGGGAGATGGGCCTTGGTCAGGGAGATGACCAAGAACCTGATGGTCACTCTGACAGAGCTCCAGAGTTCCTCTGTGGAGATGGGAGAACCTTCCAGCACTCCACCAATCAGGCCTTTATGGTAGAGTGGCCAGACGGAAGCCACTCCTCAGTAAAAGGCACATGACAGCCTGCTTGGAGTTTGCCAAAAGGCATCTAAAAGACTCTCAGACCATGAGAAACAAGATTCTCTGGTGTGATGAAACCAAGATTGAAGTCTTTGGCCTGAATGCCAAGCGTCACGTCTGGAGGAAACCTGGCACCATCCCTACAGTGAAGCATGGTGGTGGCATCATCATGCTGTGGGGATCCTTGATGAAAACCTGCTCAGGACCTCAGACTGGGGCGAAATTTCACCTTCCAACAGGACAACGACCCTAAGCACACAGCCAAGACAACGCAGGAGTGGCTTCGGGACAAGTCTCTGAATGTCCTTGAGTGTCCCAGCCAGGACTTGAACCCAGTGTATTTATTTTTAATCAATTTGCAAACATTTCTAAAAAACAGTTTTTGATTTGCCATTATGGGGTATTGTGTGTAGATTGAGGGGAAAAAACAATTTAATCAATTTTAGAATAAGGCTGCAATGCAACAAAGTGTGGAAAAAGTCAAGGGATCCGAATACCCTCCGAATGCACCGCACATATAAAATATATTTATGACTGGTCATGGACTATGATCTATGGACATGACTGGGCAGGGGCGGTGGCCTGGGAGGGCATCGGCCCACCCACTGGGGAGCCAGGCCCAGCCAACCAGCCAATGGCTTTACTATGGACATAAATACTCCTCAGCACCCCGCCCTCCCCCCTCTGACCATCCTGCAGGTGAAGAAGCCCGATGTGGAGGTCCTGGGCTGTGGCATTGTGTTGTGACAGAACTGTACATTTTAGAGTGGTCTTTTATTGTCCCCAGCACAAGGTGCACTGGTGTAATTATCATGCAGTTTAATCAGCTTCTTGATATGCCACACCTGTCAGGTGGATGGATTATCTTGACAAAGGATAAAATGCTCACTAAATTTGAGAGAAATAAGCTTTTTGTGCATATGGAATATTTCTGGGATCTTTTATTTCAGCTCATGAAAACATGTTGCGTTTATATTTTTGTTCAGTGTACATTCTCCAAACTAGAAGCTAGCTAGTTGTTCAGTTCTGTGTCATTTGAATAGTATACAAATGAGTAATATCAGTATAAAGTACCTTTTTTATCTGCTTTTTTCCTTATTAAAAACCTTGTTTCGACATAGCTAGCTTGTCAAACCAGAGTTAGCAGATTGCTAAACGTTAGCTAACTTGCCAGCTGTCCCATGCACAGTAACTTGGTTAGCTGACAGTTGCTCTTCAGAATAATCAGTGTGTACTCGGTCATTGTGCCTCTGCACCTTGACTGTCACAAACTGAACACTGGAAAATGTGTATTACAGAAACTCAAAATATGCTAAACATTGTGTTGATCACTCTAAATATTAACTTTGGTCACCTACAATTTCCCAATTACATGTTAACATTCCAGAACAGTCATCATGTGTGTCAAAATTGTCACTGGTTTAAATGCTCATCTGTATTTCTAGATCCACAGTCCTCAGAACAAATGGAAGTTAATCCCTCTGTCTGCAATGACGGCAACAGCACAGAAAGTCACGTCAAAGCCAACAAGCACATTGGAAGGAGAAAACTATCACGTGAGTGTGATCTTGCAACAGGAAGTAGGGGCATTGTTTCTGTGACCTTGTCTTTACCAGTTATGTTATGCCTTCTGTATGGTAACTCTCAATTTTTCTTCAGTGGATGTGGAGAATGACATTGAGTACCTCTACGAAGCTGTTCCTCAGCTCTCCACAGTTTTCCACATCATAGACAAAATTGGTGAAGGTATGTAGTACTACTCTGTCTTCATATGCAGACAACTGCAGCTTAGACACAGTTTGGCAATTAACAAGTATCCGAAAAAAATAGTAGTTAAAAAGGGGTTATCCTATATCAGTTGAAGTTGGCAAAACAACAAAATACGTTGTTTTATTTAGGTACTTTCAGTTCAGTGTACCTGGGTGAGGCTCTGATGGCCAATGGGACGAAAGAGAAGTTTGCCCTGAAACACCTCATCCCCACCAGTCACCCTGTGAGGATTGCTGCAGAGCTCCAGTGCCTCACTGTGGCTGGGTAAGTCTCACACTTTACAAGCTCTGGGTGTAGGAACAATATTACCACAAGCACTAACAGTTTCATTGACTGATCCAGCCTTTAACTTGTAGAGGAACATTCTCTCAACAAGTGCATGAATAGGATTGCACTGTATTAGTTTACGGGTTAGACCAGGGGTCTCCAACAGGTTGATCACCAGCTACCAGTAGCACGCAGCCCACCTATGAGTAACTCGCCAAACAATTCTGAAAGTACATGCAATTTTCACGTGTTCCACCACAAACTGTCAGAATCAAATCTCAAGTATCAGACAGTTCAAGCTCCCAGCTACAATCTAATCTAATCAACGCAACATTGACATTATCTGATCCCTGGTTAGCCACTATTGGCTTAAAAAGCCAAACCTAACACACTATCTGCCAATTAATTTCCTGCAATATTGCACATTTGTCTGTGTGGTGCGCACGTTTATTTATCAGTAGATGTGATAACCGCCTTGTGGGTTGACAGATACTTTCCCTAAAACCTTCTCAATCAAATTTTAACTGCAAAGTAGGTTTACCTGGCAGAAGTATATCATTTGTGTCTATAATTTGTTATTTGCCAACTTGGCCATGAAATGAGCAGCATCAGTACAGAACCATCACTAGACTGGAAAATTCCTCACTCCTCACTAAAAAAATCTAAATGTGTTACTTTTCTTACAGACCTAAAGTATTCGGATGTGATTTAAGCATTTACATGGACTCAGAACATCAAATTCAATATTTCTCTATGAACAATTGTAATTTTAAGAGTGAAAAATAAAACTGAGAACAGAATTTAGAAAACATAAAACATAATTTATTGGGGGGGGGGGGGAGCAGAATCACATATTTTTTAGGGCTCCCCTTAGTTGTTTATTAACCATTATTTTACCTGGTATATTGACAGGAAACCGTGCACTACTTTCTCTTGTACACAAATGACTAATGTTACTTTTATTTCGTATTATTTTATATAGTATTTTTTTATTTTTTGGTATTCTTTCTTAAAACTGCATTGTTGGTTAAGGGCTTGTAAGTAAGCATTTCACTGTAAGGTCTACACCTGTTGTATTCGGCGCATGTGACAAATAACATTTGATTTGAAGAGTTCCAGGTGAGAGGAGGAGAATGTGACTATTTGAAACCTAGAAAAAGGAGCTCGCAACATGTTTTTAAAAGTAGCTCTGATGCTAGAAAAGGTTGGAGACCCCTGGTTTAGACAACACAATGTTCTCAAAATGTTTCTCTTCCCTCTTAAGTGGAAAAGAAAACGTCATGGGTGTGACCTACTGCTTCAGAAAGGATGATAATTGTGTGATTGTTATGCCTTATATGGAGCATCAAACCTTTGTGGTGAGTCAGTACTGTGTAGTTGGATACCTGGTGTGTGTTTATACCTTGTTTGGTGTGTTTTATTTGTGGCATAGCACTAGCAATGTGATGGAAATCTTTCTCCTATCAGGATATCATTGGCCTGCTGAGTTTCGAGGAGGTGCGTCAGTATATCTACCACCTGCTGAAAGCCCTCCAACACATCCACCAGTTTGGCATCATCCACCGTGACATCAAGCCGACCAACTTCCTATACAACCGTCAGGAGAAGATGTGAGTACTGACTACCTCTGTATCACTGGAGCTAACTTTCGGCTCTATATGACTGGAATAATTCAGTCAGTCAGGTCCAGAGATCATGTCTTCTGGTCTGAGGTCAACACATTGGTTTCATGATGGTTTGCAGGTTTGCCCTGGTGGACTTTGGGCTGGCACAGGGCACGGCCGACACCCAGATCGAGCTGCTGAAGGTGGTGAAGCAGAAGACCCAGAAGGGTGGGGGCTCCACGGGGAAACCAGAGACCTCACAGGGGAAACGGGCACCAACCTCCCTAGCCCCACCTCTACAATCACTTTCACACCCCAAGACCCCAGCACCTCACTCTTCCTCTTCCACCTCTTCTTCCACTTCCACAAAACCACTGGATAAGAGGGTGTCCACATTCACCTCCACCACCCGCTCTAAACACACAAAGGTGTCTGCTCTGGCTCTACCGCTTGCTCTTCATTTGGTTACAGTGGTTATTATGGTATTTGTCTATAGGCTTAGTTTTTATTAACTCATTGACCTTGTAGTTATTGGACCATACGGTGTTGTGATACTCTTAAGACATTTTGAACTGAAAACTAACTTCAGGGATGTTGTAATGTATACAGTGACATAATGTAGTATTTTTGCTTTATGTACTTGGTTTGCGGTGTTCATTAGTGACATGATGTGACTTAGTTGATTTTTGATTTTTTAAACCAGGAGCTCTCAGGTCTGTGTAAAGCACCGCGGGCCGTGTTTGGAGAGAGGAACCTGAATAGCTGTACCCCCGTCCCCACCAAAACCACTGACCCCAAGATAGAGGTAGGAACTACTTACCTTCTCTCCTTACATTCTATCCACGGCTACCCTGTTGTCCAATCCACGGCTACCCTGTTGTCCAATCCACGGCTACCCTGTTGTCCAATCCATAGCTACCGTGTTGTCCAATCCATAGCTACCCTGTTGTCCAATCCACGGCTACCCTGTTGTCCAATCCATAGCTACCCTGTTGTCCAATCCACGGCTACCCTGTTGTCCAATCCACAGCTACCCTGTTGTCCAATTGTTATGAGAATTATTTAACACACTATTTCAGTGTCTCGGTGCGTCTCCCAAAAGGATCAAGAAACGGACAGAGTCCCGTCTGCATAGTCAGAGATGGTTATTCATTGAGAATTCTGTTATCACAATTCTTTCGTTATCACATCTTTTATACACACACGTCAAACAAAAATCCCACCCCGCTGTAGGCGGGCTGTATATTTCCACTGTACCTGGGTTTAGCTCATGTTTTCTTCTGCTCTCCTAACCATCAGGTCACACACACATGTTCTTATCATAGGCTGCATTCCTTAGTTATCGCCGTCCTCACAATATCCTGCACCATATTTCATACTCTTTAACAAGCCTAACGGTTTCTCTCCTCCCTACATTGGGAGGCCTCTTTATCTTGGTTTCTCAGTTGTCTGTAGACAGTTCTCCTTGTCCTTTGTTGTCTGGCTTAACTCTTACTCACATTGCTAAATAGTAGCACAATGTCATAATCTTTACTGGTCCTACACTCACACATTACCAGGTAGTAGATTCTAACACATTTCACACAGTTTCAAAGTGTAATAATTAGTCACTACTAAGAAAGTACTAATCATACTTAAAACAAGAACATTTCACAACTATATTTAAGGGTGGAACATTTAGTCATTACTTTTAACCTGTATATATTTTAATTTCTATATCACCAATGTGTATGGAACACATTTGATTGACAGATATATTGCCGCACAAGTTTGGTATACTTTTCAGTTCTCTCTTAGCTAGCTGTAACTCTGTTTTAGTCTTTTGGAGATGTCACCAGCAAATACATGTTTCTGAATTCTCAGTCAGACTGCCCTCCAACAGTGACAAACCAGACTGTGAACATGCCCGCTGCAGATTTCCTCAGATCATAACAGTCCTTTGTCTCTGTGTTGGGCCAGCTGGTGAAGTCCACCAAAACAGAGGACCCCGCCACGCGCAAGTTTGTCACTGCCCACCGGCGCCCCCTACCTGTCAAGACCCCTGTCAGCAACCAGAGACCCAACCAGAGGACAACCCCTGCTGCGGTCAACCTGGGCTTCACCTGCAGCTGCTACACCACCGACCGAGTCTGTAACATCTGTATGTCCAGGAAACAGCAGGTGGCCCCCAGGGCCGGAACCCCAGGCTTCAGAGCACCAGAGGTCCTGACCAAGTGTCCCAACCAGGGAACAGGTAAGGCTAACACAGATAAAGCACACAGACACCATCCTCAGCAGTACTACACCTCACATCACTACTATTACTCCTCTCCACTGCAATATCGCTCTCTGTAATATAAATAAGAATGTGTTCTCAGTTGTATTTATCAATCATATTTGATTTTCACCCCTGTCTCCCTGCAGCCATAGACATCTGGTCAGCTGGTGTGATTCTGCTCTCCCTGCTGAGTGGCAGGTACCCCTTCTTCAAAGCCAGTGACGACCTCATCGCCCTCACACAGATCATGACCATCCGAGGCTCCAGAGAAACCATCCAGGCTGCCAAGACGTTCGGTGTGTATTCGTCTTATCGACTATGTTTGACAGCCGTTGTCGGTGGTGATGACACTGTGATGTCACAAACGATGGTTTAGCATATTTGAACTTGACTTTACCACCGGAGTCTGGCAGCGTACAGCAGCGCAGCAGTGAATACACAGCAGGGTGACATACCAAATGGCCTATTCCCTATTTGCCATAGCCTAAATGTTCAATACATATGTGGTAGGTTGACTATTAACATAATGCAAGAGAACAATGTGGATTTTAGAAAGAGCGGAGAGCACCAAAGCAGCATAAAATGTCAGATGGGGCCCGACGTGTTTTTTTTCCCCTCCTCCAATGTCGGATGATCATGGGCCTTTTGCAGCGGACACTCCGTTGTCTGGCTTATTGTTTTAAAATCTTAATTTTAAAGAGATTTTTCTCCCAAATTCCCATTTGATTTGCATGTGACTTTTTGGCCTAGGAATAGCCTACTCTTTCATGATCAACCATGGAATGAATCTATAGGCCTAACAGAGTTCCATCTCAGAAAGTTGTCTGTGAGTAGCCTAAATATAAACATAGTATAGTAATAGTGAGAGAAAGAGAAACTAATCGAATAGCTTCCTGATACGTTTCTGCTTTACTTGACCAAAGTGTATATGGACAATATACCACGGCTAAGGGCTGTTCTTAGGCATGACGAGGTGCCTTATTGCTATTATAAACTGGTTACCAACGTAATTAGAGCAGTAAAAATAACTGTAACCCGTGGTATACGGTCTGATATACCAATGCTGTCAGACAATTAGCATTAAGGGCTCGAACCATCCAGTTTATAACATTCTTTATAACACTTTAATGAACGTTGGCTTAGCCCTATTCTTTTCTTTCAGTTTATCTATTATCCATAGCCTTTTGCCTATCGAACTGTAAAAATTATAAATATACAATCAGATAAAACAAATTCCTATAACACTTAAAAATGAATGAACATTTGCATAGGCTAAAAACGAATAGGCCTTTTTCCTAACTAACAGTACAAATCCTAAATGTAGGCCTACAAATTACAAAATAAAAGTAAGTACGGAAATATTTTAGCGTATCCTATAGGCTATGTCTTTCGAAAAAGATGCATCTGGATTTGAATAAAGGCTACATTAAAAAAAAAAAAGAGCTTAGCGAACTTGTAAATGTTTGTAGTCTGTCTAACCTTTGCCCTGATAATCTTTTTGTATATTCTGCAAGTGACGTCGATCAGGTCTGCTGGCTCACCTTTTATATTCGTAATTCGGCCTGAAACCAAAGAACTGCCAAACGTGCGAAGACGTGAGTTTCTTTCCCACCAAGTCAGCCATGGTTTTTGTCTGATTTTTAGTGCAAGGCAGGCTATACTGACCACAGCTAATACAGCTAGTTATGCGCGGTGGTGTACAACAAAAGGAACCAAGGTGAAACATAGAAACGTCGGAACGTTGCTAGGGAAATTACCCAAGATGCGCTGTGATTTCGATGCTGAATATCATACATTTTTTATCTTTAATCAGTGTTATGTGCAACTTTTACAAGTTTTGAATCACACAGTATTCATGTTTATAACATCTCCATAATGTAGCAGTTCTGGGTCACGGAACAACACATTTTTGGTGGGTGGCCCTTGGATATAGTGTAAGGCAGGCCAGCATTTGTGCGTTTGGAAGCTTTTGAGCTTCACGGAGGTCTTCTGTGGCCTGGAGCCAGTGCAGAGGACAATATGTAGATGTTGCTCCTAAATAGACAGAGACACGGGAAAACAGTCAATTACTGAACCATTGTGTGTATTGGAAAGATACATACAGTTAATTGAAATGTTACAAGCATTATTAACTCAGCAAAAAAAGAAACGTCCCTTTTTCAGGACCCTGTCTTTCAAAGATAATTTGTAAAAATCCAAATAACTTCACAGATCTTCATTATAAAGGGTTTAAACACTGTTTCCCATGCTTGTTCAATGAACCATAAACAATTAATGAACATGCACCTGTGGAACGGTCGTTAAGACACTAACAGCTTACAGATGGTAGGCAATTAAGGTCACAGTTCTGAAAACTTAAGACACAAAATAGGCCTTTCTACTGACTCTGAAAAACACCAAAAGAAAGATGCCCAGGGTCCCTGCTCATCTGCGTGAACGTGCCTTAGGCATTCTTCAAGGAGGAATGAGGACTGCAGATGTGGCCAGGGCGATAAATTGCGATGTCCGTACTGTGAGACGCCTAAGACAGCGCTACAGGGAGAGAGGACGGACAGCTGATCGTCCTCGTAGTGGCAGACTACGTGTAACAACACCTGCACAAGATCGGTACATCCGAACATCACACCTGCGGGACAGGTACAGGATGGCAACAACTGCCCGAGTTACACCAGGAACGCACAATCCCTCCATCAGTGCTCAGACTGTCCGCAATAGGCTAAGAGAGGCTGGACTGAGGGCTTGTAGGCCTGTTGTAAGGCAGGTCCTCACCAGACATCACCGGCAACAACGTCGCCTATGGGCACAAACCCACCGTCGCTGGACCAGACAGGACTGGCAAAAAGTGCTCTTCACTGACGAGTCGCGGTTTTGTCTCACCAGTGGTGATGGTCGGATTCGCGTTTATCGTCAAAGGAACGAGCGTTACACCGAGGCCTGTACTATTTGGAGGTGGAAGGTCCGTCATGGTCTGGGGCGGTGTGTCACAGCATCATCGGACTGAGCTTGTTGTCATTGCAGGAAATCTCAACGCTGTGCGTTACAGGGAAGACATCCTCATCCCTCATGTGGTACCCTTCCGGCAGGCTAATCCTGACATGACCCTCCAGCATGACAATGCCACCAGCCATACTGCTCGTTCTGTGCGTGATTCCCTGCAAGACAGGAATGTCAGTGTTCTGCCATGGCCAGCGAAGAGCCCGGATCTCAATCCCATTGAGCACGTCTGGGACCTGTTGGATCGGAGGGTGAGGGCTAGGGCCATTCCCCCCAGAAATGTCCGGGAACTTGCAGGTGCCTTGGTGGAAGAGTGGGGTAACATGTCACAGCAAGAACTGGCAAATCTGGTGCAGTCCATGAGGAGGAGATGCACTGCAGTACTTAATGCAGCTGGTGGCCACACCAGATACTGACTGTTACTTTTGATTTTGACCCCCCCTTTGTTCAGGGACACATCATTCCATTTCTGTTAGTCACATGTCTGTGGAACTTGTTCAGTTTATGTCTCAGTTGTTGAATCTTGTTATGTTCATACAAATATTTACACATGTTAAGTTTGCTGAAAATAAACGCAGTTGACAGTGAGCGGACGTTTCTTTTTTTACTGAGTTTGTTCCTCTTAGTCATGTCACTGAAAAAACAGCAATAAGAGGCTCCAATTAATAATGTAGCTTAGTTCATAACTTTACAAAAAAAAGCAAACCTATTTTTAAAATGCTTTAATTATTTAATCAAATTAATTTCCAATGATTTACCAGCCATAAGGGCAGGATGCCGCTGGATAATTTAAAAAAAGTAAACCCAAAGTAAAGTACAGCAGAGTCTGACCATAACATGACCATTATTCAACCACAGGTAAATCAGTGGTGTGCAGCCGCGAGCTCCCCCGCCAGGACCTGAGGACCCTGTGTGAAACCCTCAGAGGAAGGAGACCATCCCCGGACGATGAGGCCACACCACATCCCCACAGAGACACTACCACATGCCACCATGACACCCCCATCTCCACTGATCTCCCTGGGGAGCCTTCCAGACAGCACCACCCAGAGGAGGACCAGACCCTAGCTGAGCCTGAGGCCCAGGATGAGAGGGGCTGGGACAGGGTGCCTGATGAGGCCTACGACCTGCTGGATAGACTGCTGGGCCTGAATCCAGCCAAACGCATCACAGCTGCACAGGCACTGCAGCATCCACTTTTTACTGACCTCTGAGATTACTCTACTGGTGTTTTCTCCCTGTTGTTTTTACTCCTCTTTGCCAACACTGCCATTGTCCCCATTCCCAGCCAAGGAGTGTATGAATTTCAAATATGTGTTATGTGAAGATGTGCTGTTTACTTTAATTGTTCTGTGTTGTTACCCTTTAATTTATGATTGTCTTCTTATTATATATATAAATTAGTACTTGTATTATAAAACTTCCACATTCTCAGAATAAATGTTGTAATAAAGCACTCTTGGGAACTGATGAAGACGTTTGCACAACATGGTTAGAAAGGCAAAAGTTTATTAACTGTATGTCTTTAACAAAGATCCATCAACATGATTAACTTAGTGGCATTTGAGTAAGTAACTAAATAAATGGCAAATGCATTAGACATTTAAAAAATGAATAACTGCCATCAAGCATTTACAGTCTCGAAAATAGTTGAAGACTCAACATACAACATAGCTTTGCACATGCTTTTATCTTATATTACAGTCAAATCAGTTATTCAAGAAGCTGGTCTTGGTGTCATTCTGCCTGAACCTGACATAATTGGGTAACGATGTCAAAATAATTAAAATAAAAATCGCATCATTGTCAGAATCCAGAGAAAGTTCACCAGAAACAAGTGATCCAAAGTGCTTGCTTACTGACCCAAATCGCTTTTCTATCGATCACCTGTTCGCTTATCTATTTGTTAACTTTTGACTGCTGTTACACTTGAGGTCAGAGGCAACAGGGAGGGAGTTCGATTATGAGACCATTGCAAACGGCCTCAATACGACACTGAAATTGTGACCCGGTTCCACTGCTGCTCAGGGTTTCTCTTTCACTTCGATGATTTCCTCTATTCTCGCCAGGACGCTCTCGATCATGTCAAACGTGTGCAGTGCCGAGTGCAGAACCTACAATGACAAACGGCAAGCATGGGATTAAAAATACAAAGTAGGTAGAAATATTTGTATAAATCATGCCAATTCTCTAAAATGAGCCTATAATAGATAAACAGTATGTTTTTATACAGTCGTATCTAAGTGTTTTACCTGAAGCTGCATCTCTGGCGTCATGTTTGGCATCTTCTCGTTCCCTACTGTCAAAGAGCACACCGACTCCTGGGTCTGGGATTCTGCTAACACAAACAGCCCAAACAGATGTTACTATCATATGAAGAAAACATGGATCTAGAGCCAATTGGTTACTATAGGAGCCATGGAGCCAAAATTGGCACCACAGAAGTAGGAAGGAGACCAGCTGGCACTAGATAAGAATAAGTGGTTGTGTCTCACCTTTAGCATTGGTCTTCTTGCTGTTGTCTTTGGTGTTCTGGAGCTCAGCCTCGTAGTGGGCTTTGGACATGTTCAACCCCATTCGCAGCGGCTTCATGAAGCGCTCTTCAATCTTATACAGCTCAGTCCAGATCCCCGTCTGGAGACCAGAGTATGATCAGTGTGTGCATTCAATTAACCCAAAGACCAGGCAATAGTGTAAACATCATCGGTCATCCTCACTTTATCAAAATTAAGCTTTTTGTGTTCATAAACATTGCATGCATCCCTTCTGCAATATGGAAAAGTGTTGTGGTTTTGAGGCAGTAGCTACCTGGTTCTTCCACTCTTTGTCTCTGATGAGTAGATAGCGCAGCAGGTTCAGAGACTCCATCACCCTGTAAGAAAGACATGGGCGTTGAGTCTCACTACACCCTACTACTGCTCACTGGGCAAAACTAGTTTGAATCAATCAATTATTGTAGTGAATATAGCCTGGATGGTGGGTGGAAAACATTGCATCAATCAACTACTGGTAGTTGGGGTGCAGTGGACTGACCTGTCCAGGTTCTGTAGGAGGTCCGTCTCAGGACCCTGGGGGAGACACAGCACCTGATGCAGGAGAGGGAGCAGGTGTACCCCCATGAACCACTCGTTCCCCTTCTCTGGCTGACGAGGAGAGAGATGTACATTTCCACAGGTAATACAGCACCATTTTTAAAGGGAGAGTTCCCGTTGTTTTTGAAGTTGTATCCATAAAAATAAAAAAATAATGTTTGCTAGCCTTGTAAATCTGAACTGGCCTTACCTTTAAGGCAAAGTCGATCTGGTTTTTGATGTTCTTGATGATGTAGCCCTCTACTCCTGCATGGTGACTTGTCTTCAGCATGCACCTAAAATGATATGAAAAGTTATCAGAGCAAGACTATGAGCATCTTACAGGAAGGTGTCAGAACAGGAGAGCGGCCATATTGTTCTACAGGGGTGAACTTACTGGAAGAATTTGTATTTGGCTTCCGTGTCAAATTTATTGATGCTCAACTGCAGCACTTTTAGTGCTTTAGTTCTCTGTGAACAGAAAATAATATTTCAGACTGCCAATATTAGTAATACACAACCTCCAGAGGACAAAGTAGTCATAGTAAACATAATGTACACAGGTTACTTACCAAATGCTGAATTGGACACAATGTCATGACTTTCACCAAGTTCTAAAATGTAAAGGAAGGATAAAATGTAATCATGATTCACACAGCGAGATGGGATGAAGCAATTCATCTCTACTGATTGATTTAACACAAGCTATCCCAAGTATTTGTGGCATTACATCAATATAGGATGTTTGGTTTTACCTGAGGGACACTGAAGAAGGATTTGAGCTCCATTAGCTGGACTGGCAGACTGTTGTCCTCAAGCCTCACTAGGCTCTTTTCATACAGGTCCTTAGAAAAGGAGAAACAAGCAGTTAAGAGTCGTAGAAGGTCAATGTGAAAGTGTTACTTGTAAATAATTGCTAGGCTTCTGACTTTTAAAACAGAGGATCCTTACCAGTCCTTTCTGCAGCCTGGATTCTTCCGTTCTGAGGAAAAAAGAGCACCAAATATATTGTTTGGATTTAGACACAATCAAAACCAATTTTCAAGACTTGATTAAACTCTATAAAATGCTATACTTTATGTAATTTACATAAATTGGAAAATAAAGTGAATTGTTACCAACTAGAGTGGAAAAGAGATAAGTAAATGAATATGTACCTGCTCAAGAAGAGGTTGATGTATTCCATATTACACTGAAGAACAAACACTGAGCTGAAAGAGGAAAAGAGTGTTAGGACAATCAACTCTTTTAGCACTTAGATTAAGAGCCAACCAACCCCCATACTGCCGAGGCATACAATACACATTTAATAAAAAACTTCTGCGGCAGGTGCAACAGTACTTTCAGAGCAGTGTGAACTGAAAACACAGTCTTTAATCTCTACCTGAAGACAGTGGGGAAGGTATCCATGGCAATGTGCTGGACAAACAGCAGGTAGGCCAGACTGGCCAGAGACTCTTTGGGGTAGCACACTTCTTCCTCCAGGAACCCAGGCACCTCTCTCCTCCTCAGCAGGCCGTGGCACAGCAGCTCAGGGAGGGACTCCCCGATGTCCGACAGGATGCCCTGCAGAACACACACACATACAGTGGGGAAAAAAAGTATTTAGTCAGCCACCAATTGTGCAAGTTCTCCCACTTAAAAAGATGAGAGAGGCCCTGTAAATTTCATCATAGGTTTACACGTCAAACTTGACAGACAAATTGAGAAGAAAAAACCCAGAAAATCATATTGTAGGATTTTTAATGAATTTATTTGCAAATTATGGTGGAAAATAAGTATTTGGTCACCTACAAACAAGCAAGATTTCTGGCTCTCACAGACCTGTAACTTCTTCTTTAAGAGGCTCCTCTGTCCTCCACTCGTTACCTGTATTAATGGCACCTGTTTGAACTTGTTATCAGTATAAAAGACACCTGTCCACAACCTCAAACAGTCACACTCCAAACTCCACTATGGCCAAGACCAAAGAGCTGTCAAAGGACACCAGAAACAAAACTGTAGACCTGCACCAGGCTGGGAAGACTGAATCTGCAATAGGTAAGCAGCTTGGTTTGAAGAAATCAACTGTGGGAGCAATTATTAGGAAATGGAAGACATACAAGACCACTGATAATCTCCCTCGATCTGGGGCTCCACGCAAGATCTCACCCCGTGGGGTCAAAATGATCACAAGAACGGTGAGCAAAAATCCCAGAACCACACGGGGGGACCTAGTGAATGACCTGCAGAGAGCTGGGACCAAAGTAACAAAGCCTACCATCAGTAACACACTACGCCGCCAGGGACTCAAATCCTGCAGTGCGAGACGTGTCCCCCTGCTTAAGCCAGTACATGTCCAGGCCCGTCTGAAGTTTGCTAGAGTGCATTTGGATGATCCAGAAGAGGATTGGGAGAATGTCATATGGTCAGATGAAACCAAAATAGAACTTTTTGGTAAAAATTCAACTCGTCGTGTTTGGAGGACAAAGAATGCTGAGTTGCATCCAAAGAACACCATACCTACTGTGAAGCATGGGGGTGGAAACATCATGCTTTGGGGCCGTTTTTCTGCAAAGGACCAGGACGACTGATCCGTGTAAAGAAAATAATGAATGGGGCCATGTATCGTGAGATTTTGAGTGAAAACCTCCTTCCATCAGCAAGGGCATTGAAGATGAAACGTGGCTGGGTCTTTCAGCATGACAATGATCCCAAACACACTGCCCGGGCAACGAAGGAGTGGCTTCGTAAGAAGCATTTCAAGGTCCTGGAGTGGCCTAGCCAGTCTCCAGATCTCAACCCCATAGAAAATATTTGGAGGGAGTTGAAAGTCCGTGTTGCCCAGCGACAACCCCAAAACATCACTGCTCTAGAGGAGATCTGCATGGAGGAATGGGCCAAAATACCAGCAACAGTGTGTGAAAACCTTGTGAAGACTTACAGAAAACGTTTGACCTGTGTCATTGCCAACAAAGGGTATATAACAAAGTATTGAGAAACTTTTGTTATTGACCAAATACTTATTTTCCACCATAATTTGCAAATAAATTCATTAAAAATCCTACAATGTGATTTTCTGGATTTTTTTCTTCTCATTTTGTCTGTCATAGTTGACGTGTACCTATGATGAAAATTACAGGCATCTCTCATCTTTTTATGTGGGAGAACTTGCACAATTGGTGGCTGACTAAATACTTTTTTTCCCCACTGTAAAGGAGGAGCAGGGTTAGCCAAAGTATAGAGAGGGTTAGCCTAGCGGTTAAGAGCTTTGGGCCAGTAACCTTAAAGGTCGTTGGTTTGAATCCCCAAGCCGACTAGGTAAAGAAATATGTCGATGTGCCCTTGAGCAAGGCACTTTACCCTAATTGCTTCTGTAAGTCTCTCTGGATAAGAATGTCTGCTAAATGACTAAAATGTAAACACTTAAATGTAAGTTGAATATATTCAGTTGAATATAATCTTCAACCATAGTATAAAAAGAGCTAGCCTGTTTCCAGAGCTGTTGGTGCTGTATAGGCACAATTAACCGTCTCCTCGTTGGATATACAACACAAACAGATCTGGAACCAGGCTATGAGAGGAGCAATGGTCACAATCTGAGCAGGCTTCTTACCAGAATCTCTGTGGCAAAGTTCCTGAGGGGAGATTCTGCTAGGGTTTCAGGATCCTTCAGCTGCACCTCCAGAAGAGGCTCACAAAGACTCTTCATACAGCTAGGGAGACACAACAGAGACACATAATGCACTGTACTTTAATGTTGGAGCTTGGAGCCAAAGATTTTCACTGTACCCTGCAATCACATCTGCAACCCTGTACATGTGACTATTGAACACTGAGTCTGAATACAATGCTCATCTGCTAAGCTACAGTATGATGGTGTATTGTATCTCTATCTATGTAAAATACAAAAAATAAAATAATAAAAGCTTCCCCCGTTCGCTTAACCCAATAGCTCCCCGATAAAACATGTCGACCTACAACTTGAGCAGCTCAGTCCTCAGCTCGTCCTCTTTGGGCGTGGGCGTCCCGCTCTGCTTGGCCTCCTCCACGAAGGGCCTGACGAAGACCAGCAGGGCCGAGCAGCAGCGGCACAGACTGAACACGTCATCCTCCTCCTGCTCCTTGGTCTGGGGCACGGGCAGCCTGGCCACCTGGCCCAGCAGAGTGGAGAGAGCCATGCCCACCGAGGAGGCCTTCCGGCCACCCAGCCGCAACAACACTGAGGGGGAGGGTGCAGAGGTGGGGACAGTAAGGGAGGGGGTCAGGGTGGGGAAAGGGAGGGAGAGAGTTAGGGAGTAGACAGGGAATTGTGAATAGGGGCAAAGGGCATGAGGGTGGGTGAGAGCGAGAGTAGAGGAAGTGGGTGGGCAGGCGTTAGAGGCCCAGGGTAGGAAAGAGGTAAGAGAGTAGGTAGGGGATAAGGGATGTGTAGATTGAGAGAGTGGTAGCAGAGGATAGGCATTAAGGCAGGGAAAGGGAGAGGATACAGAAACTCCTTAATCGTCAAGAATGTCAAACAATATTGAGGGTGTTCCGTTCAGACAATACATCCTGTTCCTCACCTTTCTGTAGTGGCTGCAGCAGGAGGATGACGGTCTCTGCGATGGAGTCAGGGTGGGCCTCCTCAACCTGCTCCAGCAAGCCAACCAGCAGCTCCTTGGGACTGCAAACCTGACCAATCACACACAAGAATACAGGGTTCCTTTTTCTGTGTCAATGCACTTCTGTGTCTGGACATGCAAACATGTAGCTTGGTCTCAGATCTGTTTGTACTATCTTGCCAACTCCTATGGTGGCAAGACATCACAAACAGATTTGGGGCCAGACTAGCAAACATTTACATTTTATAACCAAAACAACAATATGGCTGTGTTTAGACAGGCAGCCCATTTCTGATATTTTTTTCACTAATTGGTATTTTGAAAAAGAGCTGATGTGAAAAGGTCTGATATGATTGGTCAAAACGCCAATTAGTGGAAGAAATATCAGAATTGCGCTGAAAGCAGAGTATTAGACCTTTGTAATAACGTATAATAGTTAGAACATGCAAACAGACCTCCAGCAGGTGTGTGAGGATGGCGAGGCAGTGAGGAAGATTTTTTTCCTCCTTCTTCAGCAGAATCTGAACCAGAGGACCCAGCAGGTTCCAGCCCATACATCTCACTATGTTCTACAGAAAAACAAGGGGAGAAGTAATATGTAATAACTAACATATACCATAATTATGGCCCAGAGGTTTTCCTGGTCAGATCATGTGGTCAGGAAAACCTCAGGTTCCAAACATACATCCCTATAAAGTGCATATAAAGGCTATTTTAAGAGAGAGAGCCTTTCAGCTGAGAAGCAGCACACTACATCCAAATGAACATCTGTTGATGTGCAAGGCACTTCACCCTAATTTGCGCCAGGGGCGTGTACTACTATGACTGACCCTGTAAAACAACACAGCGAGCGACTCTTTTTCAACACATTTCACTGCACCTATCCAGTGTATGTGATAATAAAACAGTGTATGTCTGGTTTCATCTTTAGTTCACCTTATTTTCCTCATCTACGACGATACTCAGAACCTGAGCACTCTCTCCATCCTCTATACAGGTACGTCCAGCTATCTGGAACACGTCATAATCCTCAGTCGTATAGTTGTCATCCTGGATGGCTTGCTGCATGAGAGAGGGGTAGGGAGAGAGAGAGAGAGAGATGGAAAGGGAGGTTGGGTAGGTCTGTCCTTTACTAACCTTGTCCCCAAGCTATTGTGCACAACGCATAAGCTATACGAAGCATCCGAGCTTGGGGAGGATGTCTGGTGAGTGAGACTAACCATAACATAATGCTCTAGTGAACTCAGTTGCCTTAGGGCATGTGTCAAACTCATTCCACGGAGGGCTGAGTGTCTGCGGGTTTTGGCTCCTCCGTTGTAATTGATGAATTAAGGTCACTAATTAATAAGGCACTCTCCTCACCTGGTTGTCTAGGTCTTAATTGAAAGGAAAAACCAAAAACCAGCAGACACTAGGCTCTCCATGGAATGTGACAATCCTTGCCTTAGGTGGCCACTTATGACTCACACATCTCTGGACTACATCACTCAGTTGTTCTAGAGCCATCCTCGTTGTCTTGGCTGTACTCCTACAGAGGGTATCCCTTCACTAAACACTCCTGTGAGGGAAAAAAAACATATATGTATTCAGTAATACGTGTTATTAAACAACATGTTTCGAATGCAGTCATCTCAGTTTTGTATTATGTATGAAACTGTGGCACACAAAACAGAGAGTCAAGGCAAAGTAGGACTATTTAGCAAGCATCAGCTGATTTGTTGTGAGCGAGTGGCACACATAATGAATGTAATGTCAGAATTGTATCTTAGTTTTACTCCATGATTAGTGATTTGATCTCAAATGTATTTTGTTTGTTTATACTAGTGGCGTAGCTAGCCTAGCCTAAAACGCACATGATTAGGAAATTAGCAAGAAAGGAATAGTCAAATCACTTAATTATTGTGGCTGCCTTGAGGCGAGAAATCGAGACAACAAGAGACCCCAAGTGTAATCGTTTCATAAAGCTACATAGTATCTACAGGTTAATTTCCACGATAAAGAATATAATGGCATAGTTAAAGTATGAAACGGTTTAATTATTTAGAGGAATTGCTACTTACATGTCAATTATCGGAGAGACAGTCGGTCGCGTGGGTTTCGGAAGTGTTTTGGCTGCGTTGACCCTGATGACTTGCCGTAGATTTAAAACGTCACAAGTCAAAGTTGAAATTAGCACAACACATTGGACCAGCATGGAGAAGGAACAACGAAAAAGTGTCGCTCGCTCTTCAAAACCACCCAAAAAGGGTTTGTTTTTATAAGACATCATCAGACCGGTATTAACATTGTGTTTGGATATTGTTGGGTCACTGTGGGTCCTCAAAAAGTAATGGAAACTGAGCTATCATTCTTGCAACTATCGTTGTGTTTACGTATAGTAAGCTAGCTAACATGTGTCATAGGTAACCATATAGCCTTTTATAGTTAATTTCAGTATACAGCTAACCTCCTTATAATGTTCTGTCATGAGCACTGACACCTAATTTCACTTTTTTGACAGATGGGAAGAGTGTCACAAACCTCGGCAGAGGAAGCAAGAAGGTATTTTAACCCCCCTGCTTGCATCAATGCTCCCCCATATCTGGAGGTTGAAAACGTGTTTTGATATTTGGATGAATGCCATTACCAATGTTGTTGGTCTCACATTTGTGGCTAGTGTTTTTCTGGTGCTTACGTGCGTATAACCCTGCCCCCCAGGAGAGAGGCAGTGAGGGAGACCCTGAGAGAGAAACTGGACCTGGAGAAGAGGGCTCTGCAGGTGGAGGAGGACTTCCTGGTTGACCGTGTGAGTACCATAGAGAATGAGATCTACAAATACACTAATCCAAATACAAGATTGCTCTTTTTATCTGTGGTTGGTGGCTGAGATGGTTACATGCAGATTTGGAACGGTTCCACTTTTTTTAGGATTAGAAGGGGATCTATGACCTCATGGAAAGATTTTACAGTAATGGTCAATAGATATCAGTTGATGGAGGAGCACCACATTGCTATTGGAGGGAGAGAAGCTTGGGAGGGAAACACAAATATGCCAAAACAAACAAACAAGGCTGAAGACAAGGAGGAGAACACAGAATAATCACAGAAGGCACCAACAAAGACAATCCATGACACAGATGGAACCCAACAACACACAACCGATACAAACCACCCCTTGTGAGCAGCAACCTTTCCTGGAAGAGAGCGGCTCACCAGTCTATGGAGGAGGCCGCAGCGCTACTGAGCCAAGTCACAATGCAGGATAGCAATCCAGTCACGGCTACATCTTCTGTACTAACAGCCCTCTCCACAACACAGTGCAGTGTACAGAATCAAGATCCAGCTCCCGTTAGGGGGACTCAACCCCAGCACGGCCCGCCTAGCCGGGATCCAGCATCACCCAGGTGGGCATGAGCAGGAGGGGGGCCCAGGGGCTCCTCAAGGGCCACGAAGCTAGGCCAAAACCTGGCTTGGTTCGACTGAACCTTCTAGAAGGCCTAAGGAGCACCTTCAACGAATGGTGTACTGAGGTGAGTATGAAGTTCCTATATGGCCCAGACCACTTTAGTAAAATGACAATAGAAACGAAGAAGACGGAGGAGGAAGAAGAGGAGCTGGATGAAGATGGAGGATATTGTAGAAGGGGGTGGGGATGGAGGGGACGGCGGGGGTCCAGGGGGTCCACAGGGAGGTCATCAGCTCCAGCCCCAGACTACGACACAATACGCAGGGAGACAGGAGCTGGGGCTGAGTGTCAGGGAGTTCTACAAAGGGGAGGAAGCCCAGCGGGTGTCAGGGAAACGTGCCGGAGACTTAGAGGTGAGTGGGGGATAAGAGTGTAGTAACCGCCAGTGTCCAGATGGGGGCACTGTGTATAAGCATTCGAGATGTGAAACGTGATGATGGTCTTGTTTTTGAGGTTGGCTTTTACCATGAAGATATTTTCTTTGTCTCGTCTCACTTCTCACCCTCACTCTTTGTCTCCCCTCTTTTCCCCTCTACGCTCTCTGTCTCTCACGCTATGTCTCTCACGCTCTCTCTGTCTCTCACGCTTTCTCTCATTCTCTCTCGCTCTCTTTCTCTCACGGGCTCTCTGTCTCTCCTTCTTTCACTCTCTCTCTCACACACACGCTCTCTCTCTCCACCCCCCCCCCCCCCCCCCCCGGGACCAGGGTGGTGCGCTCCCATTGGTAGACTCCCACGCCCAGCACCTCATACAGAAACGCATAACGGTTAAGAAGCTCACTAGAGGGTGTGTGTGTCTGTATGAAAATGCTGCTACGGTTTTCAAAGTGCAAAGAACTGTGTTTTTATGCAATGAAAATGTGGTCGCTGATAGTTGACAAACAGCAATATTACAGAAGCATTGATAAGTACTGGCTCGGTCTTATAGCTTGTTGAACTTAACTTCGCATCTCAGCAAATGAAAAAATGAAACCAAGTTGTTCTGTGTATATGTGTGTCTATTTATATGTCCGCTTTTCCTCATCTTTGTGGTGTGAAGCCTGAGAAACATTGTGGGCCCCCTGCGTCTCACCATGACTGACGTCTCCAGTGACCTCAACAACCTGGTCAGGACCTTCAGGTCAGTGCCAATGTCAACTCTGAGAGTTAAAGGGCCAATCCTTAATTGAAACCATAAAAAAAGGCCTCCCCGCCTCTGTTTTGGTAAAAAGCTGAAGGATGGGCCTAGAGAAATGTAATCACTCTCAAATTCATAGACAGAGCTATGGATGCAAGGACTGACCCTCCAATATTAGAGTTTTAAGCATGTTTTGAGGCAATACAGTGTTTGGTTACATTTGAAATCTAATGTTATTGGTTGCATACACCTATTTAGCAGATGTTATCGAGGGTGTAGAAAATTGCTTGTTTACAAACATTGGCGTAAAACAAGCTTACAGTTTGGGTTCTGATGGGGTATGACATTTGAACTAAGCTAATGAGGCAATTTATAAGTTATATTATTCAAGAATCAATGGGTATGTATCAATAATTTATAAGTCCAAAAATGGATGTAGTAAACTGCAGATTGCTGCTTTAACACACAATTTCCTACTAAAACGTCCAATACTGTGTCTGAGAGAGAAACTGGACATTTTACACTCCTATTTGTCAGTATTTACCTGGTCCCGTAGTCACAAACCGTCTTATTTGAAGTGCTGATCTAGAATCAGTTTAGCCTTTTCGATCATGGTGAATAAGATTACCTGGACAGGGGGACCTGATCCTAGATCAGGACTATTACTCTGAGACACTATGAATATGTGCTTGGTATTTATGGAGAAGTTATCTGGCAACAAGGCTTCCATGAACTGATTGAACTTTTCTGGGGAGCCCCAAACAGCCAGGGGTGAACTCTGTTCCTGTCATGGGCACTAACTGGGCTGTGATTGGCTGATTGAGGTGCAGTCAACAGGAAGTAGTGATTGGCAGAGTGCTATTGACTTCCTGTAGCTCTGATTTAATAGCGAGGTACTTGAGTCACACCTCCAGTGAGAGGCCTGTTTCCAGGAATTCTCTGCCAGCTACTGAGGCCTGCTGGAACAGCACCCAGACCTTAAACCGCAAACTGTGAAATAAACACCTATAATTGTTCAATCTATATGATGAGGTGTCTCTGATATGGTTGGACATTAGGCTAATATGATTTAGAGATTTTCACTGCCAAGTTGAAGTAAAGGACATATAGACTGTTGTTTCCTCTTTCATGGATAATCACGATGTTAGGCCTGATGGCAGTGTGATGTTAGGCCTGATGGCAGTGTGATGTTAGGCCTGATGGCAGTGTGATGTTAGGCCTGATGGCAGTGTGATGATGTTAGGCCTGATGGCAGTGTGATGATGTTAGGCCTGATGGCAGTGTGATGATGTTAGGCCTGATGGCAGTGTGATGATGTTAGGCCTGATGGCAGTGTGATGATGTTAGGCCTGATGGCAGTGTGATGATGTTAGGCCTGATGGCAGTGTGATGATGTTAGGCCTGATGGCAGTGTGATGATGTTAGGCCTGATGGCAGTGTGATGATGTTAGGCCTGATGGCAGTGTGATGTCAGTACTTATTTGTCTCAGCTTCTCAAAACCTGTGCCATTTTCTACTATACAGTCTCTTTTTTTCCATGGTTCACAAACACCACCATTATCCACAAAGGCCCAGAGTGGACCCTGATCACTGTGGTGCTCCTCCATCTGTAAGTGTGTGTGTGTGTGTATGTGTTTCTGTCCTGTGTGTGTGTGTTCCTGTGTGTGTGTTTCTGTCCTGTGTGTGTGTGTTTCTGTCCTGTGTGTGTGTGTGTGTGTGTGTGTGTTTCTGTCCTGTGTGGTGTGTGTGTGTGTGTGTGTTTCTGTCCTGTGTGTGTGTGTTTGTCTGTGTGTGTGTTCCTGTGTGTGTGTTTTGTCCTGTGTGTGTGTGTGTTTCTGTCCTGTGTGTGTGTGGTGTGTTTTCTGTCCTGTGTGTGTGTGTTTGTCGTCTGTGGGTGTGTGTTTCTGTCTGTGTGTGTGTTTCTGTCCTGGTGTGTGTGTTTGTCGTGTGGTGTGTTGTCTGTCCTGTGTGTGTGTGTTCTGTCTGTGTGTGTGTGTTTTCTGGTCCTGTGTGTGTGTGTGTGTTTCTGTCCTGTGTGTGTGTGTGTGTGTTTCTGTCCTGTGTGTGTGTGTGTTTCTGTCCTGTGTGTGTGTGTGTGTGTTTCTGTCCTGTGTGTGTGTGTGTGTGTTTCTGTCCTGTGTGTGTGTGTGTTTTCTGTCTGTGTGTGTGTGTTTCTGTCCTGTGTGTGTGGTGTGTTTCTGTCTGTGTGGGTGTGTGTGTTGTTTCTGTCCTGTGTGGTGTTTGTCTGTGTGTGTGTGTGTGTTTATGTCCTGTGTGTGTGTGTGTTTCGTCCTGTGTGGTGTGTGTTTTCTGTCTGTGTGTGTGTGTGTTTCTGTCCTGTGTGTGTTTCTGTCCTGTGTGTGTGTGTGTTTCTGTCCTGTGTGTGTGTGTTTCTGTCCTGTGTGTGTGTGTGTTTCTGTCCTGTGTGTGTGTGTTTCTGTCCTGTGTGTGTGTGTGTTTCTGTCCTGTGTGTGTGTGTTTCTGTCCTGTGTGTGTGTGTGTGTTTCTGTCCTGTGTGTGTGTGTGTGTTTCTGTCCTGTGTGTGTGTGTGTGTTTCTGTCCTGTGTGTTGTTTTCTGTCCTGTGTATGGTGGGGTTTCTGTCCGGTTGTGTGTGTGTTTTGATCCTGTGTGTGTGTTTGTTTGTTTCTGTCCTGTGTGTTGGTGTGTGTTTCTGTCCTGTGTGTGTGTGTGTGTTCTGTCCTGTGTGTGTGTGTGTGTTTACTGTCCTGTGTGCGTGTGCGTGTCGTTCTGTTCCTTGTGTGTGTGTGGGTTTCTGTCCTGGTGTGTGTGGGTGGTATTCTGTCCTGTGGTGTGTGTGTGTGTTTCTGTCATGTGTGTGTGGGTGTGTGTGGTTTCTGGTCCTGTGTGTGTGTGTGGTGTGTTTCTGTCCTGTGCTGTGTGTGTGTGTGTTTCTGTCCTGTGTGTGTTTCTGTGTCATGTGCTGTTGCATGAACAGCTGGAGTGCCTGAGCCTCAGTAGGACCCGTCAGGGATCAGCAGAGGAAATCAGGGAACATTGTTTTACCTGGGGGAACACCCTCTCAACAAACTCAACCTAGAGTGATTTATCTCTGCGTGTGTGTGTGTGTCCAGGGTGCACTGCAGAGTGTGTGTGTGTGTGCACATGAGTGTGTGTTCTTTTGGATGCCCTCATTTTAAACATCACAAAAGTGAATCCAACCTGTTAAAACTCATGATTTCATTAAGATATGCATTGAATTAGAATCTGTATATTCGTTATGAAAAACGCATACGCTCAGCAATCCAAAGGTTTCCGTGTGTTTGTGGTGCCCTGTGAAATATACAGTGTGGTGTGTGTGTGTGTGGCATCTCCAATCTGCAGTGTGTACTTGCCCTTGCATTGTTTGCCCTGTGCCAGATGGCGTGTGTGTGTGTGTGTGTGTGCCCCACTTCCCCAGGCAGGTCGGTGGCTGGCAGGCAGGGAAGGGCTTGAGCCTAGCAGGGGCTGTGTGGGACAGATCCGTGCTGCTCCCGTCTGTGTACACACAGACGCCTCTCTGCTTTATCTCCTCCACCTGATTACCCAACCCTCTCCAGATCCGTGATGCAGAAGCCAGGGACGACACACACACACACACACACACACACACAGGCCCTGGGAAACATTCCACTTGTTCCCTAACTGATCCACTGTGTACACCACCCCAGAGAGGAGACCAGGGCCATAACTTCAGCTCTGATTTATAGCTGTCAAAATAAATGGGGGATGACGCTTTCTTGAGCTGATATAACCTTATCTAAGCTACAGATGTTGTCATCATCCAATCCGATAGTTAGATAGTAAAGAACACGCCTTATTGAGTGAGGTGCTCAACAAATAATTGAAAGTTGTACCCGGCTGTTGGCTGCAGTATGGTTTCAACTAACTCAAAATGTCTCGTATTTAGTCAGGCTCATAATATTATTATAAGAAATTATAAAGGAGTCTTTTATGACAAGTCTTACATTGCGTTATAAGCGCATCATAAAGCATGCATACCTATCCGAAGTGTTATCCAATTATTTTTTACTTACTAACAATATATCTGCACAGCCCATAGAACAGTACCAAGCCATTTGCATTTGAGTCAACTATCCATCTCCTGAATCATTTGGAGTTGAGGCCTATTTATCTACTGCATGGCAGCTGTGTAATTAGTAGGACCTCTGTTGTGGTTAGGTGAATCAGGTAAATAATGGATGGACCCAGATAGCCGCTTCGCTCCGGGAGACACACTGGGCTCCCGTCGCTGAAGGCTACATCTCGTATCCCTAAAACATACAGCTCTAGAAAAAATTAAGAGACCACTGCAATTTTTTCTTAAACAGCATCTCTACATGAATGACAGCCATTCCATTCCAGTGTCTGTTGAATTCCAACACAGGCACACCCCATTCTACTGAATTAGGTACTGATTAGGTGATCACATGAACCAAATCTTATTTAATAAGGAAAAGTATAAAAACCACTGCTGTGGTCATCACTATCCTCTTGCAATAGGACCAGCTGGATGGCAAAAACAGTGCTAATAGTACCTCAAAAGTAATTTTAATCAAAAAATAACTATTGACCATGCCAAAAGAGTTGAAAAGGAAAGTTTTGAGTGAGGAAAATAAGGGTTCAATTCTGGCTTTACTGGCAGAGGGATACAGTGAGCGTCAGGTTGCTTCCATCCTTAAAATTTCAAAGACGGCGGTTCATGTGGTCCTCTGTGGCTCAGCTGGTAGAGCACGGCGCTTGTAACGCCAGGGTAGTGGGTTCAATCCCCGGGACCACCCATACACACAAATGTATGCTGTAAGTCGCTTTGGATAAAAGCGTCTGCTAAATGGCATATTATAAGAACAAGGTCAAGCAGCAGACATTGGGGACAACAAAGCTACAGACCGGCATAGGGCAAAAACGACTCTCTACTGACCGGGATGACCGCCAACTCATTCGAATGTCACTCAACAACCGTAGGATGACATCAAGTGACCTACAAAAATAATGGCAAACGGCAGCTGGGGTGAAGTGCACGGCGAGGACGGTTCAAAACAGGCTCCTAGGGGCAGGGCTGAAGTCGTGCAAAGCTAGAAAAAAGCCCTTCATCAATGAGAAGCAAAGAAGAGCCAGGCTGAGGTTTGCAATTTATAGGTGGGTGTTTGGGCCGTAGAGGACTGGAGTAAGGTCATCTTCTCTGAGTCCAATTTTCAGCTTTGCCCAACACCTGGTCATCTAATGGTTAGACGGAGACCTGGAGAGGCCTACAAGCCACAGTGTCTCGCACCCACTGTGAAATTTGGTGGAGGATCAGTGATGATCTGGGGGTGCTTCAGCAATGCTGGAATCGGGCAGATTTGTCTTTGTGAAGGACGCATGAATCAAGCCACGTAGGTTGTCCTGGGAAAAAAAAAAAAAAAAACTTGCTTCCTTTTGCTCTGACATTGTTCCCCAACTCTGAGGATTGGTTTTTCCAGCAGGACAATGCGCCATGCCACACAGCCAGGTCAATCAAGGTGTGGATGGAGGACCACCAGATCAAGACCCTGTCATGGCCAGCCCAATCTCCAGACCTGAACCCCATTGAAAACTTCTGGAATGTGATCAAGAGGAAGATGGATGGTCACAAGCCATCAAACAAAGCCGAGCTGCTTGAATTTTTGCGCCAGGAGTGGCATAAAGTCACCCAACATCAATGTGAAAGACTGGTGGAGAGCATGCCAAGACGCATAAAAGATGTGATTTGAAAATCAGGGTTATTCCACCAAATATTGATTTCTGAACTCTTCCTTAGTTAAAACATTAGTGTTGTTTCAAAATGAACATTAACTTATTTTCTTTGCATTATTCGAGGTCTGACAAAACTGCATCTTTTTTTGTTATTTTGACCAGTTGTCATTTTCTGCAAATAAATGCTCTAAATGACAACATTTTTATTTGGAATTTGGGAGAAATGTAGTCAGTAGTTTATATAATAAAACAAAAACTTATATTTTTGCAGTGGTTTCTTAATTTTTTCCGGAGCTGTATTTACCAGGCCTCTGGTTAGCCTATTTCCGAGATACTTTTCCCGTCACCGAAGGCAAATCAATAACCCGGAATGCGTTACCAGTCGCTACGGGCTATACAATGTGTGAAAAGAAACGCCAACTTCCACAGAGTTCACCGAATTCACTCCATATTTTTTTTGTTTGACCTTTTATTTAACTAGGCAAGTCAGTTAAGAACAAGTTCTTATTTACAATTACGGCCAAACCCGGACGACGCTGGGTCAATTGTGCGCCGCCCTATGGGACTCCGGATCACGGCCGGATTGTGATACAGCCTGGAATCGAAGCAGGGTCTGTAGTGACGTGTCTAGCACTGAGATGCAGTGCCTTAGACCGCTGCGCCACTCGGGAGCCCACACGAAAGTTACGCTGCCATCTGGGATCGCGTGGTAATCTCGAGTGGCAACTACTACAGAGTATGAGGACTAGGGAGTGATCTTGGGAAATGTTGGATTTAAACGTTTATTTTTTGCCGTAGTTCACACATTTTATAACCCCTAGCGACTGGTAAAGCATTCCAGATTATAGGCATGCCTTCGGTGAGGGGAAAAGTTTCTCGGAAATAAGTCAACCAGAGGGCTGGTAAATATGTTTTAGGGATAGGAGATGTATTCTTCAGCGACGGCAGCACAGTGAGCGAAGCGGAGTTCAAAATAAAGTTTTCCCTTAAACACACAGCTTTGTAGACCTTACAAACATGTGCATTGCGCTGCTGAGGAGATCTCTGAAACTGGTCAGCAATTAGTCATATTGCCATCTAGAAGTCATATACTTGTTTACTATACATTGAGGGAAAATGTATTTGATCCCCTGCAGGTTTTGTACGTTTGCCCACTGACAAAGACATGATCAGTCTATAATTTTAATGGTAGGTTTATTTGAACAGTGAGAGACAGAATAACAACAACAAAAATCCAGAAAAACGCATGTCAAAAATGTTATAAATTGAATGCATTTTAATGAGGGAAATAAGTATTTGACCCCTCTGCAAAACATGACTTAGTACTTGGTGGCTAAACCCTTGTTAGCAATCACAGAGGTCAGATGTTTCTTGTAGTTGGCCACCAGGTTTGCACACATCTCAGGAGGAATTTTGTCCCACTCCTCTTTGCAGATCTTCTCCAAGTCATTAAGGTTTTGAGGCTGAGGTTTTGAGGCTGACGTTTGGCAACTCGAACCTTCAGCTCCCTCCACAGATTTTCTATGGGATTAAGGTCTGGAGACTGGCTAGGCCACTCCAGGACCTTAATGTGCTTCTTCTTGAGCCACTCCTTTGTTGCCTTGGCCGTGTGTTTTGGGTCATTGTCATGCTGGAATACCCATCCACGACCCATTTTCAATGCCCTGGCTGAGGGAAGGAGGTTCTCACCCAAGATTTGACGGTACATGGCCCCATCCATCGTCCCTTTGATGCGGTGAAGTTGTCCTGTCCCCTTAGCAGAAAAACACCCCCAAAGCATAATGTTTCCACCTCCGTGTTTGACGGTGGGGATGGTGTTCTTGGGGTCATAGGCAATATTCCTCCTCCTCCAAACACGGCGAGTTGAGTTGATGCCAAAGAGCTCGATTTTGGTCTCATCTGACCACAACACTTTCACCCAGTTCTCCTCTGAATCATTCAGATGTTCATTGGCAAACTTCAGAAGGCCCTGTATATGTGCTTTCTTGAGCAGGGGGACCTTGCGGGCGCTGCAGGATTTCAGTCCTTCATGGCGTTACTTTTATACTATTCCAGGTATTCCTTAAAGAGGTAGGGTTTCAAGTGTCTCCGGAAGGTGGTGAGTGACTCCGCTGTCCTGGCGTCGTGAGGGAGCTTGTTCCACCATTGGGGTGCCAGAGAAGCGAACAGTTTTGACTGGGCTGAGCGGGAACTGTGCTTCCGCAGAGGTAGGGGGACCAGCAGGCCAGAATCCAGAGGGGTATCCTACGAAGCAATTTAGGCTTTTCTAAAGCTAATCAGCTTCAGTTAGCTTCACATTTCAGCTCAGGCTTCATCCTTACTATGACGGTGGATATTGCTCGTCCGCCTGCTGCTAACTCTTATCAGGCTTGTTACTGCGCGTGCGTGTAACACATGGCTTGTGGAACGCCGAACTCTTCATTGTGACAATACTGAAACATCAATATATGGGCGAGTCAGTGCCACATTTTCATTTGCGCTAAAATCAAAATGAAAGAACCCTTATCTTGCAATTTCATCAGGCTATGGCGTGAAATAGGCTTTTCGAAGTGCCGTCTGTATTTTATTATTGTTAATGCCGACTTTGCTTTGGTGTGCTTATCAATGCACAACTACAAGCCCCCTTTTTCCCCACTCCGGTCGATAAAATAATTGCATATAGTCATACAAAAGTGTTACTGTGCGTTAAGTTTAAAGTGCTTTCTGTCATTACTAAATGGGTAATGTGATTTATTTTAACATTACAATTTTTTAAATTAATATTTGAATAAAATATTTAATCAGTTGTCTTCCTCAAATGAAGGAGCGAATCTGATTTCATTGGTCCTCAACTCGTGGCTCAGTCATTTCATTCCGAGTAAGTGGCATTAGCGGTGAGTTGCTCTTCCCCGGACCAGGTTAGTTCTGATGGATTCGTTGCCATAGAAATGTACCAGGCTAAAAGGTGGGCCACATTCGAATGACCGGTTATCCCGAGTTGAACTCAGTTGACCAAAGTTACCTTGCTAACTCCTCAAACCTGCTTTTGTAGGATAACCTTCTGGCCTTAGTTTTTCCTGACCATGTTGTGTTTGCGTGTTGCAGGTTATCAGAGGTGTCCCCGGTGGTACGGGAGGCCCTGGAGAGGCCGACCTCAGTCGAGTACCTCTCTATTCTGATGCAGGAGCTCCCACTTCAGGACCAGGACCTACAGAGCCTAGTCCAGCTACTCAAAACCATAGCCCTCTAGTCTCCTCTACTATATACAACTCTTTTTTTTCTACTGTTACAGACAAATCTTTACATTTTTCCTATCAGAACTGCAAAGGCTGAAGGTATAGCGCTAATTGACTTTTATTTGAAATCAATAGTATAGTGGAGAACCTTGCCTTGGTTGTGCAGTTTGGTCACCTGCCCTCTCTGAAAACATTTCAATCTGATTTACGGTAATCTTTTTTGTATTACTTTGGTTAGGTTGCTTTTTCTGTTTTATTGAAACTACTATTGAGAATTAAGAGAGAAATTACTATTTTCATCTCAGGATATGGACAGTGCTTGTTGTGGCTTTAGTGCTCTGAAATGAAGACTTAAATGTACATGAAGATTATGTAGATATACTGTATCATCGAATAGGCCTGTTATTACACAGGAATTGATGAACAGGTGCATAGTTTACACACATTCTGCCAACTTCATGGTGGAAATGTATAGTATTTTTATGCCCTTCCTAATGTTCAAACAAACACTGATATATAGTGAATCTGTTGATACTGTAAATGTCTAAATCAAATCTTAAAAGTTACAAGCCTCCAATGTTTAACCCCATGCTTCTATACAACCAAATAAATCACACTCAGGTTTTCCACTGTGTATAAAAATGTCATGTCTCCGACTATATTGCCATACTGGAAGAGGATGGTGCAATAAAAGTGTCGCTGTTTATCCCAACTTCCTTCACATGAAGTTTATGGTGTTATAATCTAATTTGTTCCAAGTGTGACAACAAAGCTGTGTCTGAAAATATTTGGTTTGGACCAGGTGGCTTGCGCGACTGGAATAATGTTGGATATTTATTTTATTTGATCGTCATTGTCTTTATGGATATTTTTTTATTCAAACATTTTAGGATGATACTGATATAACCTTAGTATATTATTTCTAAAGCATTTCGCTTGAAGACCATAAGTAACACGTTACTTTTTTGGGTGCGAGTTTTCATTTTTTTCTTTGTTCATTTCGAAATGTTTGGAATGGAAATATTGTACAGTGGAGTTGTGTCGAAATTATAAAAGCCTATAGGGTGAAGTCAGAAAGTGTGACATAATATAAACTGGGACAGCTTAATCCTGACGCATTTATTTATTGGTCTGACCAGACAAAATCTAAACTATTGTTATGCCACGTTCAAAACAACTTGGAACTCGGAAATCTCCGACTTCAGTGCGTTTAAGACAAGTGGGAACTCGGGAAAAAACGAGCTCTGACTGGGGGAAATCGTTTTGAAGGGTTATCCAACTCGGAATTCCAAGTCAGAAACTCTGGCATCTTTCTAGAGAGCTGAAGATCGCTGAAGTCTCGTTTTTTTCTGAGTTCCCAGTTGTCTTGAAAGCACCAACACTTATGCAACGTTCACTCGGAAATGTCACACTTGCTAACTGGTTGTAGTTAAACACGTGCCATGTTCAACTAGTTAGTACGTCGGAAATTTCTGAGTTTCCTAGTTCCGACTAGTTTAGTTTATTTGCACAAATAGAAAGACCATTTGTGACAGTAAAAAAAATGCCCCTGCAGAGAAACCAACCACATGATTAAAAAATCACATCACTTCGTTGGTGTGACATAGAGGTTGGCAGATGCCACGTTCAAAACAACTGGGTACTAGGAAGTGGGAAATCTCTGATTTCCGACTTCAGTGCGTTCACATCAACTGGGAACTCTTACAAGGGGAAAATCGTTTTGAATTGTTATCCAAGTCGGGAACTCTGGCCTCTTTTCTAGAACTCCGACCTGAAGATCACCTGACGTCATGATTTGACCTCGTTTTTTTCTGAGTTCCCAGTTATCTTGAAAGCACCAAGAGCAAGCTTCAAGTACTTAGGTTAGGCAGGGTTCTTGTAGTACTATATCCTTTTCATTTTTTCTTGTAGTATTGTTAGTAGTACTGTTATTTGAGTGAATTCAGCAAAAATGGGACACTTTTTGCATTTCGGTCTATTGTAACCTCTTTCGACATGTATCCAACATAATAGCCCAACACATGACACATTTCTGAAATCCTCAGATGTTTCCTAATCACACAAAATTGAATTGTCATTGGATACAATTAGCACTATAATAATAGTGTCCCAGTTTATCTAACCTGCTGTCTACCAAATGCGAACTGAAAATAGGGGTTTTGACTCAGTGTAAACAAATGTGTGTGCTGCCTTCTGTGTGTGTGTGCGTGATTACATTTTACATTTTAGTCATTTAGCAGACGCTCTGCCCTACTCCTATTCCCATTCCGAAGTCAACCTACTGTATCAATTCACTCACTTCGCTGCCCTACTCCTATTCCATTCCGAAGTCAACCTACTGTATCAATTCACTCACTTCGCTGCCCTACTCCTATTCCATTCCGAAGTCAACCTACTGTATCAATTCACTCACTTCGCTGCCCTACTCCTATTCCATTCCGAAGTCAACCTACTGTATCAATTCACTCACTTCGCTGACAACAATTAAATTCACTCACTTCACTGACTTCAATTCAATTCACTGGCAACAATTTTGGATGAAGGCCTATTATTATATTATATGTATTTGAACATGTTTGGTTTAGATTGCTGCACTTATAAGCCTATCATTGTTTTACAAAAGACGGGGGAACATTGAAAATGTGTATTCAGACAAAAGAGCGTAAACTCCCCTTTCCCCGCCATGGATTCTGTTATACACAGCAGATTATAAAGTGACCTTGTTGGATAATTAAAGGCGTTCATTAATTAAACAGGCATTAATATTAAAATGTTCAGATAAATAGCCTACTAAGCTATACCATTTATCTAGCCGGTTTCTTATAGAGACGAAAACAAGTAGGCTAGGCTAAAACGAATAATGCACAAATACAATCCTTGGGGATCACAACCAAAACTTTTAAAACATGTATTTTTGTGTTGTGTGAAATGATATTCAGAATGTGGCCTGTAGCTAATGAAAATCTATAGGCCTATTCGATAAATAAATGTTTAATTTTCAAAACAATAATGAAATAATTAAAACCATTAGGCTGAAAGGGACATATTTAGGCTACATGTATTAAAATATAAAATTGACTTGTACAAGTTTTTCGATTTACTTCCATATTAATGATATTTTCTTCGCAATTCTCCAGCACAGTTTTTCGGTGTTGACACTTTTTCATTTCAATCCATGTTGTGTTTCCTTGTGCCTCCTCAGATCCACTTTCCTTTGGAATCCTTTGCCGCAGAGGTCGCAGCCGAACGGTTTGAAGCCTGTATGCTTGCGACTGTGCGTGATGAGGTTGGAGCTCTGACTGAAGGCCTTTCCGCATACCTGGCACTTGTGCGGCTTTTCACCTGATAATGTAAACAAGTTGCATTATGAAAGTGTCCATTTGAGCTCTCCATATTCAAGTACTGTAATTGTTCTTGTGCGTAATTAAAAGTGTCCTTTTGAGCTCTCCATATCTGCTGTGATTGTTCTCGTGCCTAATTGTCTGACTCTTAGGAGCGTAATATGCTTACCCACTCGCCACCGACGTCAATTCAACGTCTATTCCACGTTGGTTCAACGTAATTTCATTGAAATGGAAACAACGTTGATTCAACCAGTGTGTGCCCAGTGGGAAAATTTACTTTTTGTTTGGTTGACACTCTTAAATAACAGGTGTTTGCAAAGTATTTTATAATCTTTTAAAATCATTAACTTATCTTTTGTGGTTCGTGCGTGATCGCTCACCTGTATGGATAAAGGTGTGTTTCTTCATGTCGGACTTCTGATGGAATCTCTTCCCGCAGTACTGACAAGGGTAGGGCCGCGTGTCCGAGTGGATGAGCAAGTGCGTGGACAGCGTGGACGAGCGCTTGAAGCTTTTGTCACAGATTTTACAGTTGAAGCTCCTTTCCTGTGAACCAGGTAAGATGTGAGTGCATGTGACATGTGGCCGTCTGCACCTTTTTATTTAATCAGTTTCCTTTGTCATTTAAGCATGCATTACACATGGGATTGATTGCCAACAGGCATAGGAGAAAGTAGGCCTAAAGGTCCAAATATTAAGTGACTTGGGCATTTGGGCCTTACCTGGGAGTGAACGCCCTTGTGTTGTTCGAGGCTCACTGCGTGCCCAAACGTTTTCCCACACAATCCACAGGCAAAGGGTCGAGTTCCGCTGTGCGACCGACGAACGTGAACCTCTAACCCGTGCGGCGTCGAGAATACCTTTTAGAGAGGATGAAAGAGATATTATTATGTGTTAATAAGTGAAAATCACCTAATTGAAACCGAACAATTGTTTATCGTTGCCATACGTTGTGGTAAAGGAGTGTGGCTAGGCCCACCTTGCAACACTTGATGCACTTGTACGATCCGCTTGGTTCTAGACGGGAACAGATGAGATCGGATTTAGACTTGATTTCAGAGGCCTTGGTCTTCAGCTTGAGGTCCGAATATAACTGGTCGCCATCCCGCATTCTATAGGTAGGGAACACCGTAGACCCAAAGTCCCTGTAAAATCCAGTGTGCGGGCCCCGCTGTGCGTAAATTGGAGAGTTGGTGGCACCATCCTCGGATCCATAGAGGCCCATCTGTGTGTCAGGCTCCAGAGTTGTGGGGAGATTGTGTTGATACGTTCGCTGCACAAGGTGCCTGAGCTCGGAGCCAGAGTAGGTAGTCCATGGGTAAGGGTGGAATGGAATGGCGAAAGGGTGAGCATCGTCTGCTGACGGAGTGAAACATTGTTCCGAATCTGGAAAACATTCGGACCATGAGTCGTCACGTTTCCAAATACTGTTTACAAAAATAGCAAATAGTTATTAAATAATACACCCTTTAATATTCTGGTAGCCTATATTGGAGGATAACAAGTGCTAAAATATGAAAAGCAGAGGGACAGCCTCAAATAACCATGGTTGGAGATGCAGTGCGCATATGCGTAATGATGACCAAGATGGACATCACAACACACTATAAACACAAACCTGGTGATGCAGAAGGTGACGGAGGGCGCCAGTAGTCGTCATAGTCCGAGAAGCGGTCGCACACGCTGCCCTCACAGCTCAGCGGGTATATGGAGGAGAGGTCAGCCGTGTGCACCAGACGGGATTCGGGGGACAGCTTGCCGTGGTTAGGAGCATCCTGCGTGTCACAGTTCCCCTCAAACTCAACCTGCAGTTTGCTTTCTATAGCCATAGAAAAAGAGAGCAAAGACTAGCACTTAATTCAAGCTCATAATATACGTCACAGTTTGATATTGTATTTGTGAATTTTAAAGGTAAAGATAAAATATTCAACGAGAATTTAGAGAATTTCGAATCGTGTCCATATCCAAACAAACTTGTGTGTGACGTGCGTAATGTATTACAATTAAGTCTAGGCCTAGGCCTTATATATATTGAGAGCAGCATCACATCAGATAGACATACCTGCGCATATATAGGCTAAGATAGTATCCATTCTAATGTAGTCATCATCCAGGTATCGGGGTTGGTGGTAGCTATGTGCCCGTTTACTCTTCACCAAAAATGACCTCGGCATGGTTACTCTCCGCTGTGTGACTGTCAAGATCCCTGGTCACTTGTGATGAAATCCTCTCCGTCCACACGGACCTATTTTATCTCTGGAAAGATTTGAATACCATTGGTTGACAGGTTCATCCAGCATAGGGATTTTTTGGCAGGAGATGAATCATGCGCATTGCCCAAAGGCACCTGCGCGTTCACCAGGTGTTGTGAGACAGGTGGCCAAAGGGACTACTGCCCTCCACGGTCCACGGAGTGTGTGATTGAATACCACAACTTATCATATTTCAAAAAGCTAATTAAGAGGCCATAGTAGTTGTTTCCTTTCATGACAGGTAATATTTGCATTGGTTCAGAATCAGATGACAGAATATAATTTATTACCGTGATTGATTTAAGTGGATGTGCAAAAATACATGATTTCTTTGATTATGATGTGGAATCTTTAGACTATTTGTCGATTTAAAGCCCTAACCCTCCCTTCCTTAATGGCCTATGCAACTAGGCCCATGTCAATGTAAACGGATCCTGCGGTACCTTCTCAGAGCTCACCCACCGCAACGATATCCCATTAATGACTTACGCACGGCACCGTGAGTCGCCCTCTCCATGCAACCGCCTGCAAGTGCGGACCTGAGGTATCCCTTACAGACCCGCGGTCATTTAACATGCTGGCTAATTCACCCGGATAGATCCAATAACTTCTTCCAAATTTATCATATCCAAATGCATAATGCCAAAGCATGTAGAGGCTATATTATGATATCAGTACCCACTGGGCACACGGGTTGAATCAAAGTTGTTTCCACGTAATTTCAATGAAATTACGTTGAACCAACGTGGAATAGACGTTGAATTGACGTCTGTGCCCAGTGGGTAGGCTCACCCTTGATTAAAAAAAAGTTGGAGTGAACTGAGATGTTGTCATTTAGCCTATTCCAGAAATCACTAAGCTTCAAATTAAATCATTGCGAGGATTTTCGTGTTCAAGGTTGGTGTTCAAGGTTGTCTGAAAGCAAAGTGATATCGATTTCTGGGCCGTGTGGGAAAGAACGTTGTTAGTTGCACCTGCAAGTATAACTTGAGATAAGCAAAGTTGGAACACATGCTCGATACTCATAGCCGAAATTGCTTACCCGTGCTTTATTTTTTTAACAGAGCTATTTGAGTAAGAACTAACACCTCCAACACATTGCAACTGTAAGTAATTGATAAATCACTTGACATCTGAAGCATTGCCTCCCCCCCCCCCCCAAAAAAAGATTTCATTCTTTACCTTAAAACATTTGACACTCAATCACGCACACATAGACGCATTAACATTTAGTCTACATTATTAAAATTGTCAAGAAACAAAACTGTTTCAGTTACAATTTGTTTTATATATAGTAGTTGTTATTTCAGTCTAATGCATGGAGACCTACCTGTACACGGTGTCCACATGCCTAATAGGCGCAGCTTACAGTATCCCTCCTCTCTCATCTGAACACAGCGGCTGTGCCGCTGTCATGACCTTTAAATAGCCGACAACTTCCTGAATGTCAGATTTTTTTGCACAACTTTCAGTAAATAGACAGTGATTAGGCCTGATCGCTAATGACATAAAGAGCTATTCAAATCATTTGTAAGGCTATTTCAATTGTCCTACATTGTTTGACAATCAAGTCATATGAAATAACTTCAACCAATTGTATTTGATGTTATGACAAAGTTATAACTCCTCTTACATTACTAACACAACACCCAATGAATCATAATTTAAAAACTCCCACAGACAATTCATGTTCCAAGGCAGCTTTTTCATATCCCAATTTTACTCTGTTTGTCTATTTACAGCTCAAGGTGGGGCTGTGAGTTTGTAATGATGTTTCCAATATTAGACCTATAGGTTATGGCCTGGCTAGACTCATCCTTAGCCGTGACAGTGCCAATGCCCACACAGAAGCTGTGTAATTTCAGACAGATCCTGAACATTCCTTTAAATGGATCTCGTATCCATTCATTATCCGTACTATTTGTGTACTGAATTGACCAGGCATCATGACTGACATGAATAGCCCATTGTTGTCTTCTCTCCTGGTATTCACTTTCCTGCAGGTGGGAGTTCACTGGAATAGAGGGCCTCCACCCTTAAAGCCAGACGGACTGTCACTGGACGCACCATGACTACTTTTACACAGGGCATAGTGGCCTTCACTGTTTCCCTTTATGGATTTGATATCAAATAATTTAGTTGGCTTGATTGAGCTTGCCTAGCAAAATAGAACCAATGCAATAGACCCAAGTGCAAACTTCGCCCATCTGGCACTCCATCAGACACTCCATCAGACACTCCATCAGACACTCCATCTGGCACTCCATCTGGCACTCCATCAGACACTCCATCTGGCACTCCATCAGACACTCCATCAGACACTCCATCAGACACTCCATCTGGCACTCCATCTGGCACTCCATCAGACACTCCATCAGACACTCCATCAGACACTCCATCAGACACTCCATCAGACACTCCATCTGGCACTCCATCAGACACTCCATCAGACACTCCATCAGACACTCCATCTGGCACTCCATCAGACACTCCATCAGACACTCCATCAGACACTCCATCAGACACTCCATCAGACACTCCATCTGGCACTCCATCAGACACTCCATCAGACACTCCATCAGACACTCCATCAGACACTCCATCTGGCACTCCATCAGACACTCCATCAGACACTCAGAGGATTTGAAAGATAACAAATTAAATACTATTTGAACCCGGGTCAGTGAAATCTGTATAATCTTCAGAGTTTTTGTTCCCTGAAGTTCTGATCTGCATCAAGATATTTGGAGGGGAAAATCCCATTACCATGGGATCTCAGTGGAGGGTGCACCTTTATGTGCCTTTTAGGGTCTTGAGAATGAGACTGATTAGACAAATAGCTCGACATGCACAGTACTGTGCAGACTTAACATGGTGTCTGCATTGCACAGAAAATACACTAGATCAGAGCATCAAGTACACAGAGCATCAGGTACACAGAGCATTAAGTAGACTAAGAGCATCAAGTAGACTAAGAGCATCAATAATATAATAACCACATTATAAAAAATAATAGGGGCGCAAATATCTTGGCATCCTTTTGAGCAGTCAATCACAATCACACTGTATTGAGGTAAACGCATAGCAGACTGACCTCTGTGCAGTGTTGCAGAGTGATGTCTATCTGAGCAGAGTTGAAGGAATTGGAGAGTGTAAACTCAAGAGCCAGAACAGAAAACCAACCACAGTGCAGAGCAGGCGCTAACAATGCTGCGGCAGGTCATCATCTCTTACTTCTCTTCTTTTCTCACTATCCAGAGACCCTGGTGGTGAAACGCTACGGTGTCTCAGCCGAATACGTGATTGAAATAGCTGCCAAGAGTCGCTGTGATAACAGCTTGTGGTTTTTGTTCTTTCAACTTTCTCAAACATGCTATAGAAATAAACATAGGCTTTGACTTGCGTCTCTGAACCACCAGTCTATTCCTGCAGCTCAAGCTCAATTTCTTGAAACCATATGTGCTCAGAGAGAAAGTATGTGACTGCTGTTCCTGGATAGTATATATAGTATTTTACCTGTGCAAGGCTGTCGCTTCAACACCACAAAGTCCCTGTGAATCTTCCAGAAGACAACTCAGTAGTTAGAAAAGGGCCTACGCAAGAAAAACTTTACTGTGCAATTAGTTAGTTATTTGAGGGTTGGTTTCCCAGACGCAGATTAAGCCTGCTACTCCTGGACTAAAAAAGCATGCTAAATGGAGATTCTCCATTGAAAGTGCTGTTAAATCCAGGACTAGGCTTAATCCACTCTAAAGTGATGGGTCACCACACTTTCGAAATGAGGCAAATTACTTTAAAGTAAATTCTGATAAGCCTACTACAGATAGACTCATCTTATGTATCTGTGGATTTTACAAAGCAGAGCAGGTGTTCTCAAACATGATCAAACGCTCAGTGGACAGTGAGCCTCCACAGTCCATTTTGTAGCTCATGTAACTCAAGCATGTTTGGATTCTTGTCCAACTTACCATAGAATATCAAGCTACACGGTGTATCAAAATAGTCTTCCCTATGTACATTAAGCAGTCAAAGGCAGATCAGGGGGGTTGGAACCATCCAGTAAGAGGGGAGTCTGTTGCGGAGCCTTCATCAGTGTTGAGACATCTCTATAAAAACCACATGACGCTATCTAATCACCTCACAAGTTCCTGACCCACTCACACAAACCACACAAACGTGAAGTGCTAAGGAAATACACACACACACAGCTAAGGAAAAACACACATGGACACACAAACACAAACACACACACACACACACACACACAGACACACATCTTACTTTAACTTCACCCACTGGCTCCCCTCGTTCAACCACAGCCCAATGGGAACGACAAGCCAAATCTGACCAAACCCCCAGCTGCCAACTGCTCCCTCCAGATAGGGCTGCAATCGAAAACACAATGCATGATTTACTGTGTCGCAGTCTAAACAAAACCACAAGACAGTTCTTCTTTCAGAGGGTTAGCATCTTGTTCTCCCTTCAAATCTTGTCATCTGAACTAGTAAATCAGTGGTTATGAGGATGAAAACCCTATAGTCCCCTTCTGTCCACACTGTGTCTCATATCTTCTCAGACTGTCCTACACTCTTAGAAAAAAGGGTTCCAAAAGGGTTCTTCAGCTGTCCCCATAGGAGAACCCTTTTTAGTTCCAGGTAGAACCCTTTTGTGTTCCATGTAGAAACCTCTGTGGATCGCGTTCTACATGGAACTGAAAAGGGTTCTACCTGGAACCAAAAAGGGTTCCTCAAAGGGTTCTCCTATGGGGACAGCCGAATAACCCATTTAGGTTCTAGGTAGCATCTTTTTTCTAAGAGTGTATGATCATAATATTTCAATCACTCATGCACGCTTCTTCTACTGTTTGGGTTTCCCTGTATTGTATGTTATATAGGAATTATGAAAGTCAAGAAAGTGGACAAACCAGCAACTTGAATGTCCATTTTCCTTAGACAGCACAGAAAGCTAAACGGAATACAGCTACAGTAGGCCTATTTGGCTATATTTTGGC